AGCTTCAGTGTAGCGTACCGCGGGCACACGGCTAGGAATTGCATGGGGGCTTCACGTGGGCTAGTAGATATGAAGCTGCATAAACAAATAATTTGCAACCCGCGTTTTGAGCGCGAAATCAAACTGGTGAGGTTGAAGTTGAACAGTGATTCGCAGTAATTTGAAATTTCTAATCAAATCGCAAAGCAACAATACCGGCAGAGCTAAAGCTTTGTTAACGGGAGGAAATTGCTATGATTCAAGTTTGTGGAGAGAGGGTTTTAAGTGAAAATAGGATGAAAAGAAAGAGTCTGAGCGACCAAAAAAGACAAGAAGTAATTACGTAAAGCGAGTCGAGAAAAACGCCTAAGTAAATTAGAGAGGACACCAAAATATGCAGAATACGGTGAAAGGAACGCGAAAGAGAACAAGAAAAGACAAGTAAAAAGGCGAACATCTAGCGAAGAGCAAAGCGAGAAGGAAGTACAAAGACGCTCCTGAAAACAGACTGAGAAGAGGTCATCAACAAAGAGAAGCAAACTACAAAGGATCCGAGGAAGACGAGGAGGTAAGTTGTGTCTTATCTGGGTTTTCTCTAACGCTAAGGCCCAGAAAAATTCAAACCTTTTTTAACAATCGTCGTTTAATACTAGCTTCAGTTTATAATTAAAATCACGTTTCGGTAAAGCAATGACTTTGGCCTTCATCGCCTAAAAACCCTCGCGCCGGTTCATCGCTCGAATAAGTTTTCAAAGTGTTCGTATTCTTCAAGGTATTTCTTGTCCTGTCGTCTGGAATGTTTTATACAGTCGCGGTGTTAATGGGAAAGAAGTTATCCTACGGATATTGTTTTGCCGCGAAAGATTCCAAATGATAGCGAACGGCGGGCGCAAGTTTCAACCTCTTACTCTCTTCAGTCATCTATCGCAGGATTTACTCTGTTCATTTAAAAAAATCGCACTTTTTCGAAGAAGTGTTGTTTTAGCCTAAGAACGAAGTGTAGCCTTTCCCAAATTGAAATCAAATGAGATTGAGTCAGCGATGCCCATGTTTACAATAAGTCTAACGCGGTAATTTGATTTTGACAACATTGTCATGTGAGAACCCGTCAAACATCTGAGAACTAAATTACGGACCGCAAGTGTGTGGTGCGAACAAACTCACGGGTAAAATGGAATTAGTTCTACTGCTGAGTAGTTGAAGTTCATTGTTTAGTCATGTACTTTTCAGCGCTATGTTTTCGTGCTTTCTACTTGATTCGTACGAACTTCAGGAAATAATTTTAATGGTCTTAATAAACATGGTGCCACTCTCTCTTCTCTCAACATCTCGAGGCGTACTTGCTACTCGGGTTTTGATGAACATGCTTGCAATACGATTTTTTTTTCTTAATGCTGGAAACCGAAGAATCAGTCTCTGAAATCGATAGTCATCACATTTTGCAAGCAGCGTCTGAGCTGTGATCGTGTAATTAAACGGGGTCTTGTCAATTTGAGCTCACAAGCACGCTGGTAAGCACATGGTGTAAATAGTTGTTGTTTACAGTTTTTTAATTCGAGAGCCGTTTTTGAGAGTCCGTTTCTGTAACCTTCTTGGATATTCTCTGTTGAATTCATTGATGTACAATCTCGGAATTTCATTAGTGATTATGAACGATAAATTCGTATCGGCATCATAATTTAGGGAGGTTTTGTTAACAAATTATTAGTTTACAATTCGTGAACCATTTCCGTAACCTACTTGGGTATTTTCTTTTGAATTAATTGAGTCACACTCTCGGAATTTCATCAGTAATTTCCAACGATAAATCCGTATATGTAGCACAAATGAAGCACATTTTGAACTTTCCATACGATTTTCGGAAACTGTATTTAATTGACTCTCGATAAATTGACCTGCCATAACGCGTTGATTATTTTATAACTTTGTAGTCCCAAAAGCCCAGCTTATGACTATGGAGGTACTGAACTTGATATATTTGATACACAAGGCACTCTTGAAGGAGGAAGGTTAGAATAAAATAATTGCTTTTACGACCGTATACTGCACCTGGTTTACATAATTATGTAGATAATTGGTTAAAAATACCTATTATAGCTTTCTTCAGAAGCAAAGACACGTAGGTAATATGCTTCTGCTTTATTTTTATTGTAAGGGTTTTTTTGATGTAACATATATCCGTCCTTTAATTTCCTCCTTAACCTGCCCGCAAATAACTAAATTTTATGTTTTAATTCAAGTGTGAGAAGATGAAACAGAAGTGTTGCAGGGTTCTCTTTACAGACTGAATTTAGGTGAGAATAGCAGTAAACTTGTTGATGTCATATGCTCCTCCTGAATCTTTCATTTTATTGCCCTGGTCTTTTTCACAAAGCATCTTTTATAGCTCTGTGTGCCAGCCAATTATTAAAATCTCAGTGAATAGATATGCCATATTTTAGCACTCTTTTTTAAATTTCATCTTCAAGTTTTTTGCATTTACTGTTTTAAAATTCATAAATGACATTCTCTTTTCATCCATGTAAAGAGATATTACACATTTCTTACACTGAAATCTGAGTCATGAAGTTAACTTAATTTCAATGAGTTTGAAACTTCATTGTACATAAGAACACTTTACTGGAGCGTGTTACATTTATTTGCTGTCTTTCTGGTACATATGATTACATAACCCTTTAACTTTCAAGATTTCATTAGTAATTCTCTTGACTGTCTGCCATACAATTTATGTGATGTTAGCTTGGAGAATTTGGAATTGGATCAACCAATTATCCCCTAATTGATATTTTTCTTTATTCTCATCACTTATCTGCTTGATATTGCACTGATAGTGTAAGGAGAAATTCAGTCTAAGTCCCTAGTGGGACTAAAACAGTTAAAACGAGGGATTTCATTATGTTGTAAAGATTAAAATTTTCTTATGCTTTCAAATGTAACAAAAAAATTGGTCAAGATTGTTAGGAAAGCAAACATGAACAGAAGACAGTGAAATGAGGAAAACTGTGAACTTTACCCTATGGTAGAAGAAACGATCACAGAATACTTAAGAAGGGAAACCTGAATTGTGCTAACCAGTTTCCTCTATTGCCCTGCATGTGTTTTGTCAAATAAAATTTAATTAGTTGTAGGGTTTGCTTACAATGTGTCAAATCACCAGTGTGGACTTGATTGTTCTCAGATGTCAGCTGGTAGAAGGTAGATTCTAAAACTAGATGACCACAAGAAAAAGTACACATCTTAAAAAACCACACTGAAGTGGTGGCATGATTGATTTGTGATATTTAGAATGACAGAAGGAGGAAAAAACACATTGAGCTTTTTCCTATTCACTAGTAAGTTTATTAGATTTCGGATTCTACATTCAAACTGGGTGAGATTAAATTTATCCACATCATGCTTCATTATGATTTGTTTACATGGAAAGGTAATTGTTACTGTAGCTTCAGAGATTTTTTCATTGCTTTTACGATTTTGTTAGTCACTCATATGATCATGGACCAAAATGGAGTCCTATTTCCATTATGTTTAACTGAAGTTCATCTTTTATTCTTCCATACAAAGCTTTGTGCATTTTTCCATAATTTTATAAAATCTTTGTCGCTTTACATCCATCGCTGACCACAAAGACCACAAATTGCACGAGCCCGTAGGGCACGTGCAATTTTGATTTTGTTAGTCTTTGAAAAAGTTTACTCGTGCTTATTTATTTCAAATTACACTTGAAATCATGTGATTACCTATACTAGCTAAATACTAGATGACAAAAAATTTCACCAGTGTTACTTTATGACATAAAACTTACTTAGGCTTAAAATAAAATACTGCTGGAGGCTACGACACATCCAAACAATAAACTCTGGTGATATTGGAGATTATTATTCTTTCATGTCTTTTACTTCAGCAGGTTTATTGTTGTTTTTTACCTCAATAGAAACTTTTGCATTACAATAACAGGTTTTTGGATAAAAATAGTTTTAGATGCCAGATATTGACTCTCCTTTCCAGAAGAATGCCAAAGCATCAGACAGCGTATAAAATTAAATGGTGTGCAAACACCATGCCGAATTGCGAAATGAGCTGTACTTAGTGCAAGGAACTCATTTTGATAATCAATTTTTACTTATGACCATTACTGTCGAAGAAATGTAAAATGTTTTCCGTGTTTACATAGCCTGATGTAAACACGCGGGAGGTTGGGAGAACACGAGATAAGCGTAGGAAACCACGACGCGAAGCGGAGTGGCGTCCAGCTTATCGAGTGTTCTCCTAGCCTCCCAAGTGTTTACATCAGGCTAGGTAAACACGGAAACCATTTTACATTTCTTTTATAAAACAACTAATGAAAGAGGAACAAAAACCGTGTTTACATACGCTCATGTAAAATGGTTTTATAACCAATCAGAGCGCGCGTACTATTTGAATTATTTTATAATTACTGTTATTAACGAGTATTTTAGTACTGGATTAACGAACAGAAACTGCGATGTTGGTCCAAAACCTATGCAACCCTTTTTCAGCGAGAGAGATCATTAACTTTCTGAAGGGACCCTTCATAGCGGTTTAAAACAAATAAGATATTCTAAGAGTTCTTGCATTAATGAAAAGGTTTAAACCATTGATAAAACCACATCTCACATCCCTTTATTCTTTCAAGATCACCTTGCAGCATGGAAAGATGGGGTTGGGGTTTGCAGACAAACGTTTCGCAGCGCGCGGTGAGTGAAATAGATCGTTGCTGATCTGTTGAAGTAGCACAACAGTAAAGTGAGGAAAAGTAATATTTTCTAAATTACGACCCGTAGCATTACACAGAAGTGATCAACCAAAAAAGTGATGCTTGGTAAAAACCTGAATAGTATGTCCAACACCATTATCACTTTTAAGAGATCATGACACATCTGTAGAGCCCAATAACAGATTCTGATTGCCACTCGATCAATTCCTTTTAAATTCTAACCTATAAAAAAACTATTCTAATCTTGACTAATGGTTTTTTTTTTTAGATAAACATCAAACTTTCGCTACTCACCAGAAAAAGGTCCATTACCCGGAGGAAGAAAAAGAGTTCCACGGATTCTTCCTTCTCTCACAGGAATTCTCTTCACTCCATCCGCCATGTACCCCTTCTCAAACGTATTGCTAGACAAAGGCTGCAAAGAACTTGATTCCTGCGGATCCGTATGGCCATCAAAATAGTCCAGGACGACTTTGTAAGGCTTAGTGACATCAGATTTCGTCTAGCAAATTCCTTTTCTCTGCCCAGGTGATGGTTTCATGCTCCATAGGCGTCCCATAGCTGAAACTCCGCGGTAAGATCCACCAACAGATGGTTCATGACAAACATCAACCCGGCCACGTCTAGTAGCGATGAAGTGAGCGTGTGACTCGAACACTTTCCCGCTGTCTCTAACAACTCGTGCCCCGAGTGTAATCTTATGCAGTGGTTTCAGTCGAAATACATTAATCTTAGTTATTTTGTCGATGAGTGAGAATTTTGGCCACAAGGTAAGCATCTTCTTTGAAATTAATGACAAACTTGCCTGAGATACACCTACTGAGTCAACGAGCTAATGCGTGAATCATCTCTCCTTCATCGGTCTAAACTAATTTATTCCTTTGGCTCCTTCATCGTTCTAAACTAATTTATTCCTTTGGCTGCATAAGTCCTTAACATTCTTGACAGTGACGCATTGTTCCCGGAAGGGTGGACAATGATTGGTCGCAATTAAAAGAGGTGAGGCAAAAGGGGCTCCTTAAATATTCAAAACATTGACGTCAGACGACTCGGCAACTATTCAATATGGCGGCCGAAAATTACTGCAGTCGATTTCCTCGTTCATTTTAAATCTATATTCTTCTGCAAAGAGTTATCATTCTGTAAGGAAGGTTTGAAGTTTCCATAAATGTTTGCTTTCATATGTTCGTAACGCGTGAAGGTTTTGTCGTGCATATCGTTCAAACAAAGATCTTTTGCCGTCGCTTATAGGGGTCCCTATGAGTCATCCCTTGGTCCTCTTGAGACATCCCGGTATAGAATATGGATTAATTTCTGGAGAAACATTTTAATATCACATCTTAAGTGTTTGTGACAAAAGTCCTTTTGGGATTAAGCTTTTTCCCTCGTATTTTTCCTACAGTAAACTTCACATATTTTGAAGAGGTCATACACACACGGAGCTATAAAGTTGTTTTTTTTCATTTTTTTATATTAAGCAATGGAATTATCTAGCAACCTTTATGGCATTGCAGGTGTTGCAAGTTATGGAATCCCTAATGAAAGGGTTTCCAAATCTCCACAAAAATGGTGGGTTAATTAGGGGAAAGAAATTGTGTGTGTAGAAAGTGTAGTAAGTGTAAAATGATGAAAAATAATACGTACCATTTGGCAGTGTAAAAATAAAAGGCTTAGTCGATGAAAAACTCTAATCTTAAGGGACCAACAAATAGCAAGGCAGCTACGTCAACCACAAGGACAGAGAAAGACAAGCCCACGCACACCGATCAATACTTAGCGTATGATTCACACCACCCTCAATCAGTAAAGCGCGGTATTGTTAAGTGCCTTTACGAGCGCGCCAAACGTCTCGTAACAAAACCCTCCGACATCTCCGAGGAGCAAAAACATCTGTCATCTCTTCTGGTTTCTAATGGTTATACTTTTTCTTTCTTGCAGAAACTTACCAAGACCGGAAAAACCGAACAACAGTGGCGAACCCGCCAACGAGCTCAAAGCTACTGCGGTTTTACCTTATGTCAAAGGTCTGTCCGAACAGCTTCGTCGTTGCCTACAACAACAAGGCGTACGCGCTATTTTCAAGTCGGAGACTACGCTAAGATCTCAGTTAGTACGACCAAAAGACGCTGTCGACCCGGCTAAACAAGATGGTGTAGTTTACAGGATTCCCTGTGAATGCAGCAAGGTGTACATCGGAGAGACTGGAAGACCTTTGCAGGACAGAATTAAGGAGCACGATCGAGACATTCGACTCGCGGTACCGAGACGTCCGCCGTTTCAGAGCATGCCCACAACACCGGACACAAGCCACTCTGGAACGAAGTAAAGTTTATTGATCGTGACCCTTATTACTACACGTGCAGGGTCAAAGAGGCAATTCATATAAGACTTCACCCTAACAACATCAACAGGGATAGTGGAATAGAAATTCCAAAAGCGTGGATCCCCACGATCAAAAAACACAACAACAGGAGAGCCGTGCGAGGGAGCAAATCACTGATTGAACAGCAAGGATCGAAAATGCACCAATCAGAGCTGTTGAAAAACCACTAATCACAGCAGAGCATCATGCTCTATAAGATCACGCAGGACCAGTCGACGTCATCGCCTGAAGAAGACCAGCAGTATGGAGTCGAAACGTCTCGATCTACATCACACGTGAATAAATCGTGAGACAAACGAAAAACTTAGCTTTTAATGTTAACACTTGTATAAGTTTAAGGTTTAAGCTATATCATTGAATTACATATATTCACTTTAGCACCTTTTTTACCAATCACACAGAATTAGACATTCTTAAAAGGCTTTAAGAGCAAATTCCTCCCTTGCAGTCATTTTTCTTCCATACCTAAGGAGAGAAAATAATCAAATTTTGAGTTAATATCTCAATAAAAATTTTGATTGTTGATCTTCGGGTTGCGGAAGGAAAACGCAATGTGCACTGATATAAACAGATGTAGGTAACTATTGAAAAGAAAAAAAAAAAAGGCTACCAGAATAAGTGGTAAAGTTCTTTTGTTAAAAATAAATGATATGTAGACAGCATTACGAAATAGAGGACTTTTCCCCTGTTTGAATAATCCCATCCAAGCAGGACAGGGTTGGCAGGACTCTATGCAGTTATGAAAACCCGAGACGGAGTAGTAAGTGTGCATAAGAGGATTCTCTGGGCCCTCGGATTTGAAAACATGAGGCTATGCAAACATTAAAGAGTACTTCGTTTCTTTCAATAACATATTTCCCCAAAATTACACGCAGCGCTCCCGCTGCGTTGACTCTGCTTGGATAATTCTGTACAGAGCTACGTGCCTTGTATATAAGTCCTTTCCCCCTTCCACCCCCTCCTTCGAGTGGAAATTTTAAAATCAGAGGGCGTTTGGACGTTATGAGTCAGAATGATAGTTCATAATTTTCTCTGGAGATGTTGCTCAGATACCCTACAGGAACTTGTAAAAATCACGGCCGCCTATTTTTAAGGGCATTCTTCTGTAGAAATATCGTGAGTTAGTTCGTCACTTCGAAAAAAAAAATAGCCGCATAAAGCTTTGCATAAGAGCAATTCAAAACGTGCAGGCATAGTGTTTAGGGACATCGAACCGAAACGATTTAATGAGCTACCGCGTGGGACTGGGCCACCTACATGATTGAATGGGAAAATGCAAGAGATTATAGTATCTTGGCACGTGCTTTTTTTGTGTGTTGCGAGAACCTAATGTTGGGTCGAACGAAAGCCTCGGTGACCTGTAGTTATCTGTGAAAGTTCTCAAACACATAGCAAGTATTAAAGTATTCTTATTCCTCACTCTTTGTGTCTTGTTGGAGATGTTTTCGCAGAAAATGTAAAATCTTTGGCCAGCAGTCTTCTTGTGCTCTGGCATGTGCAACAGTCTCCCCTCCCCACGCTACGTAAGGGTAACCACACCATTCATTTATGGATTTGCTGAAAGAAAAATCACAAAGAGGAGAGTAGGGTGGTTCGATGAGATGTCCCGCTTGGGGATAACGCAAGTTTGTGCACAATTGTTCTTTTCCATTCTCCTTCAGGCGATCAATAATGAACTTTACTGTAAAATCGGTGGGGTTGTACAAGTCAGCAGTTCCAGAAACCAGCATGACAGGGCAATTGATGTTCTCAACTGGTGTTATAGCTGAGTACTTGGAAACTGTTGTTGGATTCATGTAATCAATGCCAGTTGGTAGGGCGAAACGCCAGATACTGCCCTTTTCTGAAGACATCACCTTGCTCTCATCAGGGGGTATGATGTCTGAGACTTTCCCTTTTAATTGGAAAGGGTGAAGAAAGGCGATTACCAGAGGGGAATTAGCTACAATGGCCTTTATTGGTGCGATCTGATAGCTTGCCATCAACAATGCAATCCATGAGCCATAGCATATAGCGTGCATGCCGATACCATGTGGAAGTACTTTAGGGTGGCCTATAAGCCAGTTGGCAGCCTCTTTAAAATAATCCAAGTTTATTGAAGATGGAGACGATGGTTGATCTTCATAGCCCAAGTAGGCCAAAGCAAGAGTAGCGAATCCATGAGATGCCAAAAGTGAAGCCTTAAATTCCACCAATCCGCATGTAGCACCAAACAGATCTATGACTCCTGTCAAGATAACATTGACTGACTGAGTGCAAGATATGACTACGTACGATTAAGATATTGCTTTGATTCAGTAACAATCGTTTATAAAATAACACGTCAAAGGCGGCTTTAACTATACAACATGTGAATAACCTTACACATTTTTGGACCACTCAAAATGGCGGACATATGATGAAAAATTCCTTCGCTAGTTTCCGCGTAACACATCTAAGGGCTGCTGTTGCTGTCTACCTGCCAGGAATCAGACGTGAGCAAACGCTCGACGCGTGTCTTAGAAAGAAATGGAGAGGCTCAGTACAGTCCTCAATCTTTTTGTGGATCGCTCATTTTTGTTAAGGAATGCATTTTAAAATGATTGTCCGATCACCGCACGACTCTCTAGAGCTTACAATGACGAGGAAGTTAGACATATATATTCTTGCTGGAAAATATTGGAACCAGGTTTTTTTGGCAAAAAATTAAACTGATACCTTTGTTCATCGGAAATTACTAATTTGGATTGATCCATCATAAAATAGACGACTTGTAATTCTGTTTTGCAGGCAGTTTTTCACATTATCGATCAGTTGAGATCAGTTCATCAAAATGATAACGATGCAATCTATCTTTATCTGTTCAATGGTCGGAATGCACTCCGCCTCGTTTTCTTTGTGGAGCGGTCGTTGCAAGAGGAAAGGAGCGTCCGCCATTTTCTGAATGAATCTTGATAACCATCGCAGTTTCCTTAAATATGAATGGTACATTAACTGCTTTATTCTTCACTAATCATTCTATTCAATTGTAATCGGACAGTTTGCTGTAATCGGACAGTTAAAGCAATCATATTAGGTCCACTCAGCTAAATTCACCAATCACAGCATTGATCGCAATAACCATAGCAACAACTACATATCCTGAAAAAACAAAAAACTGCGGAATTTCCAAATTGGACAGAGGTTTTTTCTTTAGACATGGTCTCTACTACAATTGTGTCCTAAATGTATTCGTTTTCTTTTTTTTTCCGGAAATTGCGAACGGTTATGATTAATTGGAAACGGGACTTTGTGTCGTTCAATACTGTTTATCGCGGTCGTTCGATTTTGTTAATCACTAGCGTGATTACAGACCGAAATGGAGTCCACTTGGTCCTATTACCATTATGTTTAACTGAAGTTCATCCTTTATTCTTCCCTACAAAGCTTTGTGCATTTTTCCATGATTGATAAAATCTTTTTCGCTTTACATCCCTCGTGGATTTCAATGATTTTTTTTAATACTTCAGTGACCTGAGTGTGATCCAATGTTTTATGTAATGGGGAAAGATAGGGTAGCAAATTTCCGTGTAATATGCTAGGAATGCTTGTCATCTGTTTTAAAAGGATTCTATTTAGAGCTCTGATTTCTTTAAATCTATTTTACATCCTTTTCGTTGGGTTGGATGAAGCCTAAGACGTCAATGATAGTGTTAGCAGCCAAATGTCCTCCTCTTGATATGCTGGTTCGCAATGGTGACGAAAACTTGCTAAATCTCAAGCTTACATAGCTTTGGACTTTTAAATTCATATAGTAACTATATTCTAAGTATTAACGAATGACCAAATCACTCTGAATCGACGATAGAAAATGAATGACTAAGCTAATGAGATCCATGAAAAAATTACTCAATTCTTATTGGTTAAGATAAACACAGTTTTGGTCGTACGCGATTGTTTTGACCGAAAACACAATGCCACTTGCAGGGTTTCAATAAATTATTTTTGCACTTGATGCCCGCGCTTTGCTCTTGCATACTTTTATAATAAAGTTCGGATATTACGCATGCTGTCATTGGTTGAAAGAGCGTGCTCTTTGAGAGTATAGAGCATAGCGCTGAGCTAAAGCTGTCACGCCATCTGCTTAATTGCACTATGTCCGACTTTCTCCGGGACTTTTCCCTAATTTTTTTCTTTAATTGAGAGTAAAATTCCGGAACAGGCAAGTCGGCAACCAATGAATCGACGCCAACGCCACGACTTTTTCCAGTAGTCCAGCGGTCAGTGAGTTGACCAGTGAACTCCAAGTCGGACGACCCGGGTTCTATTCCTGGCTGGGGCAAAGTGTTGTGCCTTTGAGACTTGCGGGAAGAAAAATGCGAGTTCCGCTTTTAGGTTAGGCTAAATCTATTTATTATGACTTTTCTCGTGCAATTTGGAATAAATAAGCACTTGTAAAATTTTTCAAGGACCACAAATTGCACGAGCTGCTCAAAGTAAATTTTCTTAAAGACCACAAATTGCAGGAGCCGCCTCCTACGTGCTTAATAACAAAACAGAACACAGTCAAGGCTTCTCTATTTGTTAAATGATGAGCTATCTGTTATTTTTCCATGTATATTATTACGTAATCACAAGTCTGTGAAAAAATTTACTCGTGCTTATTTATTCCAAATTAAACTCGAAATCATGTGATTACCTATACTAACTAATACTTCATAGCAAAAACATCTTATCACTGTTACTTCCTAACATAAAATTTACTCAAGCTAAAAATAAAATACTGCTGGAGGCTACAACACATCGCTGAATGTCGTTTACTCGACTACGTCTCGTATTTCTCCTTACACTTTTTTCGAGCTCTAGCCGCTTCCTGCGTGCTTTACAACAGAGAAGAGCACAATCAAGGCTTCTCTATTGTTAAATGATGAGCTATCTCCTTTTTACCACTGTTACTTCATAACATAAAATTTTAGTATCGCTTAATGTAAAATACTGCTGGAGGCAACAACACATCGTTGAATGTCGTTTACTCGAACTGGTTTATTACCTCAATGGTAACTCTTGGATTCAATCAAGAGGTCTTTGGATGAAAAGGAAAAAACGTCAGAAGAATGCCAAAGCATCAGAAAGCGTATAAAATTAAATTGTGCGCGAACACCATGTCGAATTACGAAATGAGTCATACTCAGCGTAACAGACTCATTTTGATCATCGATTTTTTCTTATAGTCTTTTTTTAAAATTCACTTCATGTTTACTGTTATTACAAAGAATTTTTGTACTGGATTATCGAACAGAAACTGAAATATTAGTTCAAAACCTCTGGAACCCTTTTTCAGCGAGAGAGATCTGTAACTTCTTTTTTTGGATTGATTAAAGCCTGACATTACCGAGAAAATAAAAAAGAAGCCGTCGTAAGGGTTTGAAACAAATGAGATATTCTAAGAGTTTTTGCATTAATGAAAATGGTTGAAACCATTGATAAAACCACATCACATATCCCTTTATTCTTTCAAGATCACCTTGCAGCATGGAGATATGGGTTGGGGTTTCCAGACAAACTTTTGCGGCGCGCGGTGGATGAAATTGATCTTTGATGACCTGTTGAAGTAGCAGAACAGTAAACTGAAGAAAAGTTTTATTTTCGAAATTATGACCCGTAGCATTACACAGAGGATACCAACCCAAAAAGTGACTCTTGGTAAAGACCTGAACTGTATGTCATCAGGGCACAGAGATCAGGACACATCTGGAAAGCTCAATAGCGGACTCTGATTCTTTTCAAATTCTAATCTCTAAAAACACTATTCTACTCTTGACTAACAGTTCTTTTTAGATAAACGTCAATCTTTCGTTACTCACCAGGAAAAGGTCCATCACCCGGAGGAAGAAAAAGAGTTCCACGGATTCTTCCTTCTCTCACAGGAATTCTCTTCACTCCATCCACCATGTACCCCTTCTCAAACGTATTGCTAGACAAAGGCTGCAAAGACCTCGATTCCTGCGGATCCGTATGGCCATCAAAACAGTCCAAGACGACTTTGTAAGGTTTAGTGACGTCAGATTTTACCAGTCGCATTCCTTTCCTCTGCCCAGGTGATGGTTTCATGCTCCATAAGAGTCCCATAGCTGAAACCCCGCGGTAAGATCCGCCAACAGACGGTTGACTACAAACATCAACCTGGCCATGTTTGGTAGCGATGAAGTGAGCGTGTGAATCGAACACCTGCCCGCTATCTCCAACAACTCGTGCCCCGAGTGTAATCTTCTGCAGTGGTTTCAGTCGAAATACGTTAATCTTAGTTATTTTGTCGACGAGTGAGAATTTTGGCCACAAGGTAATCATCTTCTTCGAAATTAACGACAAAATTGGCCGAGATGCACCTACTGAGTCAACGACCTATGACGCCAGTTTTCTCTGTTTCACCGTTGTAGACAAATTTATTCCTTTGGCAGCATAAGTCTTCACATTCGTGACAGTGACGCATTGTTCCCGAAAGGTTAGACAATAATTTGACCCGAGATTGAATGGGATTGATGACCTGTAAGTCTGTTTTACAGGCAATATATCACATCGTCGATCAGTTGAGATCAAGTCATCAAAATGATAACGATGCAATCCATCTGCTTTATCTGTTCAATGATCAGAATGCGCTCCGCATCGTTTTCTTTGTGGAGCAGTCGTTGCAAGAGGAAAGGAGCGTTCCGCCATTTTCTGAATGAATCTTGATAACCACTATAATTTCCTCAAATATGAATGGTGCATGGTGCTTTATTCTTCACTAATCATTCTGTTCAGTTGTAATTGTACAGCTTGCTGTAATCGGACAGTTGAAGAAATCATACTAAGTCCACTCAGCTAAATCCACCAATGACGGTAGTGATCACAATAACCATAGCAATAAATTGGAGAAAATTTTTACGTTAGACATTGTATCTACCGCATGTTTTTTTTTTCGGAAATTGTGAACGGTTATGATTAATTGGTAACAGGACTTTGTGTCGTCCAATTCTGTTAATCGTCAGATTTTGTTAATCACTGGTATGATCACAGACCAAATTGGACTCCACTCGGTCCTATTTCCATTATGTTTAACTGAAGTTCATCCTTTGTTCTTCCATACAAAGCTATATGCCTTTTTCCATGATTTGATCAAATCTCTTTCACGTTACATCGATTGCAGATTTCGATGTTTTTTTAATACTTCAGTGACCTGAGAGTGATTCCAATGCTCTAATCTGTATTGAAAGGATTCTATTTAGAGCTCTGATTTCTTTAAATCTATTTATATCATTTTTGTTGGGTTGGATGAAGTTAAAGAAGTCAATGATGGTGTTAGCGGCCAAATGTCCTCCTCTAAATATGCTGGTTCACGGTGATGGCGAGAACTAGCTAACGAGCACACCACGCTTAGGACTCTCGTACTGTCTTTTTAACTGTTCCCTTTAATTACTCGCTTCTCCAATTCACAACAGATTTTAGTTATGTCCAATTTTGCTTCATTCTTTGTAAGTCTGATTGGTCTCTTTCGACACTCACACTTTGATTCTCACTGACTTGTGCTGCTAGAAACTCATTTCAGTTACGGAATTCTGTCTCTACTTCTGCACAACTCTTCTACTAAGTAAGCTCCAGAGTACATGCTTATATATTCAGTATTGCTTGCTGAAAATTAACAACAACAGTGAAACTTAATGGTTACGATTAACTGAATGAACCTTTGACTGCGTTAGCCAAAACAAGAACTTTCTTGTGCGTCCAACTAGGCACGTCCACTTTGAAGTTAGACAAGACAGCCAGAGTTCGGAAACTCATCACCAAATCTCAAGCCTACATAACGTTGGACTTTTAAACTCATATAGTAACTACATTCTAAATATTAACGAATAACCAAATCATACTGAATCGACCACAAAAATGACTGACTAAAATAAGGTACGTGAAAAAAATTACTCAGTTCTGATTGGTTAAGATAAATCCAGTTTTCAGGTAATTCAATGCTGAAGAGGGTTAATTCAGTGCAAAGAAGGAGGGTCGCAAATATGTTTTTCGGGATCCGGGATTGGGCTTATTTAAAGGTGGGGATCCGGGAATTTAAAGTAAGAGGGGAACGAGATGCGAGATTGATATCATGAACGGGACTCGGAAATCGGCGATTTTGAGGAGCGGGATTCGGAAAATAATCATTTAAACAAACCGAGAACCGGGATGTCCGTTGACTAGAATTTGTGAAGAAATTGATTATCTCAGTCCACGAAAATCACCAAGCGAACAGGTTCTGAAGCATTTGGTAGGTGGTCGGGCTGTTCAGCGACACTCTTGAGTAATTGCGCGGCAATTAAAATTATATCAGAAGCGAAGTTGCCAATTTATCAAAGATCCTCAATGGCCCGAGGGGTAACGAGGCATCTAAGACTGCTGCCTCGGTTGAAATGCTTAACGGCCTCGAAAACCTCCACGGTTTTAGATTACCCAAGAAACTTTGGAAATGCAGCAAAAGATGGCTTAAAGAGGACAACCCGTTGGGTGGTGTACTATTTTACAAATCCAAATTCTTTGTATCCTACACCTGGACGTGCAATGATCCTGCCGGCCATAACAGCAATTCACCCGTTACCACCTCTACAGGTGACAGTACAGAGCATACAGAAGATGAAGGACTGGGTGCAAACATCAGCGCTCTGTCAAACAGGAAACAACGATGGCAATAGCTGAAACTCCCCGTTTGTACCTCTATCAGAAAAAAATTTAGCCTTACATTTTAGCCTGACTTCGAGGAGCAGCAAGAAAACAACGGGAAACAGAAAGAAAAGGAAGATGGACTATTAGTGTACGATTCCCCGTGTGATGGTGGTGACAACCCATCTTTGGGACAAGAGACTGATTTTCACCTGGGAAGGTGAAAATCAGCTTCGTAAGAAGTATTCGCTTCAACAGAAGTGTATTGGCTGCCACGCCTTTGCCACCGGACATTAATTCGCTATAACTTTGATTTGTTACGGTATTTTCTCCACCGCCAGAAAGATACAACTCGTACCAACTCAACTACTTTATTAACCGACGTAATAACCTTACTACGGAGCGGTACCAATAACTAGCACAATAACTATTCACTTATCTTAGAGCCCTCTATAAAACTATAATCTCAGTGCACTACTGCACAACTCACAGTTCTCTTCGAAGATCCTTGAAACTTATTGATATCCACACAACTCTTCTCCAACGTAGCCTTCCACACGGCTGACAATTCCAATAACAATAAAGAATCCCAACGATTCACGCTCTCCGGCTCTGTACTAACACTAGCTTTGCTCTCAAAGAAAGGCTCACTCAAGAAAAGGCCAACTTTAACAAATCGCGACTCCTTTTAAATGTTTTATAAAATGTTCCAGAACATTCCAGAGATCTGTAATACAACTATTTTTAGTAACATTACATTGCTATTTCATGATAGGAAATTATGCTGACTAAGGATTCTAGAAAGTTCCATTAAGAGTTCTCAATGAGTCAGCATGACTAAGCGTTCTAGAAACTTCCTCAATTCTATATTTAGTAATTCCGTAACACAACGCACTCTCCATAACAGATTCGTGTTAAACCGCAACAATGACGTTACTGTTTGTCCGTTAGGGACGTGATCTTTTAAGTTCCACCCAGAACGGCATTTTAGTTGGTTGTCTTGCTTTGAGCTTACGATAAAACGTGTTATCGGAAAAGCGTCTTTTTGCCAACGTTATCTTGAAGTTTATTTTGGTTAAACTCTTACAAGCGGGACTGTTATGTAAGTGCCTTTGTTTCTTTCTTTGTGCTCGCATAAATATCTAGTATTTTGGTAGTTTCGCCTAGTTTTTACAAAAGTTTCCTTATCGCTCGTTTTCGCAACCTTGTAACACGTGGCTTACGTTGTCCACGCTTTCTTTTACGCTACATGTTTTTCCCACTTGTTCGTTTTCAAGCGGTTCTCTTTTTATCATTTTTAGAATTTAGCTCATCTTTTTCCTTATAATTTTCATATTTCAGTTTACGATAAGTACTTGGTTACCTCGACTACGTTAAATACAACGATTCAAGGCTTGTGCGCAAAATATATCCTCGCTTCATAGTGTGTCTTCATTTGCGAAACTCATAGTGGTCGTCGAAAATTTGCTTTGCCTGTGTCGGCCGCTACAAGCAGAATTGTGTTCAATTGAGTTTTCTTTATCTCCCTTGTTATGAAACTATGGGATTGCCGTCATCTTTTGTGTTTCATGCAGTTATTGAAATTGTTACTCGTTTCTCGATCGAAGTTTAACGGAAGGAAGTCGTTACCGTGTCTGGCTTACGTTATTCGTGCAAAACTTCTAAAATGAACGATATCATTATTTTGATGAAAATAAATGAAGTTACGTCTTACGGTGACCACCGACTTAAACGGATCAATGCTGGTCGAGGAAATCATCACCTACCGTAAAGGTCCTCCCAAGTTTAGGAAATGGACTTAGACAAAATTGTATGATCGGAATCGGGATTGGCCAGTATAAACCGTCGCGATTACAGGATTGTGAAAAAATTTTAGTCGGGATTGCGGGATTGCAGGATTGAAGAACGCTGTTGGATACCCTAAAGGAGTAACAAACCCGACTGAACAATCCTTGAACTGTTCAGCTGGACTTTTTTTGCGTCTTAAAGGTGTGAAAATATATTTGTATATTATTGTATTGATCGAACGCAGTTATTTTGACCGAACGCATAATGTCACTTGCAGGGTTTGAATAACTTATTTTTGCACTTGATGCACACGCTTTGCTTTTGCATAATTATGATGAGCTGTATGGTATTTTCTCATGTATATTATTAACACGAAATCACATTATTTTTTTTTCTTGCAATTTGAAGTAAATAAACATTTGTAAAATTTTGTCAAAGACCACGAATTGCACGAGCCGCTCAAAGTAAATTTTCTCAAAGACCACAAATTGCACGCGCCGCTTCCTGCGTGCTTTACAACTAAACAGAGCACAGTCAAGGCTTCTCTATTTGTTAAATAATGAGCTATCTCGTATTTTTCATGTATATTATTATTGCGTAATCATATGATTTTTCTCGGAATAAATAAGCTCGTGCAAAGTTTTTAGAGACCACAAATTGCACAAGCCCATAGGGCGAGTGCAAAGTTTGTCAGTCTTTGAAAAAATTTACTCGTGCTTATTTATTTCAAATTACACTTCAAATCATGTCATTAACTATACTAACTAAATACCTCATAACAAAAAAATTTGACCAATGTTACTTCATGACATAAAATTAACTTAGGCTTAAAATAAAATGCTGCTGGAGGCTACGACACATCTAAACAATAAACTCTATTGATATTGGAGATTATTATTCTTTCATGTCTTTTACTCCAGCAGGTGTATTGTTTTTTTTTTTAACCTCAATAGTAACTTTTGCATTAAAATAATAGGTTTTTGGATAAAAATAATTTCGGATGCCAGATGTTGACTCTCCTTTCCAGAAGAATGCTGAAGCATCAGACAGCGTATAAAATTAAATGGTGTGCAAACACCATGCCAAATTGCGAAATAAGCCATACTCAGTGCAAGGGACTCATTTTGATAATCAATTTTTCCTTACCATTATTATTTTTATTGAACTTCATGTTAACTGTTATTAACGAGTATTTTAGTATTTTTGGCCGAGATGCACCTACTGAGTCAACGACCGATGACGTCAATTATCTCTCTTTCACCGTTGTAGAGGCAGCATTTTGGGTCCCTTGCTATTTAATGTGTACATTAATAGCCTGCCAAATGCTGTTAAAGAGACCCGGATGATTTTGTATGCAGATGATGCTGTTCTCTTTTGTGACGCATCAACACGTCAAGAACTTCAAATTGCTCTGGAACGTGAATTGACTGAAATCAGTAACTGGTACACTGATAACAGGTTGACTATAAATGTCAAGAAGACCAAATTTATGCTGGCAGGCAGTAAAATGATGCTATCCTTATTTGAAGACTTTGAGTTGTAACCAAATGGTACACAAATCGATCGCGTGCAGTCATTCAAATATCTGGGAGTAACAACAGATGCAAAATGGAGCTGGAAGCCACATATCAGCAATTTTCTAAAGAAACTAGGTCATCGTCTTTCTTTGTTTAATCGCATATTTCATATGTTAGACAATAGAACTCGCATAGCCTTCTACAATGGGCTAGTGCTGCCACACTTAGACTATGCCGACACAGTGTGGGGAGATGAACCCGGTCTAAAGTCAGAAATGGAAAAATTGCAAAGTTTTCAGAACAAATTTGCGAAGAAAATTAAATTAGGCAAGATGTCTTCTTCAGAAGCTCTGAAGTGTCTGAATTGGCTCCCTCTGGCTGGAAGACGTCTATTTCATCGTTGTACCACCGTAGAAAATGCAATCAAAGGAGACATTCCGCAACATTTTGAAAGTTTTAAATCGACATTGAGAAGTTCGCGTGGCTACAACACTAGAAATGGCTACTTACCTAGACTGCCTAAACCTAAAACGGAATTCGGAAAGAGGGTGTCCTACTTCCGTTTTACAAATGACTGGATGTCCCTCCCAGTATTTTTAAGAAGGCCAATGCCATGCACAATTTTTAAGGAAAACCTTACAAGATTCTTAATGGATAAATATTTTAAATGATGGATAAAAATTTTTAGATATACGCAATATATTTTATATTTTAGAGCTGTGACATTTGTATTTCTTATTTTAGCTTTAATACTTCTTATTTTTTACGGAGGACCTCCCTGAAAACCACGTATTTACGTGACGGGCGCTTCTTCCTTAAAGATTGTTTATTATTATTATTATTATTATTATTATTATTATTAGACTAATTTATTCCTTTGGCAGCATAAGTCATTAACATTTGTGGCAGTGACGCATTTTTCCCGAAAGGTTGGACAATAACTTGACCCGAGATTGAATGGCGACATTATTTTCGTAGGTAGGATCAAAAGAAGCGGACAACTCAAAAGTGACTGATAAACAGAGGCAACTAAGAGAGACAACTTAAGACATAAAATTCTAGGTTCAAACACATGCCATATCATGAGGTCATGAAGAGAAAAAGTCCCGGAAAAAGTTCGCAGCATTCATTCTACAGAGGCGCTATCATTTCTGTCATCAATGTAGAGAATTACATTAACACTTGCAGTCGGTGGCTGTGTATGCGGTTACTTAAACCTGTTGAGAATGGATCCGAAAGTATCATATCCTTTATAGTAGAAATGCGTTGCAGGCACTCTGTAACCATCTCTGAAATGAAATTCATATGTTCCATCCACATTAAACGTTAATTTGTCACTTTGTACTGTGAAATGTGACTCATTGGAAACTTCATATTTTGATCTTGATGTTAAAATTTGGTTTCCTTTTTATTATCATGTCCCATTTCATAATTAAAAAAGTATACAGGTACAAAACCAAACGTTGCTGCTTGTTTAACACCATCCACGCATGAGTTATTTTCAGCATCATTATCACTTGTTGGTGTAGCTAAATTGATTATTATTTTATTGAACATATTTAAATCAGCGGGCATGTGTTGCAGCTCTGTTATACTTCTGCTGTGAACACTAAACAAATAAGTTGATGTTCTTGAAACTGTCTCAGAACTACTGTTGGCTGATATGTCAACAGATGAATGATCAATAGATCATATTTACCAGTCTTAAGTTTATATATGTTTAACCCAACACGAGATGAATAGCACCCTTTTGCGCTATCCAAATGCAGTTTCATTTCATAGGTTTTTTATTGAACTGATGAGTCTTGATTAATGAATTTAACCCCTGTAATGTCATCTTCGTCACTAAACTGTCCACTTTTGTTCAAGATGTATGCAAATGTGTTTTTCAAATCTGTTCTACGATCTACTACCAACAGGCTGATCCACTATATCATGAACATACTTCTGATAATTAGTGGTTATTAGTGTCTTATTATTGCTGATAGTTGTATTGACAAAATTAGTATAGGCAGCATATCTGCTTTCATGTGATTGTGCCTGTTTGGCATTAATTATACTTCTGTTGTTGATTTTCAAATTACCAGTCATTACTCTTGTGCCATCGGTTTTCAAATAATTGCTCGCTTTTGTATCAACATGCCTTTCATTGCTTCCAACTGTGGCACATGTTGGGTCTGCTACATTAATCACCTTATTATCTTTCATATCAAGACCTTTTGATACATCCAAAGTAAATGTTTTACTGTCAACTTATTTCTTATTAACCACATCTTTATCACTAGTGTCACTACTATCATAATCTGGTATTAATAACCTTCTTTTTTATGTTTGGGGTAAAAGATTGTCCATATCTATTTTCTTTGTACTTCGTAGTACTTGGGATGCTGTACCACTGAGCTCTAGGAGACTTGTGGCAAGCTAGCTAGGCCATTTAACTGTGGTGACGAACTCCCTGCATTCTGCTTCTTCGAAAGTTAAGTGTATTACAAATAAGTTGTTATTACGTAAAACAAAAATTCATCCGCAAAATAATATGCATTTTAAACTGAGTGGGAGAACTGAACGGGAAAATGGTCGGTTCGAGCTCATGACGTTTTCTTGTTTTAGCTCGCTGGGGCTTTACGGCTTTGTGTGGCCCTGGTTGCGCCAACAGGTATGGCCCTCATACGGGGATTTTTGCCTGATATATTACAACATAAAGTACGTGGAGGGCAGTGCAGGTCATGTAAAAAGTTTTATTTGTTTGAGATTATCTCTATTAAAAGTGAGGCTAAGTGAAAGCTAGGAAGGGTTTCTGTTCTTATCAGGCAGCCGATATATTGATAGAAAACAACAACGACAACAACTTACAATAACGATAACATCCAGCTGCATGTATTCCCATGTTCGTCACTGGGAATTTAAAAGCGATTTTGCTCCCTGTTAATCCTTTACCTCCCTAAATCTGATTGTTAATTCTCCCCTCAAGCTGATACACATTTCCTTGAATATCAGTTACGAGACTTTGGTGAATTCTATCTGATGAGTGAGGGTATTCTCATTTCCTGTTTGCTGGATAGTGTGTGGATGCCAAAGGAAGAAATTAGGGAGCAAATCACTGATTGAACAGCAAGGATCGAAAATGCACCAATCAGAGCTGTTGAAAAACAACTAATCACAGCAGAACATCATGCTTTATAAGATCACGCATGACCAGTCGACCTCATCGCCTGAAGAAGACCAGCAGTATGGAGTCGAAACGTCTCGATCTACATCACACGTGACTACATCGTGAGACAAACGAAAAACTTAGCTTTTAATGTTAACACTTGTATAAGTTTAAGGGTTAAGCTATTTCAATGAATTACACATATTCACTTTAGCACCTTTTTTTTACCGATCACGCAGAATTAGACCTTCTCAAAAAGCTTTAAGAGCAAATTCCTCCCTGGCAGTCATTTTTCTTCCATACCTAAGGAGAGAAAATAATCAATTTTTGAATTAATATCTTAAAAATTTTGACTGTTGACATTGATTTAAACAGATGTAGGTAATTGGTGAAAAGAAAAAGGAAGAACTGTATCCCGAATAAGTGGCAAATTTCTTTTGTTAAAAATAAATGATATGTAGACAGTATTTACGAAATAGAGGACTTTTCCCCTTTTCAAATAGTCCCATCCGAGCAGGACAGGGTTGGCAGGACTCTATGCAGTTATGAAAACTCGAGACGGAGTAGTAAGTGTGCATAAGAGGATTCTCTGACCCCTCAGATTTGAAAAGATTAGGCTATGCAAACATTATAGTACTTCGTTGCTTTTAATAACATATATCCCCAAAATTACACGCAGATCCTTAAAGTTCAAATGGTTAGGAAAATTTATTTGTAACACCACTGCTCCCGCTGCCTCGTATATAAGTCCTTTCCCCTCCCCTTTCCCCCCCCCCCGTGGAAATGTTTCAATCAGGGGGCATTTGGACGTTATGAGCCATAATGATAGTTCATAATTTTCTTTGGAAATGTTGCTCAGATACCCTACAGGCACTTCTAAAAATCACGGCCGCCTATTTCAAGGCATTCTTTTGTAGAAATATCGCGAGTTAGTTCCTGACTTCAGGATTCATTTCTTGTTTATCAAAATGTTAAAAGAAAAAAAAAATCATTTTACTGGGTTTAAATTTTAATTAAAGATTACTGTGCAACTGAATTGAATGGATAATTTGCAATTCATTATGGTTACAAGAAAAACTTAAGAAACCTCAAACAAAATAGCCGCATAAAGCTTTGCACAGGAGCAATTCAAAACGTGCAGGCATAGTGTTTAGGGACATTAAACCGAAACGATTTAATTAGCTACCGCGTGGGACCGGGCCACCCACGCGATTGAATGGGCAAATGCAAGAGATTATAGTCTCTTGGCACGTGCTTTTTGTGTGTTGCGAGAACCTAATGTTGGGTCGAACGAAAGCCTCGGTGATCAGTAGTGATCTGTGAGATTTCTCAAACACAAAGCAAGCATTATAGTATTGTTATTCCTCACTCTTTGTGTCTTGTTGGAGATGTTTCCGCAGAAAATGTAAGATCTTTGGCCAGCAGTCTTCTTGTGCCCGGGCATGTGCAACAGCCTCCCCTCCCCAAGCTAGGTACGGGTAACCATGCCCTTCTTTAGTAGATTTGCTGAAAGAAAAATCACAAAGAGGAGAGTAGGGTGGCTCGATGAGATGTCCCGCTTGGGTATAACTCAAGTTAGTGCACAAATGTTCTTTTCCATTCTCCTTCAAGCGATCAATAATGAATTTTACTGTAAAATCGGTGGGGACGTTCAAGTCATCAGTTCCAGAAACCAGCATGACAGGGCAATTGATGTTCTCAACTGGTGTAATAGCTGAGTATTTGGAGGCTGTGCTTGGATTCATGTAATCAATGTCAGTTGGCTGGGCAAAACGCCAGATGCTGCCCTTTTCTGAAGACAACACTCGGCTCTCATTCATGGGTATTATGTCTGAGACTCTCCCTTTTAATTGGAAAGGGAGAAGGTAGGCGATCACCAGAGGTGAAATAGCTACAATGGCCTTTATTGATGCGATCTGATAACTTGCCATCAACAGTGCAATCCATGAGCCATAGGATATAGCGTGCATGCCGATACCATGTGGAAGCACTTTAGGGTGACTTGTAAGCCAGTTAGCAGCTTCTTCAAAATAATCCAGGTTTATTGAAGATGGAACCAATGGTTGATCTTCATAGCCCAAGTAGGCCAAAGCAAGAGTAGCGAATCCATGAGATGCCAAAAGTGAAGCCTTAAATTCCACTAATCCGCCTGCAGCACCAAACAGATCTATGACTCCTGTAAAGATAACATTGACTGATTGATTGCAAGATAGATCGTACGATTAAGATATTACTTTGATTCAGTGACAATCGCTTATAAAATAATACGTCAAAGGTGGCTTTAATTACGAACATGTCAATAACCTTTTAAATTTTTGGACCACTCAAAATGGCGGACATATGACGACAAATTCCTTCGCTAGTTTCCTCGTAAGACATCTGAAAGGGCTGCTGTTGCTATCTAAAAGGGCTGCTGTTGGTCTTGTTAGATTCAAGTTTTTATACTACTTGCCAGGAACCAGCCGTGACTAAACGCTTGAGGCGTGTCTCAGAAAGAAATCAGTACAGTCCTCAATCTTTTTGTGGATCGCCCAGTTTTGTTAAGGACTGCATTTTAAAATGATTGTCCGATCATCACACGACTCTCTAGAGCTTACAATCACGAGGAAGTTAGACATATATATTGAAGCTGGAAAATATTGGAACCAAGTTTTTTGGCTAAAAATTAAACTGATAGCTTTGTTCATCGGAAATTATTCATTTGAATTGATCTACCGCAAAATAGACGACTTGTAATTCTGTTTTGCAGGTAGTATTTAACATTATCGATCAGCTGAGATCAATTCATCAAAATAATAACGATGCGATCCATCCGCTTTATCTGTTCAATGAAAATGAATGCGCTCCGCCTTGTTTTCTTTCAAAAATTCGTTGCTGATTTTCTGAATGAATCTTGATAATCATTACAATTTCTTCAAATATGAATTGTGCATTAACTGCCTTATTCTTCACTCGTCATTCTACTCAGTTGTAATCGGACAGTTTGCTGTAATCGGACACTTGTTTCTTTAGACATTGTCTCCATTGCAATTGTTTGTCCTAAATGTATTTGTTTTCTTTGTTTTCGGATATTACGAACGTTTATGATTAATTGGTAACAAGACTTTGTGTCGTCCAATACTGTTAATCGCGATCGTCCGATTTTGTTAATCACTCGTATGATCACAGACCGAAATGGAGTCCACTTGGTCTTATTACCATTATGTTTAACTGAAGTTCACCCTTTATTCTTCCATACAAAGCTTTGTGCATTTTTCCATGATTTGATAAAATCTCTTTCGCTTTACATCCGTTGCGGATTTCAACGATTTTTTTAATACTTCAGTGACCTGTGAGTGATCCAATGTTTTATGTAATTAGGAAAAATAGGGTAGCAAATTAATAGTAATATTCTAGAAATGCTCGTAATCTGTATTAAAAGGATTCCATTTAGAGCTCTGATTTCTTTAAATCTACTTTACATCCTTTTTGTAGGGTTGGATAAAGCCAAAGACGTCAATGATAATGATAATTCTTTGTAAGTCTGGTTTGTCTCTTTCAACACTCACACTTTGATTCTCACTGACTTGTGCTGCTAGAAACTCACTTCAGCTGCGGAATTCTGTCTCTACTTCAGCATAATCTCTACATTCTTGTACTAAGTAAGCTCTGGAGTTCATGCTTTTCTATTCACTATTGCTTGCTGAAAATTAACAATTTCATTAAAACTTAATGGTTATGATTAACTGAATCAACCTCTGACTGCGTTAGCCAAAACAAGAACTTTCGTATGGGTCCAACTAGGCATGTCCACTTGAAAGTTTCACAGGACAGTCAGTCAGGAAACTCATCACCAAATCTCAAGCTTACATAACCTTGGACTTTTAAATTCATATAATAACAACATTCTAAATATTAACGAATGACCAAATCACAGGGAATCGACTGCAAAAAATGACTGACTAAACTAATGAGATACATGAAAAAATAACTCATTCCGCAATCCGCGCTTTGCTTTTGCATAATTTTATAATAAAGTTCGGATATGACGCACGCTGTCATTGGTTGAAAGAGCGTGCTCTTTGAGAGTATAGAGCATAGAGCTGAGCTAAAGCTGTCACGCCAACTGCTAAATTGTACTGTGTCCGACTTTCTCCGGGACTTTTCACTAGTTATTTTTCTTTAATTGAAAGTGAAAATCCGGAAGAGGCAAGTCGACAAATAGCAACAAAAGAACCAAACAAAGTTTGTAAACATGCCAGGCGCCGTATTATAACGTGAGCAGAGACGAAAATCCTCAAAGAGTAAACGAAATGGAGTTCGAGTTTTGAAGGTTTTCACACCCAGTTAGATTGGAAGCTTCTGTACGACAATAAAAGTCAAACACAGCTAACACTCGTGAAGTGTATATAGTTTCGTGTTCAAAAAAAAAAAAACAGAACAAAATAGAAATGATGAAAAATATAGCCAAACTGGCATAACTGTTGAAACTCGTACTAATCATTACGGTGTGATGCTGAGGTCCAACGGGGCTAGTTCACCATGGCGATCTCCGGTCATCACAGTCAAGAAAACCTCAGTAATTAAGTAAACACTTTTTTCAAAGACCACAAATTGCACGAGCCGCTTCCTGAGTGCTTAACAACAAAACAACGCACAGTCAAGGCTTCTCTATTTGTTACATGATGAGGTATCTCGTATTTTTTGATGTATATTATTATTACCTAATCATATGATTTTTCTCGTGCAATTTGGAATAAATAAGTTCGTGCAAAAGACCACAAATTTTGTTAGTCTTTGAAAAAATTTACTCGTGCTTATTTATTCCAAATTAAACTCGAAATCATGTGATTACTTATAATAACTAAAATTATTAACATAAAATTTTACTTAAGCTAAAAGTAAAATACGGCTGGAGGCCACAACACATCGTTGAATATCGTTTACTCGAGTACGTCTCGTGTTTCTCCCTACACTTCTTTCGTGCTCTAGCCGCTTCTTGTGTGCTTTACAAGTAAGACGAGAAATTTTTTTAGTCTTTGAAAAAATTTACTCGTGCTTATTTATTCCAAATTAAACTCGAAATCATTTGATTACCTATATTAACTAAATACCTCATAAAAAAAATTTTACCAATGTTACTTGATAACATAAATTTTACTTAAGCTTAATGTAAAATACTGCTGGAGGCTACAACACATCGTTGAATGTTGTTTACTCGAACAGGTTTATTTATTATTTGTTATTATTTTTTTACCTCAATGGTAACTCTTGCATTCAAACAATAGGTCTTTGGATGAAAATAGAATAGAAAAGGAGAATAAAAAAAGAAGCCTTCGTAGGAGTTTCAAACAAATAAGATATTCTAAGAGTTTCTGCATTAATGAAAATGGTTCAAACCATTGATAAAACCACATCTCCCATTCATTTATTCTTTGAAGATCACCTTGCAGCATGGAAAGATGGGGTTGAGGTTTCCCAACAAACGTTTGCGGTGCACGGTGAATGAAATTGATCTTTGCTGATCAGTTGGATCAACCAAAAAAGTGATTCTTGGTAAGAACCTGAACTATATGTCTAACACTGTTGTCACTTTTAAGAGATCAGGACACATCTGGAAGTTTAATAGCGGATTCTGATTCTTTTCAAATTCTTATCTCGAAGAACACTATTCTACTCGAGACTAGCAGTTTTTTGTTAAATAAACGTCAATCTTTCGCTACTCACCAGAAAAAGGTCCGTCACCCGGAGGAAGAAAAAGAGTTCCACAGATTCTTCCTTCTCTCACAGGAATTCTTTTCACTCCATTCGCCATGTACCCCTTTTCAAACGTGTTGCTAGACAAAGACTGCAAAGAACTTGATTCCTGCGGATCCGTATGGCCATCAAAACAGTTCAAGACGACTTTGTAAGGTTTAGTGACATCAGATTTCATCAGTCGAATTCCTTTTCTCTGCCCAGGTGATGGTTTCATGCTCCATAAAAGTCCCATAGCTGAAACTCCGCGGTAAGATCCACCAACAGACGGTTGACTACAAATATCAACTTGGCCATGTTTGGTAGCGATGAAGTGAGCGTGTGAATCGAACACCTGCCCGCTATCTCCAACAACTCGTGCTGCCAGTGTAATCTTCTGCAGTGGTTTCAGTCGGAATACGTTAATCTTAGTTATTTTGTCGACTAGTGAGAATTTTGGGCACAAGGTAATCATCTTATTTGAAAGTAACGACAAAATTGGCCGAGATGCACCTACTGAGTCAACGACCTATGACGTCAATTATCTCTCTTTCACCGTTATAGACAAATTTATTCCTTTGGCAGCATAAGTCATGAACATTCGTGACAGTGACGCATTGTTCCCGAAAGGTTGGACAATGATTTGACCCGAGATTGAATGGCGGCATTATTTTCGTAGGTAGGATCAAAGGAAGCTGACAACTCAAAAGAGACTAATAAACAGAGACAACTAAGAGAGACGACTTAAGCCATAAAATTCTAGGTTCAAACTCACGCCATATCATGAGGGCATAAGAGAAAAAGTTCGCAGCATGCATTCTACGGAGGTGCTATCATTTCTATCATCAATGTAGAGAGTTACATTAACTCTTGCAGTCGGTAGGTGTGTATGCGGTTACTTAAACCTGTTAGGAATGGATCCGAAAGTATCGTATCCTTTATAGTAGAAATATGTTGCAGGCACCCTGTAACCATCTCTGAGATGAAATTCATATGTTCTATCCTCATTAAACCTTAATTTGTCACTTTGTATTGTGAAATGTGACTCATTGGAAACTCCATATTTTTATCTTGATGTTAAAATTTGGTTTGTTTTTCATTATCATGTCCCATTTCATAATTAAAAAGTATACAGGTACAAATCCTAACGTTGCTGCTTGTTTAACACCATCCACGCATGAGTTATTCTTAGCATCATTATCATTTGTTGGTGTAGCTAAATTGATTATTATTTTATTGGACATAGTTAAATCAGCGGGTATGTGTTGCAGCTCAGTTCTACTTATGCTGTGATCACTAAACAAATTAGTTGATGTTCTTGAAACTGTCTCAGAACTACTGGTGACTGATATGTCAACATATGAATGATCAATAGTTGCTGAAGGAAAATACAATTCAAATAGCACTGTATATTCACTAGTTGTGAGCTCATACATGTCTAACCCAACACGAAAACGTAGATGACTTCTTACAGTATTTAAACAACCAGCAGCCTTCCATCCGCTTCACCATGGAGACAGAGAAAGACAACAAACTTACCTTCTTAGACACCGCAGTTTTAAGAGAACCTGACGGCCGCCTCACCATCAGCGTATACAGGAAGCCCACGCACACCGATCAATACTTAGCGTATAATTCACACCACCCTCAATCATTAAAGTGCGGTATTGTTAAGTGCCTTTACGAGCGCGCCAAACGTCTCGCAACAAAACCCTTCGTCATCTCCGAGGAGAAAAAACATCTGTTATCTGTTCTGGTTTCTAATTGTTATCCTTTTTCTTTCTTACAGAAACTTACCAAGACCGGAAACCGAAGAACAGTGGCGAACCCGCCAACGAGTTCAAAGTTACTGCGGTTTTACCTTATGTCAAAGATCTCTCCGCACAGCTTCACCGTTGCCTACAACAACAGGGCGTACGCGCTATTTTCAAGTCGGAGACTACGCTAAGATCCCGGTTAGTACGACCAGAAGATGCTGTCGACCCGGCTAAACAAGATGGCGTAGTTTACAGGATTCCCTGTAAATGCGGCAAGGTGTACATCGGAGAGACCGGAAGACCTATGCAGGACAGAATTAAGGAGCACGGTTGAGACATTCGATTCTCGCGGTACCGAGACCTCCGCCGTTTCAGAACATGCCCACAACACCGGACACAAGCCACTCTGGAACGAAGTAAAGTTTATCGATCGTGACCCTTATTACTACACGTGCAGGGTCAAAGTGGCAATTCATATGAGACTTCACCCAAACAATATCAATAGGGATAGTGGAATAGAAGTTCCAGAAGAGTGGATGCCCACAATCGAAAAAAAAACCAAAGGGGAGCCGTGCGAGGGAGCAAATCACTGATTGAACAGCAAGGATCGAAAATGCACCAATCAGAGCTGTTGAAAAACAACTAATCACAGCAGAACATCATGCTTTATAAGATCACGCATGACCAGTCGACCTCATCGCCTGAAGAAGACCAGCAGTATGGAGTCGAAACGTCTCGATCTACATCACACGTGACTACATCGTGAGACAAACGAAAAACTTAGCTTTTAATGTTAACACTTGTACAAGTTTAAGGGTTAAGCTATTTCAATGAATTACACATATTCACTTTAGCACTTTTTACCAATCATACAGAATTAGACATTCTTAAAAGGCTTTCAGAGCAAATTCCTTCCTTGCAGTCATTTTTCTTTCATACCTAGGGAGAGAAAATAATCAATTTTTGAGTTGATATCTCAATAAAAATTTTGATTGTTGATCTTCGGGTTGCGGAAGGAAAATGTAATGTGCAATGATATAAACAGATGTAGGAAACTAGTAAAAGAAAAAAGAAGAAAATGTACCAGAATATTTTGTTAAAAATAAATGATATGAAGACAGCACATACGAAATAGAGGACTTTTCCCCTGTTTAAATAGTCCCATCCGAGCAGGACAGGGTTGGCAGGATTCTATGCAGCTATGAAAACCCGAGACGGAGTAGTAAGTGTGCATAAGAGGATTCTCTGGCCCCTCGGATTTGAAAAGATGAGGCTATGCAAACATTGAAGAGTACTTCGTTGCTTTCAATAAGATATTTCCCCAAAATTACACGCAGATCCTTAATATTCAAATGATCAGGAAAATTTATTTGTAACACCACTGCTCTCGCTGCTTGGACTTCGCTTGGATAATTCTGTACAGAGCTACGTGCCTTGTATGAAAGTCCTTTCCCCCCTTTGAGTGGAAATTTTAAAATCAGAGGGCGTTTGGATGTTATGAGCCAGAATGATAGTTCATAATTTTCTCTGGAGATGTTGCTCAGATACCCTACAGGTACTTGTAAAATTCACGGCCGCCTATTTTAAAGGCATTCTTCCGTAGAAATATCGTGAGTTAGTTCGTCACTTCAAACAAAATAGCCGCATAAAGCTTTGCATAAGAGCAATTCAAAACGTGCAGGCATAGTGTCTAGGGACATTGAACCGAAACGATTTAATTAGCTACCGCGTGGGACTGGGCCACCTACATGATTGAATGGGAAAATGCAAGAGATTATAGTCTCTTGGCACGTGCTTTTTTTGTGTGTTGCGAGAACCTAATGTTGGGTCGAACGAAAGCCTCGGTGACCCGTAGTTATCTGTGAAAGTTCTCAAACACATAGCAAGCATTAAAGTATTCTTATTTCTCACTCTCTGTGTCTTGTTGGAGATGTTTTCGCAGAAAATGTAAAATCTTTGGCCAGCAGTCTTCTTGTGCTCTGGCATGTGCAACAGTCTCCCCTCCCCAGGCTACGTAAGGGTAACCACACCATTCTTTTATGGATTTGCTGAAAGAAAAGTCACAAAGAGGAGAGTAGGGTGGTTCGATGATATGTCCCGCTTGGGGATAACGCAAGTTTGTGCACAAATGTTCTTTTCCATTCTCCTTCAAGCGATCAGTAATGAACTTTACTGTAAAATCGGTGGGGATGTACAAGTCGTCAGTTCCAGAAACCAGCATGACAGGGCAATTGATGTTCTCAACTGGTGTAATAGCTGAGTACTTGGAGACTGTTGTTGGATTCATGTAATCAATGCCAGTTGGTAGGGCGAAACGCCAGATGCTGCCCTTTTCTGAAGACATTACCTTGCTCTCATCAGGGAGTATCATGTCTGAGACTCTCCCTTTTAATTGGAAAGGGTGAAGAAAGGCGATTACCAGAGGCGAAATAGCTACAATGGCCTTTATTGGTGCGATCTGATAGCTTGCCATCATCAATGCAATCCATGAGCCATAGCATATAGCGTGCATGCCGATACCATGTGGAAGCACTTTAGGGTGGCCTATAAGCCAGTCGGCAGCCTCTTTAAAATAATCCAAGTTTATTGAAGATGGAGACGATGGTTGATCTTCATAGCCCAAGTAGGCCAAAGCAAGAGTAGCGAATCCATGAGATGCTGAAAGTGAAGCCCTAAATTCCACCAATCCGCCTGTAGCACCAAACAGATCTATGACTCCTGTAAAGACAACATTGACTGATTGAGTGCAAGATATGTCTTACATGTGCAGCGGAGATCGTACAATTAAGATATTGCTTTGATTCAGTAACAATCGTTTATAAAATAACACGTCAAAGGCGGCTTTAACTATACAACATGTGAATAACCTTACACATTTTTGGACTACTCAAAATGGCGGACATATGATGTAAAATTCCTTCGCTAGTTTCCTCGTAACACATCTAAGGGCTGCTGTTGCTGTCTAGAAGGGCTGCTGTTGGTCTTGTCAGATTCAAGTCTTTATACTATCTGCCAGGAATAAGACGTGAGCAAACGCTCGACGCGTGTCTTAGAATGAAATGGGGAGGCTCAGTACAGTCCTCAATCTTTTTGTGGATCGCTCAGTTTTGTTAAGGACTGCATTTTAAAATGAGCGTCCGATCACCACACGACTCTCTAAAGCTTACAATCACGAGGATGTTAGAAATTTATATTGAAGCTGGAAAATATTGCCATGGGCTAAAAATTAAACTGATAGCTTTGTTCATCGGAAATTACTAATTTGGATTGATCCATCGTAAAATAGACGACTTGTGATTCTGTTTTGCAGGCAGTATTTCACACTATCAATCAGCTGAGATCAATTCATCAAAATGATAACGATGCAATCTATCTGCTTTATCTGTTTAATGATCGGAATGCGCTCCGCCTCGTTTTCTTTGTGGAGCGGTCGTTGCAAGAGGAAAGGAGCGTTCCGCCATTTTCTGAATGAATCTTGATAACCATTACAGTTTCCTCAAATATGAATGGTATATTAGCTGCTTTATTCTTCACTAATCATTCTATTCAATCGTAATCGGACAGTTTGCTGTAATCGAACAGTTAAAGCAACCATATTAGGTCCACTCAGCCGTATCCACCAATCACAGTATTGATCACAATAACCATAGCAACAACTACTTATCCTGAAAAAAAAACTGAGGAATTTCCAAATTGAACAAAAGTTTTTTCTTTGGACATGTTCTCTACCACAATTTTGTCCTAAATGTACTCGTTTTCATTTTTTTTTTCGGAAATTGCGAACGGTTATGATTAATTGGAAACGGGACTTTGTGTCGTCCAATACTGTTAATCGCGGTCGTCCGATTTTGTTAATCACTCGCGTGATCATAGACCGAAGGGGAGTCCACTTGGTCCTATTACCATTATGTTTAACTGAAGTTCATCCTTTCTTCTTCCATACAAAGCTTTGTGTATTTTTCCATGATTTGATAAAATCTCTTTCGCTTTGCATCCGTCGCGGATTTCAATGATTTTTTTTAATACTTCAGTGACCTGAGAGTGATCCAATGTTTTATGTAGTTAGGAAAAATAGGTTAGCAAATGTCCGTGTAATATGCCAGGAATGCTCGTCATCTGTATTAAAAGGATTGTATTTCGAGCTCTGATTTCTTTTAATCTATTTTATATTTTTTTCGTTGGGTTGGATGAAGCCTAAGACGTCAATGATAGTGTTAGCAACCAAATGTCCTCCTCTAAATATGCTGGTTCACAATGATGAGGAGAACCTTGCTAACGAGCACACCACGCTCAGGACTCTCGTACTGTTTCCTTTAATTACTCGCTTCTCTAATTTAGTTAATTTTTTAGTTACATCCAGTTTTGCTTCATTCTTTTCAAGTCTTTGTTAGTCTTTCGTCACTCACACTATGATTCTTACCGACTTGTGGTGCTAGAAAATCACTTCAGCTACGGAATTCTGTGTCTACTTCAGCGTGTCTGCATTCTTTTACTAAGTAACCTCTAGAGTACCTGCTTATATATTCACTATTGCTTGCTGAAAATTAACAACAACAGTGAAACTTAATGGTTATGATTAACTGAATCAACCTCTGACTGCGTTAGCCAAAACAAGAACTTCCGTGTGGGTCCAACTAGGCATGTCCACTTGGAAGTTTCACAGGACATTCAGTTAGGAAACTTATTACCAAATCTCAAGCTTACATGGCTTTGGACTTTTAAATTCATATAATAACAACATTCAAAATATTAACGAATGGCCAAATCACAGGGAATCGACTACAAAAAATGACTGACTAAACTAATGAGATACATGAAAAAATTACTCAATTCTGATTGGTTAAGATAAACACAGTTTTGATCGTACGCGGTTGTTTTGACCGAACGCACAATGCCACTTGCATGGTTTCAATAAATTATTTTTGCACTTGATGCCCGCGCTTTGCTTTTGTATAATTTTATAATAAAGTTCGGATATTACGCATGCTGTCATTGGTTGAAAGAGCGTGCTCTTTGAGAGTATAGAGCATAGAGCTGAGCTAAAGCTGTCACGCCATCTGCTTAATTGTACTATGTCCGACTTTCTCCGGGACTTTTCCCTAGTTTTTTTTCTTTAATTGAAAGTGAAATTCCGGAACAGAGAAGTCGGTAAATAGCAACAGAAGAACCAAAGAAAAGTTTGTAAACATGCCAGGCGCCGTATATAGCGTGAGCAGAGACGAAAATCCTCAAAGAGTAAACAAAATAGACAGTCCGAGTTTTGAAGGTTTTCACACTCAGTTAGATTGCAAGCTTATGTATTATAGTAAAAGTCAAACACGGCTAACACTCGTGTAGTGTATAAAGTTTCGCGTTCAAAAAAAAAACAAAACAAAAAACAGAACAAAACAGAAACGATGAAAATTGTAGCCAAACTGGTATAATTGGTGAAACTCATACTAATCATGACGGTATGATGCTGAGGTCCAACGCAGCTAGCTCATCGTGGCGATCTCCGGTCATCACAGTCAAGAAAGAAAGTAATTACATCGGCTGCCCTTCGAGAGAACTACTAAGAACTTGCTTTGACACCTTTCCGATGCGTTGGGTGGCCACGTCAGTCACTGCAGCCGAAATTTACGGCGCTGTCATCCCGAGCAATCTTCATGTTCCAGTAAATTCGGCTGTCATTCATTCATAAAAAACATGCTTGAACAGTTTGTTTTCTAAATAGTCGCATAAAAAAAAAGACTTGCGTGCTTTTATAAGCCTCAATTCGGCTGGATTTCACTGAACATTTCACTTCAGATTCTGTATTAGAGACTAAAAGGCTTCAGGTGAAAGAATTAAATTCGACCTGCCGAACTATTAAGTTTGTAAACTATCGCTGAATGTGAACTTTGATAGTTTTTTAACTTTAATGGTTTGACATTTTTGACAGCTTTATTCTTGCACACCCAATCAGATTATTTGAACCATTCTAACAAGGATTCTAATTGGCTTATTGTGGCGTGCTTCATGAGAATATAGAGCATGCTGAATACACTGTTGTTAGCTTAGGAAATAAAGTTTGTTTTGAAAATTGAAAGTAATGAGTGGGGAATTTAACGGATTTTTTAAGACTACGTCTCGTGTTTCTTCCTACATGACTTTCGTGCTCTAGCCGCTTCCTGCGTGCTTTACAACAGAGCAGAGCACAATCAAGGCTTCTCTATTTGTTAAATGATGAGCTATCTCTTATTTTTTCATGTATATTATTATTACGTAAACACAGCGGAGCTCGCGTAGCCCCATAATTATACAAAATAGTAGCAACCCATCAAGCCGAAAAAATTTGGATGTACGACCGTGCGACCGTACAAGGTGCTACGTTTAACATGCGTGGTCAAGTGTACCGCGGGCACGCCAACGCCACGACTTTGTTCAGTAGTCCAGTGGTCAGTGCACCGAGTCGGAGGACCCGGGTTCTATTCCTGGCCGGGGCAAAGCGTTGTGCCTTTGAGACTTGCGGGAAAAAAAATACGAGTTCCGCTTTTAGGCTTGGCTAAATCTATTTATTATGATTTTTCTTGTGCAATTTGGAATAAATAAGCACTTGTAAAATTTTTCAAAGACCACAAATTGCACGAGCCGCTCAAAGTAAATTTTCTCAAAGACCACAAATTGCACGAGCCGCTTCCTACGTGCTTAATAACAAAAGAGAGCACAGTCAAGGCTTCTCTATTTGTTAAATGATGAGGTACCTCGTATTTTTCCATGTTTATTATTATTACGTAATCACAAGTCTTTGAAAAAAATTACTCGTGCTTATTTATTCCAAGTTAAACTCGAAATCATGTAATTACCTACACTAGCTAAATACGTCATAAAATAATCTTATCACTGTTACTTCCTAACATAAAATTTTACTTAAGCTAAAAGTAAAATACTGCTGGAGGCTACAACACATCGTTGAATGTCGTTTACTCGACTACGTCTCGTATTTCTCCCTACACTTCTTTCGTGCTCTAGCCGCTTCCTGCGTGCTTTACAGAACAGAGCACAATCAAGGCTTCTCTATTTGTTAAATGATGAGCTGTCTCCTTTTTACCAATGTTACTTCATAACATAAAACTTTAGTAACGCTTAATGTAAAATACTGCTGGAGGCTACAACACATCGTTGAATGTCATTTACTCGAACTGGTTTACTACCTCAGTGGTAACTCTTGGATTCAATCAATAGGTCTTTGGATGAAAAGAAAAAACGCCAGAAGAATGCCAAAGAATCAAACAGCGTATAAAATTAAATTGTGTGCGAACACCATGTCGAATTACAAACAGACTCATTTTGATCATTGATTTTTCCTTATAATAATTTTTTTAAAATTCACTTCATGTTTACTGTTATTGGCGAGAATTTTTGTACTGGATTTTCGAAAAGAAACTGCAATATTAGTTCAAATCCTATGGAACCCTTTTTCAGCGAGAGAGATCAGTAACTTCTTTTCTTGGATTGATAAAAGCCTGAGATTACAAAGAGAATAAAAAAGAAGCCGTCGTAAGGGTTTGAAACAAATGAGATATTCTAAGAGTTTCTGCATTAATGAAAATGGTTGAAACCATTGATAAAACCACATCTCACATCCCTTTATTCTTTCAAGATCACCTTGCAGCATAGAGATATGGGGTTGTTGCGGCGCGCCGTGAATGAAATTGATCTTTGCTGACCTGTTGAAGTAGCAGAACAGTAAACTGAAGAAAAGTAATATTTTCGAAATTACGACCCGTAGCATTACACTGAGAAGATCAACCCAAAAAGTGATTCTTGGTAAAAACCTGAACTGTATGTCATCAGGGCACAGAGATCAGACACATCTGGAAAGCTCAATAGCGGATTCTGATTCTTTTCAAATTCTAATCTCTAAAAACACTTTTCTACTCTGGACTAGCAATTTTCTTTTAGATAAACGTCAATCTTTCGCTACTCACCAGGAAAAGGTCCATCACCCGGAGGAAGAAAAAGAGTTCCACGGATTCTTCCTTCTCTCACAGGAATTCTCTTCACTCCATTCGCCATGTACCCCTTCTCAAACGTATTGCTAGACAAAGGCTGCAAAGAACTTGATTCCTGCGGATCCGTATGGCCATCAAAACAGTCCAAGACGACTTTGTAAGGTTTAGTGACGTCAGATTTTACCAGTCGAATTCCTTTCCTCTGCCCAGGTGATGGTTTCATGCTCCATAAGAGTCCCATTGCTGAAACTCCGCGGTAAGATCCACCAACAGACGGTTGACTACAAACATCAACGTGGCCATGTTTGGTAGCGATGAAGTGAGCGTGTGAATCGAACACCTGCCCGCTGTCTCCAACAACTCGTGCCCCGAGTGTAATCTTCTGCAGTGGTTTCAGTCGAAATACGTTAATCTTAGTTATTTTGTCGACGAGTGAGAATTTTGGCCACAAGGTAATCATCTTCTTCGAAATTAACGACAAAATTGGCCGAGATGCACCTACTGAGTCAACGACCTATGACGCCAGTTTTCTCTTTTTCACCGTTGAAGACAAATTTATTCCTTTGGCAGCATAAGTCTTCACATTCGTGACAGTGACGCATTGTTCCCGAAAGGTTAGACAATAATTTGACCCGAGATTAAATGGCGACATACTTTTCGTAGATAGGATCAAGGAAGCTGAGAACTCAAAATGGACCAACAAACAGAGACAACGTAGAGAGACAACTTAAGCCATAAAATTCTAGGTTCAAACTCACGCCATATCATGCAGGCATAGGAGAAAAAGCTCCGGAAAAAGTTCGCAGCATGCATTCTACAGAGACGCTATCATTTCTGCCATCGATGTAGAGAATTACATCAACGCTTGCAGTTGGTAGGTGTCTATGCGGTTACTTACACCTGTTAAGAATTGATTCGAAATTATCATATCCTTTAGAGTAGAAATGTGTTGCAGGCACCCTGTAACCATCTCTGAAATGAAATTCACATGTTCCATCATTTGTCACTTTGTACTGTGAAATGTTATTCATTGGAAACTCCATATTTTGATCTTGACGTGAAAATTTGGTTTCCTTTTCATTATGATATCCCATTCCATAATTAAAAAAGTATACAGGTACAAATCCTAACGTTGCTGCTTGTTTAACACCATCCACACATGAGTTATTCTTAGCATCATTATCATTTGTTGGTGCAGCTAAATTGATTATTATTTTATTGGACATAGTTAAATCAGCGGGCGTATGTTGCAGCTCCATTCTACTTCTGCTTTGATCACTAAACAATTTAGTTGATGTTCTTGAAACTGTCTGAGAACTACTGGTGGCTGATATGTCAATAGATGAATGGTCAATAGATGCTGAAGGAAAATATAGTTTAAAAACCACAGTATATTCACCAGTTGTAAGCTGATACATGTCTAATAACCCAACACGAAAACGTATATGACTTCTTACAGCATTTAAACAACCGGCAGCCTTCCATTCGCTTCACCATGGAGACAGAGAAAGACAACAAACTCGCCTTCCTAGACACAGCAGTTTTAAGAGAACCTGACGGCCGCCTCACCACCAGCGTATACAGGAGCCCACGCACACCGATCAATACTTAGCGTATAATTCACAACACCCTCAATCAGTAAAGCGCGGTATTGTTAAGTGCCTTTACGAGCGCGCCAAACGTCTCGTAACAAAACCCTCCGTCATCTCCGAGGAGAAAAAACATCTGTTATCTGTTCTGGTTTTATAATGATTATCCTTTTTCTTTCTTGCAGAAACTTACCAAGACCGGAAACCGAAGAACAGTGCCGAACCCGCCAACGAGTTCAAAGTTACTGCAGTTTTACCTTATGTCAAAGGTCTGTCCGAAGAGCTTCGCCGTTGCCTACAACAACGAGGCGTGCGCGCTTTTTTCAAGTCAGAGACGTTGTCGACCCGGCTAAACAAGATGGCGTAGTTTGCAGGATTCCCTGTGAATGCGGCAAGGTGTACATCGGAGAGACTAGAAGACCAAACTGGAAGAATTAAGGAGCACGATCAAAACATTCGACTCGCCCGTACCGAGACCTCCGCCTTTTTAGAGCATGCCCACAACACCGGACACAAGCCACTCTGGAACGAAATAGGGTCAAAGACCTTACCCTAACAACATCAACAGAGATAGTGGAATAGAAATTCCAGAAGCGTGGATGCCCACCATCAAAAAACACAACAATAGGAGAGCCATGCGACAGCGGACCGCCAAGGGAGCAAATCACTGAGTGAACAGCAAGGATCGGAAATGTACCAATCAGGGCTGTTGAAAAACCACTAATCACAGCAGCACATCATGCTTTGTATAAGATCGCGCATGACCAGTCGATCCTCATAGCCTGAAGAAGACTAGCAGTATGGAGTCGAAACGTCGCGATCTACATCACACGTGACTACATCGTGAGACAAACGAAAAACTTAGCTTTTAATCTTAATACTTGTATGAGTTTAAGGGTTAGGCTATTTCATTGAATTACATGTATTCACCACAATACCATCTTTTATCGATCACACAGAATAAGACATTCTTAAAAAGCTTTCAGAGCAAATTCCTCCCTCGCAGTTATTTTTCTTCCTTACCTAAGGTGAGAAAATAATCAATTTTGAGTTGATATCTTAATAAAAATTTTGACTGTTGATCTTCGGGTCGCGGAAGGAAATGTGCATTGATATCAACAGATGAAGGTAACTAGTGAAAAGAAAAAAGAAGAAACCGTATCCAGAATAAGTGGTAAGTTCTTTTGTTTCAGCACTTACGAAATAGAGGACTTTTCCCCTGTTTAAATAGTCCCATCCAAGCAGGACAGGGTTGGCAGGATTCTATGCAGTTATGAAAACCCGAGACGGAGTAGTAAGTGTGCAAAAGGACCTCCCTAAATATTCAAAACATTGACGTCAGACGACTCGGCAAATATTCAATATGGCGGCCGAAAATTACCTCAGTCGCTTTCCTCGTTCATTTTAAATCTTTGTTCTTCTGCAAAGAATTACCACTCTGTAAGGAAGGTTTGAGGTTTTCACAGATGTTTGTTTTTTGATATGTTTGTAACGTGTGAAGGTTTTGTCGTGCATATCGTACAAACAAACATATTTTGCCGTCGTATAGGGGTGGCTAAGAGTCATTCCTTGGTCCTTTTGAAACATCCCGGTAAAGAATATGTATTTATTTCTGGAGAAGCATTTTGATATCACATCTTAAAGTTTCGTGACAAAAGTCCTTTTGAGATTAAGGTTTTTCCCTCATATTTTTCCTACAGTAAACTTCAGATATTGTGAAGAGGTCATACATACACGGAGCTTTAAAGCTGTATTTTTTATATTTTTTTATATAAAGCGATGGAATTATCTAGCAACCTTTGTGGCATTGCAGGTGTAAAGTTATGGAATCCTTAATGAAAGGGTTTCCAAATCTTCACAAAAATAGTGGGTTAACTAGGGGAAAGGAAGTGTGTGTGTGGAAAGTGTAGTAAGTGTAAAATGATGAAAAATAAAAATGTTAGTTGTTAAGTAGAGCACGTACCATTAGGCAGTGTAAAAATAAAAGGCTTAGTCGATGAAAAACGCTAACGTAAAGCGACCACCAAACTGCAAGGCAGCTACGTCAACCACAGGGCAGCGTCAAAATAAAAATCATTAAGGAGGGATTCGTTTTGGGTGGGTTGCTTTATGGCGCTTTCGATAAACAAGTGATTTGAGGTTAATGATTGATCAAAGTTATTCCTATCTGCCTTAAATTTGATGGGTAATAAAATAGATACAAAAGAAAATGCCCAAATAATTTAATACCATAAAAACTTAACAAAGTTATTGTAACAATACATTGAATATTGTAAAATATCTCTCTAATATCATCTTAATAAAAATAATAAAGGTTCACCTGATGTTAAATTGACAATTATACGTTGTGAAAGGATAGGTATTTAATAACCCATATAAAATAAGTTTAGTTAAAGGTTGCTTGTGTTCTTAACTTGTCCATTCAAAAAGAGCCATTTTCCTTGGTGTAAATGAAAATAAAACCAAGTGAGTGATTTAGAGTCAATATTGTTCATGATAAAATCCATTTGTCTTGCTCGTTTTTCTCCCTTCTTTGCAGTTGCCCAATGTTGTAAAGTGAATCCATTCAAGGCAAAATAACATTAATCGGAGGGTGTCTTGATCACTTATCGGTTTTTTCCAGAACTTGAGTCGTATGTCATTCAGCGAGGAGGAAAGTGGGTAAAAGACATCGCCATTGATTAAAGTAAGCAAACTCCTTGTTTTTTCGATCAGTCGTGGTCTTGAAAGGTGTCGTATATCAGTGTTGAAGATGTTGATTGCTAAAAATTTGTACATAGTAGAGAAGCTGATGTCATAGCTAGTATATGTTTAAGAAGTGGAAATTATAATATATTTCGTTGGAAAAAGAAAAATATATAAAGGAATTAAAAAGAGTGGTAAATAGTTCAAAAGCGTAAAATAGAAAATAAACTAAACATCGAATACATGAATCAGATGCTTGAAATATATCTTTTGTTGTTCAATTTTGCAAAAAAATTGTTTCATTTCGTCAGGAAAAAGAAAAATGAAATAAATCAAACCAACTTAAGCATAGTACATTATTACCATGACGTTACTATGAATCATTTAACATTTTGTAATTCAAACTTTGTTATAGTCAAAATTTGCATAATTCTGTAATAATATTCAGAAATTCCATATTTAAGCCGAAAAAAAAAGCTAATTTTAAAATAGATAAAAATTCCATGAACCCATTTGACGTAAAGTAGTTATGAAGGAAAGATTAAAAGAGAGAGAGAGAGAGAGAGAGAGAGAGAGAGAGAGAGAGAGAGAGAGAGAGAGAGAGAGAGAGAGAGAGAGAGAGAGAGAGAGAGAGAGAGAGAGAGAGAGAGAGAGCTGATTACCGAATAGTAAAATTGCGAGGGTGGAAATAGTTTCTGTGGGGATCGCTTTCAATTAAAATAGTCTAATAAATATTGTACGAGCTTAAATTGATAATAAAAATAAAAGTACTCACGTTGAAAAGAAGAAAAGTGCGTGATAGTCTCCTAGCCGGGCGTGACTTATCCATGGTAAAAAAATTTTGTTGACAGCAAAAAAAAATGAAACTTTTTTCAATTTTACTGACGCCGCGATTGCGTGATCTCATGACGTAATAGTTTACGTACGAAAAGGAGCATGGTATTGTTGTAAATTTCACTCGGTTTTGGGTGACGATGTGTGCTAAAAAATGTAGTATTGTGGAAATTTTGTCCTTGAAAGAGTTCGACTGGATGGTTGATACAATCTCCGGGATGTGAAGAAAGTATGAAGTAGGGTTTATTTGGTGTAGGTGATGGAGGGGAGGTGATAACTGATACATAACAAAGAGGAATTTACAGATGCGATGGTCGGAACTTTTCGGATGGTTAGACATATAATCGATTCCATACAATAATTATTCGTTCTTAAACGGTGGAAGATCATCGGAAATCCGTATGGAAGGTTTGTATTGGTGGATAGAAAATCGCGAAAAGAGGTCCAGGAGACAAAAAAGTAAATTTTTCTTCCGAAGGAAACTCTAATTTGATTCTTCGTTCTATTGTACAGATAGGAAAAAACGTTTCTCATACTTCATGTCTTTGAAAGATTTTATTCAACTAACGTTTTAAAAAGTTAAATTTAATAAGGTTTGAAATTTTTCAAGGTAAACAACAGAAGTGAAAAGATTATTTTCATTCATTTAGAAAATGGCTGTTATACTAATAAATTGAAAATACCTACATTTTGTATGGTACAGGAAAAAAAAATGAGGCTAAGCGAAAGCTAGGAAGGGCTTGTTTCCGCTCTTATCAGGCTGGCGATATATTGATAGGAAACAATAACGACCACAAGAACAACAAAAAAAAACCAACTGCATGTATTCCCATGTACTTCGTTGGGAATTTAAAAAGCGATTTTGCGCCCTGTTAATCCTTTACCTCCCTAAATCTGATTGTTAATTTACCCCTCAAGCTGATACACATTTCCTTGAATATCAGTTTCGAGACTTTGGTGTTAAATCACGATAACGAATTCTATCTGATAAGTCAGAGTATTCTCATTGCCTGTTTGCTGGAGAATGTGTGGATACTAAAGGGAGGTATTACATATCTTAATCACTTGTGTGAGTTTAAGGGTAGAGCTCTTTAACTAAATTACACGTATTCATTTAAGCACATTTTTTTTTACTGATCACACAGAATTAGACATTCTTAAAAAGCTTTCAAAGCAAATTCCTCCCTTGCAATCATTTTCCTCCCTTACCTAAGGAGAGAAAGTAATTGATATCTTAACAAAATTTTTGGCTGTTTATCCTTCGGGTTGAAGAAAGGAAAAATTCTAATCTCCAAAAACACTTTTCTACTCTTGACTAGAGAGTTAAAAAGACTTAAAAAGCTTTCAGAGCAAATTCCCCCCTTGCAATCATTTTCCTTCCTTACCTAAGGAGAGAAAGTAATTAATATCTCAACAAAATTTTTGGCTGTTGATCTTTCGGGTTGAAGAAAGGAAAAAGAATTGAGCACCCATATAAACAAGTGTAGGTAATTGATAACAATAAAAAAAACAAAACAAAACAAGAAATTGTATCAAGAAAAGGTCTTAAAATGTACATATTTAAAATCGATGATATGTAGACAGCATTTACGAAATAGAGGACTTTTCCCCTGTTTAAATAGTCCCATCTAAGCAGGATAGGGTTGGCAGGATTCTATGCAGTTATCAAAACCCTAGACGGGGTAGAAGGTGTACATAAGAGGATTCTCTGACCCCTCGCATTTGAAAATATGAGGCTATGCGATCATTAAACATTATTTCATTGCTTTCAATAAAATACTTCCCGAAAATTTCACGCGGATTCTTAAAATTATAACTGGTCGAGAACATTTATTTGTAACACCACTGTGCTTGGACTCTGCTCGGATCATTTCTTTACAAAGCTACGTGCTTTGTATAAGTCCCCCCCTTTCCCCCTTCCTGCGGAAATGTTTAAATCAGAGGGCTTTAGGACGTTTTTAGCCACAATACTAGCTCATAATTTTCTTTGGAAATGTTGCTCAGATACCCTACAGACACAGAAAGCTTTGCATGAGAGCAATTCAAAACTTGCAGGCATAGTGTTTAGGGACATTCAACCGAAACTATTTAATTAGCTACCGCGTGGGACTGGGCCACCCACGGGATTGAGTGTGCAAATGAAAGAGATTAATACAGAGATATAGATTTAGCCAAGCCTAAAAGTGGAGCTCGCATTTTTTTTCCCCGCACGTCTCGTCAACAAAATCATAGCCCCTATTATGGATAACGAGCGTATATTAATGAATTTTCATTCGCAATTTCTCCGTGTCCGTGTAGAGAACTGATTCTATTGTAGATGTTACAGGGTTAAATTTTTAAGTCAATAGGCAATTTTTGGGAGTCTTTATAGAAAAGCTTGCAGCGATAGGTTGAAAATTTTAAACAAAAGGAAAGAAAATTGTGCAAACCGCTAAAAAGTTTTCCCAAAAATATGCAACGAGAAAATGTAAAAAAATCTCGAACCCAGAGTCTCGTCAGCTATGCCCAAGTGTTACGCACATGTTACGCTCAAACCTCCGCTAAACAAGAGTAAAGCTATGGCGTTGACGTGCCCGATGTACAGTTGGCCGCGCATACTAAAAGTGGCACCTTGTGCGTACGGTCGTACGGTCGTACGGTCGTACGGTCGTACGGTCGTAAGTCCAAATTTGTTTGGCTTGATGGGTTACTACTATTTCGTATAATTATGGGGCTAGGCTGCGCGCACTGCGAGCTCAGCTATAATCTCATGGCACGTGCTATTTTTGTGTGTTGTGAGAACCTAATGTTGGGTCGAACGAAAGCCTCGGTGACCTGTAGTTATCTGTGAAAGTTCTCAAACACATAGCAAGCGTGTATGTATTCTTATTCCTCACTCTCTGTGTCTTGTTGGAGATGTGTTCGCAGAAAATGTAAAATCTTTGGCCAGCAGTCTTCTTGTGCTCTGGCATGCGCAACAGTCGCCCCTCCCCAAGCTAGGTACGGGTAACCACACCATTCTTTAGTAGATTTGCTGAAAGAAAAGTCACAAAGAGGAGAGTAGGGTGGTTCGATGAGATGTCCCGCTTGGGGATAACGCAAGTTAGTGCACAAATGTTCTTTTCCATTCTCCTTTAAGCGATCAATAATGAACTTTACTGTAAAATCGGTGGGGTTGTTCAAGTCATCAGTTCCAGAAACCAGCATGACAGGGCAGTTGATGTTCTCAACTGGTGTAATAGCTGAGTATTTGGAGACTGTTGTTGGATTCATGTAATCGATGTCAGTTGGTTGGGCAAAACGCCAGATGCTGCCCTTTTCTGAAGACACCACTTTGCTCTCATCAAGGGGTATCATGTCTGAGACTCCCCCTTTTAATTGAAAAGGGTGAAGGAAGGCGATTACCAGAGGTGAAACAGCTACAACGGCCTTTATTGGTGCGATGTGATAGCTTGCCATCAACAGCGCAATCCATGACCCATAGCATATAGCGTGCATGCCGATACCATGTGGAAGCACTTTAGGATGACTTATAAGCCAGTTCGCTGCTTCTTCAAAATAATCCAAGTTTATCGTAGATGGAGACAATGGTCGATCTTCATAGCCCAAGTAGGCCAAAGCAAGAGTAGCGAATCCATAAGATGCCAAAAATGAAGCCTTAAATTCCACTAATCCGACTACACCACCAAGCAGATCTATGACTCCTGTAAAGATAACATTGACTGGTTGAGTGCAATGTATGTCTAACATTTGCAGCGGAGATCGTACAATTAAGATATTGCTTGGATTCAGTAACAATCGTTTATAAAATAGCACCTTAAAGGCGGCTGTAATTAACTATGCAACATTTGAACAACCTTCAACATTTTTGGACCACTCAAAATGGCAGAGATATGACGACAAAATCCTTTGCGAGTTTCCTCGTAACACATTTAAAAGGGGGTTGCTTTGTAACTTGTCAGATTAAAGTTTGTTCCTGTATTACCTGATACGAATTAGCCGTGAGCAAACGCTTTACGAGTGTCTTAGAAAGAAATTAAAAGGCTCACTACAGTCCTCAATCTATTTATGGATTACTCAGTTTTATTAATGACTGGATTTTTTAAACCTGTTCGATTAAACGACATTCAAAGATGTGTTGTAGCCTCCAGAAGTATTATTGAGCTTAAGAGCTAATGTCAATATGCATCAGACAAACACCGGCAAGTCACCCAAAATTGTTTTCACTCCTATTTTATATTTTGTAGCCCAATAAGTCCTAACAACTGTGGTCTAGTTTGTTTCTGAAAATATAATTTAGTATCAAATACACAAATTTTCACAGTGAATGTTATCCGAGTTGAGTGACATCATGTAACGAATTTACTTGAAATATTTATTTTTTGGTAAATTTTTTTGTCCGTCATACTTTTTCTATGTCGAAAAGTAGTATCAAAACAAAGACAGTTTTAACAATGGCCGATATGACAGAATCTACTGAGCTTCAAGCTTTTAAAAGACGAAAGAATGGTTAAAAAGTTACTGTAAAAATTTCCTTGTGAATTTGTGTTGTAAATATTTTAAATATTTCTCTGCCAGCTTCAATAATGACAGGCGATTAATTTTAGATGATAAAACAAAGGATTATGTAATGTTTAAAAAACGAGCAGGAGTGTTTTATCGGGTTTAAAACCACGAGGCGCAGCCGAGTGGTTTTTGACCCGATAAAACACGTGCTGCGAGTTTTTTGAACGGCTTCAAAAACATTCTTGGAAAAGCGTGTGTCAGGAGAGTTCATAACAATTATGCTTTTGTGAACGTTAGAAATTAGCATACGAGAAAAATATTAGGGATTAAATTAGTATGCAAGGAAATCAAATCTCACACGTTTTTTGTACTTTTCTTCTACTAACCGAAGATGACATGGAGTCGAAATTTCAGATGATGTATTGTCTAATATGCCTTTACCAGATTACTGTACTAATGGAATAGAGAATTTTCCCGATGTGTATTTCACAACTGTACTGTTAATTTGGTGCAAAAGTAAATTTACTGTGTGAAATTTGTTGAAAGAACATTAAATATGTTCCCACCATTTGTTGTGTCAGTTTCTGTGTTGATAATTAATTAATATTCATAAGTCACGGGCAGTGTCTTTATATCTGATAAAACGCCGCATACTAATAAGGATGAGGTTTATCGATATAAAGTCACTGCACGTGATGTATTATCTACCATTTGATAGGTTAATGGGCTTATGAATTATTAATGAGTTTTTGAAATTGACAGAAATACCGGAAGTCGAGAAATTTGCATATTTGAGCGGTCGAACGAAAAAAAGTAATTTCTCGAAAACTAAAGTATATTTTCACAAACAAACTACACCCCGATCATTAGGACATATTGGGCTAAAAAATATGAAAGTAGGAGTGAAAGAAAATTTTGGATGACTTGCCGCTGCTTGTCTGATGCATATTAACATTAGCTCTTAAGCTTAATAACACTGCTGAAGGCTACAACACATCGTTGAATGTCGTTTACTCGAACAGGTTTATTGTTATTATTTTTACCTCAGTGGTAACTCTTGCATTCAGTCAATAGGTCTTTGGATAAAAAAGAATTTAGATGCCAGATATTGACCCTCCTTTCCAGAAGAATGCCAAAGCATCAGACATCTTACAAAATTAAATTGTGTGCGAGCACCATTCCGAATTACGAAATGAGTCATACTCAGCGTAAGAGACTCATTTTGATCATCGATTTTTCCTCATAATCATTTTCTAAAATTAACTTCATGTTTTACCGTTATTGGCGAGTATGTTTGTACTGGATTATTGAACAGAAACTGCGATATTAGTCCAAGACCTATGGAACCCTTTTTCAGCAGTAACTTCTTTTCTTGGATTGATTGAGGCCTGAGATTACAAAGAGAGTAAAAATAGAAGCCTTCGTAGGAGTTTGAAACAAATAAGATATTCTAAGAGTTCTTGCATGAATGAAAATGGCTCAAACCAGTGATAAAACCACATCTCACATCCCTTTATTCGTTCAAGATCACCTTGCAGCGTGGAAAGATGGGGTTGGGGTTTGCAGACAAACGTTTGCGGCGCGCGGTGAAGGAAATTGATCTTTGCTAATCTGTTGAAGTAGCAGAACAGTAAACTGAAGAAAAATAATACTTTCTGAATTACGACCCGTAGCATTACACAACGGTGATCAACCCAAAAAGTGATTTTTGGTAAAAACCTGAACTGTATGTCTAACACTGTTGTCACTTTTAAGAGATCATGACACATCTGGAAAGCTCAATAACGGATTCTGATTCTTTTTAAATTCTAATCTCTGAAAACACTTGACTGGAGGCACTTTTTAGATAAACATCAAACTTTCGCTACTCACCAGGAAAAGGTCCATCACCCGGAGGAAGAAAAAGAGTTCCACGGATACTTCCTTCTCTCACAGGAATTCTCTTCACTCCATCCGCCATGTACCCCTTCTCAAACGTATTGCTAGACAAAGGCTGCAAAGACCTCGATTCCTGCGGATCCATATGGCCATCAAAACAGTCTAAGACGACTTTGTAAGGTTTAGTGACATCAGATTTCATCAGTCGAATTCCTTTTCTCTGTCCAGGTGATGGTTTCATGCTCCATAAGAGTCCCATAGCTGAAACTCCTCGGTAAGATCCACCAACAGACGGTTCACGACAAACATCAACGTGGCCATGTTTGGTAGCGACGAAGTGAGCGTGTGAATCGAACACTTGCCCGCTATCTCCAACAACTCGTGCCGCCAGTGTAATCTTCTGCAGTGGTTTCAGTCGAAATACGTTAATCTTAGTTATTTTGTCGACGAGTGAGAATTTTGGACACAAGGTAATCATCTTATTTGAAATTAACGGCAAAATTGGTCGAGATGCACCTACTGAGTCAACGACTTATGACGTCAATTATCTCTGTTTCACCGTTCTAGACTAATTTATTCCTTTGGCAGCATAAGTCATTAACATTTGTGGCAGTGACGCATTGTTCCCGAAAGGTTAGACAATGCAGTCGAACCTCGGTTATCCGGACATCGATTATCCGGACTTTTTCTTCGGTCCCGTTTTTTTCATGAATATTAATGACCTTAGATGTTAAAACTTTAGGAGGTAAAAAAATTCAGAAATTATGTTAAAATTCAGGAAAATTGTGTTTAAAACAGCGCATTACACGCTCCGCTTTCGAGAGATCGAGCGCTCGGAGACAAAAAGAGACGAGAGAAAAAGAGAAGCATTCTAATGCGTTCAGCTGAATTTTGATTGGTTCAGCATTGTTTTGTTGCTAAGGGAATGTCATGCTCGATCAGTTCGATGAGCGTGGGTTATGTAAACACACGAGACGATCATAACTCAAATGTCTCATTGATATTCTTATTTTCGATTATCCGGACTCTCGATTATCCGGACTATTTACCCTAGTCCCACCGAGTCCGGATAATCGAGGTTCGACTGTAATTTGACCCGAGATTTCATTGAATTATACGTATTGACTTTAGCACCATTTTTTATCGATCACACATAATTAGACATTCTTAAAAAGCTTTCAGAGCAAATTCCTCCTTCGCAGTCATTTTTCTTCCATTCTTCCATATCCTAAGGAGAGAAAATAATCAATTTTTGAATTAACATCTTCACAAAAATTTTGACTATTGATCTTCGGGTTGCACTGTTGATGTGCACTGTTATAGACAGATGTAGGTAATTAGTAAAAAGAAAAAGGAAGAAACTGTATCCAGAATAAGTGGTAAAATTCTTTTGTTAAAAAATAAATGATATGTAGACAGCCTTTACGAAATAGAGGACTTTTCCCCTGATTAAGTAGTCCCATCCGAGCACGACAGGGTTGGCAGGATTCTATGCAGTTATGAAAACCCATGACGGAGTAGTAAATGTGTATAAGAGGATTCTCTGGCCCCTCTGATTTGAAAAGGTGAGGTTATGCAAACATTGAAGAGTACCTCATTGCTTTCAAGAGCGTATTCCCCAAAATTACATGCGGATCCTTAAAATTGAAATGGGCAGGTAAATTTATTTGTAACACCACTGGTCCTAATACTGGAGCTCTGTTTGGATAATTCTGTACAGACTACGTGCCTTGTATACAAGTCCTTTCCCCCCCCCTCTTCAGAGGGTGTTTAGATGTTTTGAGCCACAATAATAGCTCATACTTTTCTTTGGAAATGTTGCTCAAATACCCTACAGGCACTTAAAAAATCACGGCCGCCTATTTTAAAGGCTTTCTTTTGTAAAAATAACGTGAGTTAGTTGGTTACTTCAGGATTTATTTCTTGTTTATCAAAACGCAAATTAAACATTTTGATTTAACCGGGTTTAAATTTAAATAAAAGATTTCTGCGCAACTAAATTGAATGGATAATTTGTAATTCATTACGGTTGCAAGAAAAACTTAAGAAACTTCAAACAAGTAGCCGCAGAAAGCTTTGAATGAGAGCAATTCCAAACTTGCAGGCATAGTGTTTGGGGACGTTGAACCGGAACGATTTAATTACCTATCGCACGAGACTGCGCCGCCCACGGGATCGAGATTTTTTCGCAAAAAGTGTAAAATCTTTGGCCAGCATTCTTCATGTGCTCTGGCATGTGCAACAGTCTCCCCTCCCCAAGCTAGGTAAGGGTAACCACACCATTCTTTAGAAGATTTACTGAAAGAAGAAGCACAAAGAGGAGAGTAGGGTGGTTCGATGAGATGTCCCGCTTGGGGATAACGCAAGTTAGTGCACAAATGTTCTTTTCCATTCTCCTTCAAGCGATCAATAATGAACTTTACTGTAAAATCGGTGGGGACGTTCAAGTCATCAGTTCCATAAACCAGTATGACCGGGCAATTGATGTTCTCAACTGGTGTAGTAGCTGAGTATTTGGAGATTGTTGTTGGATTCATGTAATTAATGTCAGTTTGTTGGGCGAAACGCCAGATGCTGCCCTTCTCTGAAGACACCACTTTGCTCTCATCAAGGGGTATCATGTCTGAGACTCCCCCTTTTAATTGAAAAGGGTGAAGGAACGCGATTACCAGAGGTGAAATAGCTACAACGGCCTTTATCGGTGCGAGCTGATAGCTTGCTATCAACAGCGCAATCCATGAGCCATAGGACATAGCGTACATGCCGATACCATGTGGAAGCACTTTAGGGTGACTTATAAGCCCGTTGGCAGCTTCTTCAAAATAATCCAAGTTTATTGAAGATGGACACAATGGTTGATCTTCATAGCCCAAGAAGGCCATAGCGAGAGTAGCGAATCCATGAGATGCCAAAAGTGAAGCCTTAAATTCCACCAAACCGACTACACCACCAAGCAGATCTATGACTCCTGTAAAGATAACATTGACTGATTGAGTGCAAGATATGTTTAACATTCTGCAGCGGAGATCGTATAATTAAGATATTGCTTGGATTCAGTAACAATCGCTTATAATTATGATTATAGTTACATCCAATTTTGCTTCATTCTTTGTAAGTCCTTTTTGTTCTCTTTCAACACTCACACTTTAATTCTAACTGACTTGTGCTGCTAGAAACTCACTTCAGCTACGGAATTCTGTCTCTACTTCTGCACAATGTCGACATTCTTCTACTAAGTAAGCTCTAGATTGCATTCTTATATATTCATTATTGCTTGCTGAAAATTAACAACAACAGTAAAACCTAATGGTTATGATTAACTGAGTCAACCTCTGACTGCGTTCGCCAAAACAAGAACTTTCGTGTGGGGCCAATAGGCACGTCCACTTGGAAGTTATGCAGGACAGTCAGTCAGGAGACTCATCACCAAATCTCAAACTTACATAGGGTTGGACTTTTAAACTCATATAGTAACTACATTCTAAATATTAAGGAATGACCAAATCACACTGAATCGACTACAGAAAACGACTGACTAAATTTATGAGCAATCTTCATGTTCCGGTAAATTCGGCTGTCGTTCATTCATAAAACACATGCTTGAACAGTTTGTTTTCTAGTTGTCAGGTAAAAAAAAATTGGTGTGTTTTTATGAGCCTCAATTCGGCCGGATTCCACTCAACATTTCACTTCAGATTCTGCATTAGAGACTGAAAGGCTTCAGGCGAAAGAGTTAAATTCGACCTGCCTAACTATTGATTTTGTAAACTATTGCAGAATGTGAACTTTGATGATTTGACATTTTTGACAGCTCTAGTGTTCTACATCCAATCAGATTATTTGAACCATTCTAAGAAGGATTCTAATTGGCTTAATGTAGCGTGCTTCATGAAAATACAGAGCATGCTGACGACACTGTTGTTCGCATTGGAAATAAAGTTTGTTTTGAAAATTGAAAGGAATGCGTGGGGAATTTAACGGATTCTTTATTATAAAACAAATAGAGAAGCCTTGACTTTTCTCTGTTCTGTTGTAAAGCACGCAGGAAGCGGCTAGAGCTCTTAAGAAGTGGGTAGAAACACGAGACGTAGTCGACGTAGTCAAGTGTTTCTCCCTACACTTCTTTCGTACTGTAGCCGCTTCCTGCGTGATTTACAACAGAACAGAGCACAGTCAAGGCTTCTCTATTTCTTAAAGGAGCTATCTCGTATTTTTTCATGTATATTATTATTATGTAATCATATGATTTTTCTTGTGCAATTTGTAATAAATAAGCACTCGTACATTTTTTCAAAGACCACAAATTGCACGAGCCACTCAAAGTAAATTTTCTCAGAGACCACAAATTGCACGAGCCGCTTCTTGCGTGGGAAGGCTTCTTCTATTTGTTAAATGATGAGCTGTCTCGTATTTTTTCATGAATATTATTATTACGTAATCAGATGATTTTTAACGTGCAATTTGGAATAAATAACCTCGTGCAAACTTTTCAAAGACCACAAATTTTGTTAGTCTTTGAAAAAATTTACTCGTGCTTATTCGATCCAAATCAAACTCGAAATCATGTGATTACCTGTACCAACTAAATACTTTATAACAAAAAATCTTACTACTGTTACTTCATAACATCAAATTTTACTTAAGCTTAAAGTAAAATACTGCTAGCCACGGCTATAACACTTCGTTGAATGTCGTTTACTCGAACAGGTTTATCGTTATTATTTTTACATCAATGGAAACTCTTGCATTAAGTCAATAGGTATTTGGTTAATAAAAGTTTTAGACGTCAGATATTGACTCTCCTTTCCAGAAGAATCCCAGAGCATCAGACAGGGTATAAAATGAAATTGTGTGCGAACACCATCCCGAATTACGAATTGAGTCATACTCAGCCTAAAGACTCATTTTGATCATAGATTTTTCTTTATAATCACTTTTTCAAATTAACTTCATTTGTACTGTTATTGGCGAGTATTTTTGTACTGAATTCTCGAACAAAAACTGCGATATTAGTCCAAAACCTATGGAAACCTTTTTCAGCGAGGAAGATCAGTTACTTCTTTTCCTGAATTGATTAAAGTCTTAGATTACAAAGAGAATAAAAAAGAAGCCTTCGTAGGATTTTGAAACAAATAAGATATTCTAAGAGTTTTGCAATCTTGAAAATGGTTCAAACCATTGATAAAACCACATCTCACATCCATTATTCTTTCAAGATCACCTTGCAGCATGGAAAGATGGGGTTGGGGTTTGCAGAGAAACGTTTGCAGCGCGCGGTGAATGAATTTAATCTTTGCTGATTTGTTGAAGTAGCACAACAGTAAACTGAAGAAAAGTAATATTTTCTGAACTACGACCCGTAGCATTACACAGAGGTGATCAACCCAAACACTGATTATTGGTAAAAACCTGAACTGTATGTCTAACACCGTTGTCATTTTAAAGAGATAATGACACACCAGGAAAGCTCAATAGCGGATTATGATTCTTTTCATATTCTTATCTCTAAAAACACTATTCTACTCTTGACTAGCAATTGTTTTTAGATAAACGTCAATCTTTCTCTACTCACCAGAAAAAGGTCCATCACCCGGAGGAAGAAAAAGAGTTCCACGGATTCTTCCTTCTCTCACAGGAATTCTCTTCACTCCATTTGCCATGTACCCTTCTCAAACGTATTGATAGACAAAGGCTGCAAAGAACTTGATTCCTGCGGATCCGTATAGCCATCAAAACAGTCCAAGACGACTTTGTAAGGTTTAGTGACATCAGATTTTAGCAGTCGAATTCCTTTTCTCTGTCCAGGTGACTGTTTCATGCTCCATAAGAGTCCCATTGCTGAAACTCCTCGGTAAGATCCACCAACAGACGGTTGACTACAAACATCAACGTGGCCATGTTTGGTAGCGATGAAGTGAGCGTGGGAATCGAACACCTGCCCGCTATCTCCAACGACTCGTGCCCCTAGTGTAATCTTCTGCAGTGGTTTCAGTCGAACTTAGTTAATCTTAGTTATTTTGTCGATGAGTGAGAATTTTGGCCACAAGGTTATCATCTTTTTTAAAATTAACGACAAAATTGCCCGAGATGCGCTTACTGAGTAAACGACCTACGACGTCAATTATCTCTGTTTCACAGTTCTAGACTAATTTATTCCTGTGGCGACATAAGTCATTTTTTTTAAAGATAGGCATGGTAACGAATCGTGCAATCTGATTTACCCGGTCAGTATTTTTCTATCTCTGCCCACGGGCCACGGCAACGCTTTCGTGAGTCGCCGAGTACATCCCTACTTTCGTTGCCACTTTTTATAAATATATCTCGTTTTTCCAGCTGCGCAGTATTTTGTAGCAAAGACGTCGGTCACTACCCCAAGCCGATAAATAACTTATGAATCCTCTCTTTTCTCTCTCAAATCCCTTTGGTTGAGAGACAAATATTGGTTTCAGAATGAATCTGTATAAGCAATAGTGTCATTACGTTGGTTAACAAGCGACCTAAAAACCGTCTGCAGTCAATTTTGATCGTTCATAACAAGTACCAAGAAAGTTGAAACGTGAGATATTCGGTTTAATATCTGAATTATCTCAAACAACTTGGTCGTAGTGAAAGAGCGAGCGAAATCCCCTTGTGTCTCGTTGGAGTGTTTCATTCGAATTTATTTTTTGTAAGGGAAAGACCAGATTTACACACGCCATTGCAGCAAACAAACGAGCAAACTCCCACAACTTCAAAATAACAAATTAGAATTTACTCACAATTAATTTCCTTGCCGTTTACTTAATAAACAGAGGTAAATCTTTGTACATGAATTAATCGTCAATGAGAGTGAAAAATACTTTCCGTTAGACCATTGTCAGTGATTTGCATTTCTCAATCCGTTTGTCATTTTTTTGTGAATACTTAATTATCTTAGCGCAACGCGGCAAAAATAGATCAGGTGACTAATTATTTAAAAACCTAGAAGTTCGTTACGCAACTTACATTTCAAAAGTGTCACCCCAGATCGCACTTCGAAGCTTACTAGCCGCATATGGAACACAAATTGTAAGTATAATATTTTTCCCGTCGCTTCAACCGAAATCGACATGTGTAATAACCTTCTTTGTCATATTAATTTAATTTTTCAGTTGACTATACTACTACAAGTGCAAATAAATTCCATGTACGGTCATGTACGCAAAAATCAGTTAGTGGTGAAATCTTCAACATAAAGTAGCCTTTCAATCACAGGAGCGAATCAGTCAGTCCTTGGTAAAGTAGTTTCGTTGTTTTTCAAATGTGAACTGTGCTTTTTCTTTCTTACGCGCTCTCTAATTGACAGGTGTCAGATTGTGACAGATACTTGTAAAAATGTTTCAAAGCTTGTTTGGAAGCCTTTTAAATCACCTTTACCAATATGCAAATGAAAATGTTTCGGTGGAGCATCTCTCTTTAATTTGCATCACCTCTATTTTAACTACCATTTACTCGCTCAAAAACTATTCAGTTTATGGAAGATCTTGCCGTATTTACAAGCCCTAAATCATTCGGGTTCTTTCGGAAAGAGTTTCGTTAAGTTTAAAAAAAAAATGTTATTTACCGGCTAAGGGTCGGTCTGTATGGTGAAAAACTGTGTCCTCGGTCTTGAAAATGCTGCCCTCGGCCTTAACGTCCTCGGGCAGCATTTTTCAAGACCTCGGTCACAGTTTTTCACCATACGGACCTCCAAGCCGGCAAATAACATATCAAACATTCGTGACAGTGACGCATTGTTCCCGAAAGGTCGGACAATAATTTGACCCGAGATTGAATGGCGACATTCTTTTCGTAGATAGGATCTTAGGAAGTTGACAACTAAAAAGGGACTAATAAACAGAGACAACTAGGAGAGACAACTTAAGCCATAAAATTCTAGGTTCAAACTCACACCATATCATGAGGGCATAGGAGAAAAAGCTCCGGGAAAAGCTCGCAGCATGCATTCTACAGAGATGCTGTCATTTCTGTCATCAATGTAGAGAATTACAGTAACGCTTGCACTCGGTAGGTGTCTATGCGGTTACTTAAACCTGTGAGGAATGGATCCGAAAGTATCATATCCTTTATAGTAGAAATGTGTTGCAGGCATCCTATGACCATCTCTGAAATGAAATTCATATGTTCCATCCACATTAAACGTTAATTTGTCACTTCGTACTGTGAAATGTGACTCATTGGAAACTTCATATTTTAATCTTAATGTTAATGCTTAGTTTCCTTTTCATTATCATGTCCCATTTCATAATTAAAAAAGTATACAGGTACAAATCCTAACGTTGCTGCTTGTTTAACACCATCCACACATGAGTTATTTGCAGCATCATTACCATTTGTTGGTGTAGCTAAATTGATTATTCTTTTATTTGACACATTTAAATCAGTGGACATGCGTTGCAGCTCCATTCTACTTCTGCTGTGATCCCTAAAAACATTAGTTGATATTCTTGAAACTGTCTCGCAATTACTTGTGGCTGATATGTCAACAGATGAATGGTCAATAGATACTGAAGGAAAATACAGTTTAATTACCACTGTATATTCACCAGTTGTAGGTTCATACATGTTTAACCCAACCCGAGATGAATAATACCCTTTGCGCTATCCAAATGTAGTTTCATTTCATAGGATTTTTATTGAACTGATGAGTCTTGATTAATGAATTTAACCTCTTTTATGTTATCTTCATCACTGAATTGTCCACTTTTGTTCATAATGTATGCAAATGTATTTTTCAAATCTGTGCTACCAAAAGACTGATTCAGTATATCATGAACGTACTTGTGATAATTAGTAGTCATTAGTGTATTATTATTGACAAAATTAGCATAAGCAGTATGAGTGCTTTCATATGATTGTGCCTGTTTGGCATTAATTATACTTCTGTTGTTCATATTCAAATTACCAGTCATTACTCTTGTACCATCGGTTTTCAAATAATTGCTCGTTTTTGTATTAACATGCCTTGCATTGCTTCCATCTGTTGCACGTGTTGGGTCTGCTATATTAATCACCTTATTGCCTTTCATATCAAGACCTTTTGATACATCCAAAGTAAAGGTTTTACTGTCAACATATTCCTTATGAACCACATCTTTATCACTGTTGTCACTACTATCATAATCTGGTATTAATAACCTGCTTTTTAATGTTTGGGGTAAAAGATTGTCCATATCTATTTTCTTAGTACTTCGTAGTTCTTCGGATGCTGTACCACTGAGCTCTAGCAGACTTGTGGCAAGCTAGCTAGGTAATTTGATTAAATCCGTGGTGACGAACTCCCTGCATTCTGCTTCTTCGAAAGTCAAGTGTGTTACAAATAAGTTGCTATTACGTAAAACAAAAATTCATCCGCAAAATAATATGCATTTTAAACTGAGTGGGAGAACTGAACATGAAAATGGTTGGTTCAAGCTCATGACGTTTTCTTCTTTTAGCTCGCTGGGGCTTTACGCTTTTGTAAGGCCCTGGTTGCGCCAACAGGTATGGCTCTCATACGGGGAGTTTTGCCTGATATATTACAACATGAGGTATGCAGAGGGCAGTGCAGGTCATGTAAAAGGTTTTAATTGTTTGAAATTATCTCGATTAAAACTGAGGCTAAGTGAAAGCTAGGAAGGGCTTGTTTCCATTATTATCAGGCAGCCGATATATTGACATAAAACAACAACGACAACAACAATAACGATAACGACCAACTGCATGTATTCCCATGTACGTCATTGGGAATTTAAGAGCAATTTTGCTCCCTGTTAATCCTTTACCTACATAAATCTGATTGTTAATTCTCCCCTCAAGCTGATACACATTTCCTTGAATACCAGTTGCAAGACTTTGGTGTTAAATTACGATGACAAATTCTATCTGATGAGTTAGAGGATTCTCATTCCCTGTTTGCAGGATAGTGTGTGGATACCAAAAGAAGAAATTACATGATAACACTTGTGTGAGTTTAAGGGTTTGGCTAATTAATTAAATTACACGTACTGACTTTAGCACCATTTTTTATCGATCACACAGAATTAGATATTCTTAAAAAGCTTTCAGAGAAAATTTCTCCCTTGCAGTCATTTTTCCTCCATACCTAAGGAGAGAAAATAATCAATTTTTGAATTAATATCTTCACAAAAATTTTGACCATTGATATTCGGGTTGCAGAAGGAAAAAGTAATGTGCACTATTATAAACAGATTAAGGTAATCAATAAAAAGAAAAAAAGAAGAAAATGTATCCAGAATAAGTGGTAAAATTCTTTTGTTAAAATAGATGATATGTAGACAGCATTTACGAAATAGTGGACTTTTCCCCTGTTTACATAGTCCCATCCGAGCAGGACAGGGTTGGCAGGATTCTATGCAATTATGAAAACCCGAGACAGAGTAGTAGGTGTGCATAAGAGGATTCTCTGACCCCTCGGATTTGAAAAGATGAAGCTATGCAAACATTGAAGAGTACCTCATTGCTTTCAATAACATCTTTCCCCAAAATTACATGCGGATCCCTAAAATTGAAATGGTTAGGAAAATTTATTTTTGACACCACTACATCTGGTGTCGAACTCTGTTTGGATAATTATGTACAGAGCTACATGCCTTGTATATAAGTCCTTTCCCCCCCTTTCCCGTAGAAATGTTTTTGAAATCAGAGGGTGTTTAGACGTTTGAGCCACAATAATAGCTCATAATTTTCTTTGGAAATGTTGCTCAGATGCCCTACAGGCACTTCTATAAATCACGAAAGCCTACTGTAAAGGCACTCTTCCGTAGAAATAACGTAAGTTAGTTGGTTACTTCAGGATTTATTTCTTGTCTATCAAAACGCTAAACTAAATATTTTGATTTTCCGGGTTTAAATTTAAATTTAAAATTTCTGCACGACTGAATTGAATGGATAATTCGCAATTCATTACGGTTGCCAGAAAAAATTAAGAAACTTCAAACAAGATAGCGGCAGAAAGCTTTGAATGAAAGCAATTCCAAACGTGCAGGTATAGTGTTTGGGGACGTTGAACCGAAACGATTTATTTACCTACCGCGTGAGACCGTACCGTCCACGGAATGGAGAAGTTAGAGGTGTTTTCGCAGAAAGTGTAAAATCTTTGGCCAGCAGTCTTCTTGTGCTCTGGCATGTGCAACAGTCTCCCCTCCCCAAGCTAGGTAAGGGTCAGCACCCCATTCTTTAGCAAATTTGCTGAAAGAAAAATCACAAAGAGGAGAGTAGGGTGGTTCGATGAGATATCCCGCTTGGGGATAACGCAAGTTTGTGCACAAATGTTCTTTTCCATTCTCCTTTAAGCGATCAATAATGAACTCTACTGTAAAATCGGTGGGGTTGTTCAAGTCATCAGTTCCAGAAACCAGCAGGACAGGGCAATTGATGTTCTCAACTGGTGTAATAGCTGAGTATTTGGAGACTGTTGTTGAATTCATGTAATCAATGTCAGTTGGTTGGGCGAAACGAAGGATGCTGCCCTTTTCTGAGGACACCACTCTGCTCTTATCAAGGGGTATCATGTCTGAGACTCTCCCTTTTAACTGGAAAGGGAGAAGGTAGGCGATTACCAGAGGTGAAATAGCTACAATGGCCTTAATTGGTGCGATCTGATAGCTTGCCATCAACAATGCAATCCATGAGCCATAGCATATAGCATGCATGCCGATACCATGTGGAATCACTTTCGGGTGACTTATAAGCCAGCTGGCAGCTTCTACAAAATAATCCAAGTTTATTGAAGATGGACACAATGGTTGATCTTCATAGCCCAAGTAGGCCAAAGCAAGAGTAGCGAATCCATGAGATGCTAAAAGTGAAGCCTTAAACTCCACTAATCCGCCTGCAGCACCAAACAGATCTATGACTCCTGTAAAGATAACATTGACTGATTGAGTGCAGGATATGTCTAATACGTGCAGCGGAGATCGTACGATTAAGATATTGCTTGATTCAGTAACAATCGCTTATAAAATAACACGTCAAAGGCGGCTTTAATTATGAACATGTGAATAACTTTTAAAATTTTTGGACCACTCAAAATGGCGGACTTATGATGACAAATTCCTTCGTGAGTTTCCTCGTAAGACATCTAAAAGGGCTGCTGTTGCTGTCTAAAAGGGCTGCTGTTGGTCTTGTCAGATTCAAGTTTTTATACTAACTGCCAGGAATCAGCCGTGAGCAAACGCTTGACCCGTGTCTTAGAAAGAAATTGAGAGGCTCAGTACAGTCCTCAATCTTTTTGTGGATCGCTCAGTTTTGTTAAGGACTGCATTTTAAAATGATTTTCCGATCACCACACGACTCTCTAGAGCTTACAATCAGGAGGAAGTTAGACATATATATATTGAAGCTGGATAAAATTGGAACTAGGTGTTTTGGCTAAAAATTAAACTAATAGCTTTGTTCATCGGAAATTATTCATTTGAATTGATCTACCGTAAAATAGACGACTTGTAATTCTGTTTTGCAGGTAGTATTTCACATTACCGATCAGTTGAGATCAATTCATCAAAATAATAACGTTTTCTTTCAAAAAGTCGTTGCAAGAGGAAAGGAGCGTCTCGCCATTTTCTGAATGAATCTTCATAATCATTACAAATTCTTCAAATATGAATCGTGCATTGGCTGCTTTATTCTTCACTTATCATTCTACTCAGTTGTAATCGGACAGTTTGCTGTAATCGGACACCTGGAATCGGACAGTTGAAGCAATCATATTAGGTCCACTCAGCTAAATCCACCAATCACAGTATTGATCACGATAACCATAGCAACAACTACTTACCCTGAAAAAGAAAAAAAAGAAACTGAGGAATTTCCAAATTGGAGAAAATTTTTTTTTCTTTAGACATTGTCTCCACCGCAATTGTTTGTCCTAAATGTATTTGTTTTATTTTTTTCGGAAATTGCGAACGGTTATGATTAACTGGTAACAGGACTTTGAGTCGTCCAATACTGTTAATCGCGTTCGTCCGATTTTGTTAATCACTCGCATGATCACACACCAAAATGGAGTCCACTTGGTCCTATTACCATTATGTTTAACTGAAGTTCATCCTTTTTTCTTGCATACAAAGCTTTATGCATTTTTCCATGATTTGATAAAATCTCTTTCGCTTTATATCCGTTGAGGATTTCAATGATTTATTTTAATACTTCAGTCACTTGAGAGTGATCCAATGTTTTATGTAATTAGGAAAAATAGGGTGGCAAATTAACAGTAATATTCTAGAAATGCTCGTAGTCTATATTAAAAAGATTCTATTTAGAGCTCTGATTGCTTTAAATCTATTTTACATCCTTTTTGTAGGTTGGATAAAGCCAAAGACGTCAATGATAATGTGAGCGGCCAAATGTCCTCCTCCAAATATGCTGGTTCGCAGTAATGGCGAGAACTAGCTAACGAACACAACACGCTCAGGACTCTCTGTCTTTTCAACTGTTTCCTTTAATTACTCGCTTCTCTAATACACAATAGATTTTAGTTACATCCTGTTTTGCTTCATTCTTTGTAAGTCTGGTTGGTCTCTTTCGACAACCACACTTTGATTCTCACTGACTTGTGCTGCTAGAAACTCACTTCAGCTACAGAATTCTGTCTCTACTTCTGCACAATCTCTACATTATTCTACCAGGTAAGGTCTAGAGTATATGTTTATATATTCGCTTTTGCTTGCTGAAAATTAACAACAACAGTAAAACTTAATGGTTATGACTAACTGAATCAACCTGCGACTGCGTTAGCCAAAACAAGAACTTTCGTGTGGGTCCAACTAGGCACGTCCACTTGGAAGTTACACAGGACAGTCAGTCAGGAAACTCATCAACAAATCTCAAGCTTACATAGCGTTGGATTTTTCAATTCATATAATAACAACATTCCAAATATTAACGAATGACCAAATCACACGGAATCGACTACAAAAAATGACTGACTAAACTAGTGAGATACAAAAAAATTACTCATTCTGATTGGTTAGATCAGTTTTGATCGTACACGGCTGTTTTGACCGAACGCACAATGTCACTTGCAGAGTTTGAATAAGTTATTTTTCCACTCGATGCCCGCGCTTTTCTTTTGCATAATTTTTATAATGAAGTTCGAATATGACGCACGCTGTCATTGGTTAAAAGAGCGTGCTCTTTGAGAGTATAGAGCCTTGAGCTGAGCTAAAGCTGTCACGCCAAAATTTACTAGTGCTTATTTATTCCAAATTAAACTCGAAATTATGTGATTACTTATACTAACTAAATAATTAATAACAAAAAAAATTGCACCGCTGTTAATTCATAACATAAAATTTTACCTAAGCTTAAAGTAAAATACTGCTGGAGGCTACATCACATCGTTGAATGAAGGGTGATCATGGCGAATAGACGTGACTTGCGTTCGTCCGTAATTTTGTCAAGTTTTCTGGTTTTAGCTTCGTATATTTCGAACTTAAATTATCTCAAACGATTCGGTAATGCCCAAACGCAAACATGGGAGAGTTTTACAAGCATGGACGCCGCATATTTGGTCGAACTCCAACTTAATCCGTTGACGTATCTGAATGCATCTTGTCAAAGGGTTTCACAAATCGTTTTTATTCGAACTCTGCCTTTAACCGGCTGATGTCTTCCTTGTCAAAGGTGGCGATATCCATCTTCAGCTTGGACCGATCAGACAGTGTAAGGAGTCAGCTAAGTTTGACACAAGCCTTGAGATCTTTGGTTACCAACTTTTCAGACAGGATCGTGGAAAACATAAAGCTGGAGGTGGCTTGGGCACCTACGCCAAGTCAAACCTCAAGATTACTGTGCAAATTTATCATCTGCCTCGATGGCAAGAACTTTGGCTAATTTCAATGCAGAAAGGACAAATCGTTTTTGATCCTAGACTTAAAAACACCAACCACGTTTTGAATGATTCTTGACTTAAATGTTGTGATTCTTGGTGATCTAAATTACAATCTTTTAGCTCCTGACCCTGAGACTACCTCACTGCAGACCTTTATTTCAACATTTAATTTACACTAACTGTTTAAGAAACCCACAAGGATCACAGAAACTACAAAATCTTTAATCGACGTAATTTTGACGACAAACACGGATATTGTCAGCCTCAGTGACGTGCTTGCCTGCTCAGTAAGTGATCACCATCTTGTTTACCTAGTATTAACGTTGAAGACCCCTCGACTCTAGCCCTCCTATGTTACCATCAGGAGTTACGCTAATTGCAATGCAAAACAATTCAGTGAGGATCTGTCACTTGTATCTTTTCATATAATATCTATGTTTGACGATTTTGATGACCAAGTGGAGACGTTCAATGCGTTATTTACCAATATTTTAGATGATCACGCCCTTTTAAAGCGAGTAAAAATCAAGTCAAGACCTAACCCATTGATTTCAGCTGAAATTCGCCAACTGATGAAGACCCGAGACCAATGGTATCGGAGAGCCATTAAATCAAATGACCGTCTTCAATGGAACGCATATCGTTTCTTCAGACAGGAAGTCAAGCGTGAACTACGAATTGCAGAAAAAGCTTATGTGAGATCTCAGCTATTACAAAACAAAGGAAACACTAATGCAATTTGGAAGATAATTAACAACTGCCTCCCAAAGAAGTCCAAAAGCCGCCCTATTATTCCTGACAACCCAATTTCCTTGGCAAATAGATTCAATGAATATTTTACATCTGTTGGAAGTTCAGCAGCTCAGGAAGCTTATGATCTTGCTTGTGTATATTATTAGCATATCAATCCAGCAATGCCAACCCTCTTGCGAACGCCTGATGACTGCCCTGTCTTATTTCGATTTCACCCCTTACTGGGGAAGGATGTTGAAGGTGTAATTAAGGGCTTCTCTTCCAACAAAGCACCAGGTCGTGACAAGATTACTAGCCACGTCCTCAAGGACTGTTTGCCAGTCATAGTACCAACTATTACAAGCATTATGAATAACCCATTTAGATCTAATTGTTTCCCGAGAGTATGGGAAATGGCTGAAGTTACTCCTGTGTTAAACTCTGGCAACCCCGAAGATCCCTGTAATCACCAGCCCATCTCATTACTGCCAATGCTATCTAAGGTGTCCGAGAGATTAGCTCAGCGTCAGTTCGTTGACTACGTAACCACCAACAAGAAGCTGTCTGAAAATCAGAACGGTAATCGAAAGTGTCACTCTACGGAAACGGACCTCTTACACGTAACCGATGATTTTCTCATGGCCATTGATAAGAGTGAAGTGTCCGTTGTCGTGCTACTGGACATGTCCAAGGCATTCGCTAGTATCTGACATGAGCTTCTCCTTCAGAAGTTACAGAGCATAGGCGTTGCCTCTACGAGCTTGTAGTGGTTTCATAATTACCTGTCTGGTCGTAGCCAGCGAGTGCGCATTGGGGATGCTATGCATTGGGGATGTTAAATACGGAGTTCCTCAGGGTTCTATCTTGGGGCCTGTGTTATTTACCATCTATGTAAATGATCTCTTGTCCGTTCCAGCTCACTGAAAATCTGTGTGCTACGTCGATGACTGTAAATTATACCTATCCTTTCGCTCAACTGACATCGTTCGCGTATTTGGTTATCTGAACGAAGATTTGAGAGAAATTTTCCGATGGTGCTGTCAGAATTCCCTTTTAATAAACAATAAATAGTTGGTGTTCCTCAACTACTGCGGAAATTGCCTCCAACGTCAATTTCACTCTTGGGAAAGGAAATAACACCAGTCCCTGTGGCAAAGGACCCTGGAGTCTACATCGACCAGTCCTTAACATATAACGATCATGTTGCTAAAACTACTTCTAAGTGTATTTTCAAACTAGTACAGATTAGCAGGATTAAACACCTCTTGGACAGGAAAACCCTTTTACTTTTGATGAACGCTTTTGTTTTTAGTACAATGTATTATTGTTCAACTGTATGAGCCAACACATCTCAAAGAAATATAAAGAAGATTCAGCTAGTGCAGATCTTTGCTGCCCGTATTGTATTAGGTTTTAAGAAATTTGAGCACATCTCCCAAGGCATAAAATCTCTTAATTGGCTCACTGTTAAGGAGAGATTTTATTTTAACGATGTTGTAATGGTATTTAAATGTGTAAATAATTTAGTTCCGAATATCTGACTAACATGTTTGTCCCACGATCTCGTATTCATAGTAGGGTAACAAGATCATGTAATCTGCTCCACATCCCACGATGCCGTCTGTCCTCTGGGCAACGTGCACTCACGTATCGCGGATGCAAATTGTGGAATAACCTCCCAAATGACTTAAAAGCAGCTGATAATGTAAACGTCTTTAGGCTCCGCCTACTGAATGCGCTCCTTGGTGGAAATGTAACGCACAGATGAATTATTTCAATCTTCTATTCTTGTCTAATTTTTGTTTTAGTTCACTAGTGTTTTTAACGTGTATTGGCCTTTTGTATTTATATTGTACTAGCCTTAGTTTTCACTTATATATATATTTTTAGGCCAATGCAATGTTACTATAATATTACAATAATTTTAATGTAGGCTTTGTAACTGAAAAACCCAGCTTGGGAGTTGCAATAAACGTATGTATGCATTTATGTATGTATGTAATGTCGTTTACTCGACTACGTCTAGTGTTTCTCCCTACACTTCTTTCGTGCTCTAGCCGCTTCTTATCTGCTTTACAACAGAGCTGATTACAATCAAGGCTTATCTATTCGTTAAATGATGAGCTATCTCGTATTTTTCTCATATATATTATTATTACGGAATCATATGATTTTCCTCGTGCAATTTGGAATAAATAAGCACTTGTAAATTTTTCTTTGGTCTTTGAAAAAATTTATTCGCGCTTATTTATTCCAATTTAAACTCAAAATCATGTGATTACCTACATTAACTTATTAATTCATAACCAAAACAATTTTACCACTGTTACTTGATAACATAAAATTTTACTTAGGCTTAATGTAAAATACTGCTGGAGGCTACAACACATCGTTTAATGTTGTTTACTCGAACAGGTTTATTGTTATTATTTTTTACCTCAATGGTAACTCTTGCATTCAAACAATGTGTCTTTGGATAAAAAGAGAATAAAAAAGAAGCCTTCGTAGGGGCTTTAAACAAATAAGATTTTCTAAGAGTTTCTGCATCAATGAAAATGGTTCAAACCATTGATAAAACCACATCTTATATTCCTTTGTTCTTTCAAGATCACCTTGCAGCATGGAGAGATGGGGTTGGGGTTTGGAGACAAACGTTTGCGGCGCGCCGTGAATGAAATTGATCTTTGCTGATCTGTTGAAGTAGCACAACAGTAAACTGAAGAAAAGCAATATTTTCTGAATTACGACCCGTAGTATTACACACAGGTGATCAACCCAAAAAGTAATTATTAGTAAAAACCTGAACTGTACGTCTAACATTGTTATCACTTTTAAGAGATCAGGACACATCTGGAAAGTTCAATAGCGCATTCTGATTCTTTCAAATTCTAATCTGTAAAAACACTATTCTACTCTCGACTAGCAGTTTTTTTTTTTTAGATAAACGCCAATCTTTCGCTACTCACCAGAAAAAGGTCCGTCACCCAGAGGAAGAAAAAGAGTTCCACGGATTCTTCCTTCTCTCACAGGAATTCTCTTCACTCCATTCGCCATGTACCCCTTCTCAAACGTATTGCTAGACAAAGGCTGCAAAGAACTTGATTCCTGCGGATCCGTATGGCCATCAAAACAGTCCAAGACGACTTTGTAAGGTTTAGTGACATCAGATTTCATCAGTCGAATTCCTTTCTTCTGCCCAGGTGATGGTTTCATGCTCCATAAGAGTCCCATAGCTGAAAGTCCGCGGTAAGATCCACCAAAAGACGGTTGACTACAAACATCAACATGGCCATGTTTGGTAGTGATGAAGTGAGCGTGTGAATCGAACACTTGCCCGCTATCTCCAACAACTCGTGCCCTCAGTGTAATCTTCTGCAGTGGTTTCAGTCGAAATACGTTAATCTTAGTTATTTTGTCGACGAGTGAGAATTTTGGCCACAAGGTAATCATCTTATTTGAAATTAACGACAAAATTGGCCGAGATGCACCTATGACGACCTATGACGTCAATTATCTCTGTTTCACCGCTGTAGATTAATTTATTGCTTTGGCAGCATAAGTCATTAACATTCGTGAAAGTGACGCATTGTTCCCGAAAGGTTGGACGATAATTTGACCCGAGATTTTCTTTTCTTTTCTAGACTAAAAGTCTAAGAAAATGTAGGGGACTCTCCGGGATACTTACAGTAAAGACGATTTGCGTCCCCTCATGATATGTTACACTTGTTGGGTCTGCTACATTAATCACCTTATTGCCTTTCATATCAAGACCACATCTTTATTATTAGTGTCACTACTATCATAATCTGGTATTAATAACCTTCTTTTTAATGTTTGGGGTAAAAGATTGTCCATATCTATTTTCTTAGTACTTCGTAGTACTTGGGATGCTGTACCACTGAGCTCTAGGAGACTTGTGGCAAGCTAGCTAAGCCATTTAACTAAATCCGTGATGACGAACTCCCTGCATTCTGCTTCTTCGAAAGTCAAGTGTGTTACAAATAAGCTGTTATTACGTAAAACAAAAAATCGTCCGCTAATTAATAGGCATTTTAAACTGAGTGGGAGAACTGAACGGGAAAATGGTTAGTTAGAGCTCATGACGTTTTCTTCTTTTAGCTAGTTGGGGCTTCACGGCTTTGTATGGCCCTGGTTGCGCCAACAGGTATGGCTCTCATACGGGGATTTTTGCCTCATATATTACAACATAAGGTATGCGGAGGGCAGTGCAGGTTATGTAAAAGGTTTTATTTGTTTGAAATTATCTCGATAAAAACTGAGGTTAAGTGAAAGCTAGTAAGGGCTTGTTTCCATTCTTATCAGGCAGCCGATATATTGATAGAAAACAACAACGACAACAACAATAACGATAACAACCAACTGCATACATACATACATACATACATACATATACTTTATTTAAGCTCGAAATTCAGTGTAGCTGTAGAGCTAATATCTTCGAGAAAAAAGAGCTAAAATGAAATAAAAAATATGCTATCTTACAATTTCAATATTATTTATAAACTATATACAACTAAAAGCTAAGAGAGAAAACTAAGAGGGAAACATAACTTGTAGACCTTCTGTGGAAAAGCTTCATATCTGAGGATCTCCTGCTTGAATTCTAGAGAATTTAATGTTCTGTAAGTGTCTGGGAGAGAGTACCATATTTTGCTACCTAAGTATGAAAAAGAGTGATGACCGTATGTCTTTGTTTTTGGGTTGGGAAGGGACATGATATGATTTCCCATGTGCGTCATTGGGAATTTAAGAGCAATTTTGCTCCCTGTTAATCCTTTAGCTACATAAATCTGATTGTTAATTCTTCTCCTCAAGCTGATACACATTTCCTTGAATATCAGTTACGAGACTTTGGTGTTAAATTACGATGACAAATTCTATCTAATAAGTCAGACGATTCTCATTTCCTGTTTGCCGGATAGTGTGTGGATACCAAAGGAAGAAATTACATGTTAACACTTGTATGAGTTTAAGGGTTGGGCTATTTCTTTGAATTACATGTATTCACCACAGTACCATCTTTTATCGATCACACAGAATTAGACATTCTTAAAAAGCTTTCAGAGAAAATTCCTCCTTCGCAGTCATTTTTCTTCCATTCTTCCATATCCTAAGGAGAGAAAATAATCAATTTTGGAATTAATATCTTCACAAAAATTTTGACTATTGATCTTCGGGTTGCGGAAGGAAAAAGTAATGTACACTGTTATAAACAGATGTAGGTAATTAGTAAAAGAAAAAGGAAGAGACTGTATCCAGAATAAGTGGTAAAATTCTTATGTTAAAAATAAATGATATGTAAGACAGTATTTACGAAATAGAGGACTTTTTCCCCGTTTAAATAGTCCCATCCAAGCAGGAAAGGGTTGGCATGCAGGATTCTATGCAGTTATGAAAACCCTAGACGGAGTAGAAGGTGTGCATAAGAGGATTCTCTGACTCCTCGGATTTGAAAAGATGAGGTTATGCAAACATTGAAGAGTACCTCATTGCTTTCAATAGCGTATTTCCCCAAAATTACATGCGGATCCTTAAAATTGAAATGGTCAGGAAAATTTATTTGTAACACCACTGCTCCTAGTGCTGGAGCTCTGTTTGGATAATTCTGTACAGACTACGTGCCTTGTATACAAGTCCTTTCCCCCCCTCTTCAGAGGGCGATTAGATGTTTTGAGCCACAATAATAGCTCATACTTTTCTTTGGAAATGTTGCTCAGATACCCTACAGGCACTTATAAAAATCACAGCTGCCTATTTTAAAGGCTTTCTTCTGTAGAAATAACGTGAGTTAGTTGGTTACTTCAGGAGTTATTTCTTGTTTATCAAAACGCAAAACTAAATATTTTGATTTAACCGGGTTTAAATTTAAATAAAAGATTTCTGCGCAACTAAATTGAATGGATAATTTGTAATTTAGTACGGTTGCAAGAAAAACTTAAGAAACTTCAAATAAATAGCCGTAGAAAGCTTTGAATGAGAGCAATTCAAAACGTGCAGGCATAGTGTTTGGGGACGTTGAACCGAAACGATTTAATTACCTACCACATAAGACTGCGCCGCCCACGGGATCGAGATTTTGTTCGCAAAAAGTGTAAAATCTTTGGCCAGCAGTCTTCTTGTGCTCTAGCATGTGCAACAGTCTCCCCTCCCCAAGCTAGGTAAGGGTAGCCACACCATTCTTTAGTAGATTTACTGAAAGAAGAGTAGCTTCTTCAAAATAATCCAAGTTTATTGAAGATGGACAAAATGGTTGATCGTCATAGCCCAAGTAAGCCAAAGCAAGAGTAGCGAATCCATGAGATGCCAAAAGTGAAGCCTTAACTTCCATCAATCCCACTACACCACCAAGCAGATCTATGACTCCTGTAAAGGTAACATTGACCGATTGAGTGCAATATATGTTTAACATTTGCAGCAGAGATCGTATAATTAAGATATTGCTTGGATTCAGCGACAATCGCTTATAAAATAACACGTTAAAATTTTCTGAATGAATCTTGAAGATCATCACAATTTCCTCAAATATGTATGGTATATTGGATGCTTTATTCTTCACTAATCATTCTGTTCAGTTGTTCATCGGACAGTTTGCTGTTGTCGGACAGTTGAAGCAATCATATCACGTCCGAGTGTTAATCACTCGTATGATCACAGATCGAAATGGATCTGGTCCCATTACCATTATGTTTAGCTGAAGTTCATCCTTTCTTCTTCCACGGAAAGCTTTGTGCATTTTTCCATAATTTGATAAAATCTGTTTCGCTTTACATCCATCACGGATAACAATAACAAATAACATCGTCTCGTCCAATACTGTTAATCGCGGTCGTCCGATTTTGTTAATCACCCTTACGATCACAGGCCGCAATGGAGTCTACTTGGTCCTGTTATCATTATGTTTAACTGAAATTCATCCTTTATCCTTCCATACAAAGCTTTGTGTATTTTTCACTTTACATCCATCGCGGATTACAAAGATTTTTTTTAATACTTCAGTGACCTGAGAGTGATCCAATGTTTTATGTAGGTAGAAAAATAGGTTAGCAAATTTCTGTGTAATATGCTCGGAATGCTCGTCATCTGTATTAAAAGGATTCTATTTAGAGCTCTGATTTCTTTAAATCTATTTTACAACCTTTTCGTTGGGTTGGATGAAGCCAAAGACGTCAATGATAGTGTTAGCGGCCAAATGTCCTCTTCTAAATATGCTGGTTCGCAGTGATGGCGAGAACTAGCTAACGAGCACACAACGCTTAGGACTCTCGTACTAACTTTTGCTTTTTTCTTTAATTATTCACTTCTCCAATTCACAATTGATTTTAGTTACATCCAATTTTGCTTCATTCTTTATAAGTCTTTGTTTTTCTCTTTCAACACTCACACTTTGACTCTTACTGACTTGTGCTGTTATAAACTCACTTCATCCACGGAATTCTGTCTTTACTTCTGCACAATGTCGACATTCTTCTGTTAAGTAAGCTCTAGATTACATTCTTATATATTCACTATTGCTTGCTGAAAATTGACAACAACAGTAAAACCTAATGGTTATGACTAACTGAATCAACCTCTGACTGCGTTAGCCAAAACAAGAACTTTCGTGTGGGTCCAACTAGGCATGTCCACTTGGAAGTTATGCAGGACAGTCAATCAGGAAACTCATCACCAGATCTCAAGCTTACATAGCGTTGGACTTTTAAACTCATACAGTAACTACATTAACGAATGACCAAATCACACTGAATCGACTACAAAAAATGACTAACTAAACTAATGAGATGCACGAAAAAATTACTCAATTCTGATTGGTTAAGATTAACGCAGTTTTGATCGTACGCGGTTGTTTTGACCGAATGCACAATGTCACTTGGAGAGTTTGAATAAATTACTTTTGCACTTGATGCCCGCGCTTTGCTCTTGCATAATTTTATAATAAAGTTCGGATGTAACGCACGCTGTCATTGGTTGAAAGAGTGAATGCCGTTTACTCGACTACGTCTCGTGTTTCTCCCTACACTTCATTCGAGCTTTAGCCGCTTCCTGTGCGCTTTACAACAGAGCAAAGAACAATCAAGGCTTCTCTATTTGCTACATGATGAGCTACCTCGTATTTTTTCATGCATATTATTTTTACGTAATCAAATGATTTTTCTCGTGGAACTTGGAATAAATAAGCACTTGTAAATTTTTAAAAGACCACAAATTTTGTTAATCTTTGGAAAAATTTACTCGTGCTTATTTAATCCAAATTAAACTTGAAATCATGTGATTACCTATACTAACTAAATACTTCATAACAAAAAATTTAACCAATGTTACTTCGTAAGATAAAATTTCACTTAAGCTTAATGTAAAATACTGCTGGAGGCTACAACACATCGTCAAATGTCGTTTACTCGAACAGGTTTATTGTTATTATTTTTGCCTCAATGGTAAATCAAAAGGTCTTTGGATAAAAACAAATTTAGACGTCAGATATTGACTCTCCTTTCCAGAAGAATGCCAAAGCATAAGACAGCGTGGATAAAAAGAGAATAAAAAAGAAGCCTTCTTAGGGGTTTAAAACAAATTAGATATTCTAGGAGTACTTGCATTAATGAAAATGGTTCAAACCATTGATAAAACCACATCTCACAGAGAAACGTTTGCGGCGCGCCGTGAATGAATTTAATCTTTGCTGATCTGTTGAAGTAGCACAACAGTAAACTGAAGAAAAGTAATATTTTCTGAATTACGACCCGTAGCATTACACAGAGGTGATCAACCCAAAAAGGAATTATTGGTAAAAACCTGAACTGTATCTTTAATACTGTTGTCACTTTAAAGAGATCGTGACACGTCTGGAAAGCTCCATAGCGGATTATGACTCTTTTCAAATTCTAATCTCTAAAAACACTATTCTACTCTTGACTAGCAGTTTTTTTTTAGATAAACGTCAATCTTTCGCTTCGCACCAGGAAAAGGTCCGTCACCCGGAGGAAGAAAAATAATTCCACGGATTCTTCCTTCTCTCACAGGAATTCTCTTCACTCCATCCGCCATGTACCCCTTCTCAAACGTATTGCTAGACAAAGACTGCAAAGAACTTGATTCCTGCGGATCCGTATGGCCATCAAAACAGTCCAAGACGACTTTGTAGGGTTTGGTGACATCAGATTTTACCATTCGAATTCCTTTTCTCTGCCCAGGTGATGGTTTCATGCTCCATAAGAGTCCCATAGCTGAAACTCCGCGGTAAGATCCACCAGCAGACGGTTGACTACAAATATTAACCTGGCCATGTTCGGTAGCAATGAAGTGAGCGTGTGAATCGAACATTTGCCCGCTATCTCCAACGACTCGTGCCCCCAGTGTAATCTTCTGCAGTGGTTTCAGTCGAACTACGTTAATCTTAGTTACTTTGTCGATGAGTGAGAATTTTGGCCACAAGGTGATCATCTTCTTTGAAATTAACGACAAAATTGCCCGAGGTGCACTTACTGAGTCAACAACCTACGAGGTCAATTATCTCTGTTTCACCGTTCTAGACTAATTTATTCCTTTGGCAGCATAAGTCATTTTTTTTTAGAGGGCATGGTAACGAATCGTGCAATCTGATTGGTTATTTTCCCGGTCAGTATTTTCCTATCTCTGCCCACGGGCCACGGTAACGCTTTCGTGAGTCGCCGAGTACATCCTTACTTTCGTTGCCACTTTTCATAAATATATCTCGTTTTTCCGGCTAGGCAGTATTTTGAAGCAAAGACGTTGGCCACTACCCCAAGCCGATAAGTATCTTATGAATCCTCTCTTTTCTCTCTCAAATCACTCTGGTTGACAGACAAATATTGGTTTCAGAATGAATTTGTGTAAGCAATAGTGTCATTACGTTTGTTGCCGGACAAGCGACCTAAAAACCGTCTGTAACTAATTTTGATCGTTCATAACAAGTACCAAGAAAGTTGAAACGTGAGATATTCGGTTACAGCAGAAGTAATCGATGGATTTGTCTTTCATTTAATATCTGAATTATCTCAAACAACTTTGTTGTAGTGAAAGAGCGAGCGAGCCATTGTAGCAAACAAACGAGCAAACTCCCACAACTTCAAAATACAAAATTAGAATTTACCCACAATTACATTCCTCGCCGTTTACGTAATGAACAGAGGTAAATCTTCGTACATAAATTAATCGTCGATGAGAGTGAAAAATCCTTTCCGTTAGATCATTGTCTGTTTTTGAAGCGAACATTGTCGTAACAGTCCTTGATAAAGTAGTTTCGTTGTTTTTCAAATGTGAACTGCGCTTTTTCTTTCTTACGCGCTCTCTAATTGACAGGTGTCAGACTGTGACAGATACTTGTAAAATAATGTTTCAAAGTTTGTTTGGAAGCCTTTTAAATCATCTTTATCAATACGCAAATGAAAATGTTTCGGTGAAGCATCTCCCTTTAATTTGCATGACCTCTATTTTAACTATCATTTAGTCGCTGAAAAACTGTTCTGTTTATGGAAGGTCTTGCCGTATTTACAAGCCCTAAATCATTCGGGTTCTTTCGGAAAGAATTTCGTTAAGTTAAAAAAAAGATAAGTATGTTATTTACCGGCTAAGGGTCGGTCCGTACGGTGAAAAACTGCTTTAGCCTCGGGCAGCATTTTTCAAGACCACGGTCACAGTTTTTCACCATACGGACCTCCCAGCCGGCAAATAACATATATAACATTCGTGACAGTGACGCATTGTTCCCGATAGGATGGACAATAATTTGACCCGAGATTGAATGGCGACATTCTTTTCGTAGATAGGATCATAGGAAGTTGACAACTCAAAAGGGACTAATAAAAAAGAGACAACTAAGAGAGGCAACGTAAGCCATACAGGGGTGGATCCAGGATTTTGAGTGAGTAGTTTCCACCCGAGGACCCACTCCTGCTAGGGGGGTTCGGGGGCATGCCCCCCCGAGAAAATTTGAAATTTGGAGCTCTCTAAAGGCCATTTCATGCATTTTTAGAAAATTTAATTGCCCCCAAAAGACTAAAAAAGCATGTAATCAAAAAGGCAAAAAACATTTATTTTTCTTGAAAGTACTACAGGAAACACTCTGATCTACAAATATTCCACCTTTAGCTACTGTGCAAACCAGTGTATATAGTGTTTTCAGGAAGGCCAAGTCATCACCAAGACTTTTCACACTAGAAAACATCACCTCCCAGTCAGGAAAATCAAGATGTGGAGGAAAAAAAAAACGAACCAACTGTTAGTATTTTTTTTTGATAACAAAAGAAAAACAAGCACAATTGATGATATAGTTTAAAGATTGATAATAAAAATCTACTTGCCTTTTTTCATCCTTGGGACCACAGGCTTACCATCCATAAAGCCCTTCTCTCTCTCAAATTTCTTCTGTGTTGTGCTCCTATAATGAATGAAATGAATGAAAGCCAGGCTCAATAAATCCAAATGTTTAGCAACACTAAAAACAACATTTCCTGAGTTGGCTTTTATTCATTTCATTTATAGGAGCACAACACAGAAAAAAAAAATTTGAGAGAGAGAGAAGGGCTCTATGGATGGTTAGCCTGTGTTGGGAGCTGGAATTCAAAAAAATAAAACAATTATTAGAAAAATATAAATTATAAGAATCATAAAATGATATACAAATTGAAGTAAAATGATAATTTGAAATAATACTAGCCTTTCTTCATCCTTGGGAATTGCTGTGAAGCTGGTTGAGTTCAGTGAAAATGTTTGTTAACCATTTAAGCTTAACATGAAAACCCAATGTCAATGTCAATGGAAAATCATCACAAGTAAAAAAAAATAGAAAAAATAACCTTGAAATGAGTTGAAAAAAAAAGTTATACAGGCACCAGTTTGAGCTTCTGTACTGTTCTCCATCAGTTTAAGGATTATGAGACTTAAAGGCCATAACCCAGACAGAACATAACTCACAAGTACTCTAGAAACAGCTGGTGCAAAAATTATTACAAAATGTTTGCCATTCTCATTCTCCTAGGATGTAACTCAGCAAATAAATCTATTATACGTTCAAGGTCAAAATCCATGTCTCTGTGGGCATGCATCAGTGCCAATCCATTCAGTCTGTCCTGGGTCATTGTATTTCTCAAATAGTTCTTAAGATTCCGAAGGGATGATATGGATCTCTCACAAGATGCAGATGAAATTGGAATTGTGATCAGGACTTTCAGCATGGAATAGATGTTGACATATGCATCTTTGTCAATATCCTTCAGTGTAGCCTCCAAACTGTCAGGAATAATATCTCCTCTGTTATCCCTCCCCTTCCACAATCTCTCCCATAGCAAAAGCTCTGCCTTTAATCCTGCATAATTTGGTATGTCCTGTCTGTAATGGTTACAAAATTCCAAAACATTGGCCTTCCAGGCAGGGTCAGTAGCTAGTAAAACAGAAGGAATAATCGAAATACCTTTATAGCAAACAAATACATCATCCTGGAATCTGGTGTTGAGCTGCTGGAGTACATGGTCAAGAAAAACTCTAGTGAGATTGATCTTGAAATACCCCTCAGGAGTTGCAGCAGGAGCATTATTTCTATGCATTTGTCTCTGGGCTATCCTTGGCATTTCTGGCTGGACTGCTACTTGTCTTGCAATGGTCACTGCTTCCTGGTAGAGATTATGATGTCTGTTATCAATGTCAGTGCTCATGTCTTCAAGGACTGATTTCAAAAGAGCAAGTTCATCTTTAGCTTTTAGAAGATCCATTGCTTTTTGTTGCAGCTTCACTGTGAGTGGTCTAGTTAATCCCAAAATATGTCTGACAATAACAAGAGAAACAATAAAGGAAAAGTTGATTGCATTAATTAAGGACTGAGCATCATGTCTGCTTGTTGGATTCCAGGTTGAGTCTCCATGGCTGTTTCTGTTAAGTGAGATGTCTTCAAGTGTAGCTGTGACAGGGTAGAGAAGTTCAACTATGCGGTCCATTCCATCAATCCGTTCAATCCATCGTGTGCGGCACACATCAATTAAAACAGTATGGTTTGCCCGAGGCAATAGTTCTCTGATCTTGGCCATTAAATGTTGTTGACGCTTGGGAGAGTTGTTAAAAAAATTAGAAATCTTGCGCACAATCCATCATGTTCCTGACAATTGGCAATTGGCAAGTGTCTGCTATACACAAATTAAGCCTGTGGTTCATGCAGTGGACATAGATTGCCTTTTCGTGTTCTGCACTGATCAATGAGGAGGCTCCATTTAGTCTTCCAGCCATATTGCCTGCACCATCATAACACTGCCCACGACAGTCTTCCATTGTCAATCCTAAGTTTGCTACAGCTGCAGTTATAATGTCCTTGATAGCCTCCCCTGTTAATCCCTCCTCACAAATGTAATACCCAATAAATTCTTCTCGGATGGTTTTAGTTGTATCCACAAATCTTATTACTACAGAAACATTCTCCTTATTTGAAATGTCAGCAGCTTCATCTGCCATAACTGAAAAATACTTACTATTTCTTATTTCCTGTGATAGATCATTCAAAATGTGAGCACCAACAGTTTCTATCATTTCATTCTGAATGGTCTTTGAAATGTATGTGGCATTTCTGGGTGCAGTGTCCAGGTGTTGCTGCAGTGTTTGGTCACCACTGTCTACCCGGAATTCTAGCAATGCCTGGAAATTACCGGTTAGGGCAGCATTAGTGGGATCATCATCTCTCCGCCCCCTGAGTGGGATGTTGTTTTTCCCACAGAAAATAATAGTTTTGAAAAGGGACTTTAGAATCTCCCGATTTCTCGCGATTTGCTGGTGAACTATGTTATTTAACTGCTGGTCAATTGGGACAGCTCCTCTTTGCATCATTCTCTTGAAATCATCCATAGCAGTCATGGAAAAATTGTGAATTTCACAATTTCCTAGCGAGTGTTTGGTTAAGCGAGAAGCGGCCGAAGTCCAATTTGTGAGAGGAGACTTCAATAATTTGTCTAACTTATTAGCGTTTCGCCCACACTGAACTCCAAAACAAACACAAGCTAAACAAAATGCTCCATCGAAATATTTGGAGTAAGCTAGCCATGGAAATCTTTTCAGCCAGCCCGAGACAAACTTACGAGATTTTCCATTTTCCATTGACACGGGGAAATCAAAAAGCTCACCTGGTTTCCACACGTTTTCGACGAACTCCAGCCTCTGATGCGGCGAGTAGTTGTGGATCTCGTCGAAAACTAGGCCAATGTCGAAGGAAGAACAATCCTCCCTCCGACAAACATTGTATTGTATTGTAGGAGCAACGAAAGAGACCCGCTGGGGGAGGAACTGCCCTTTTTATACTTTGTCAGTAGTTTCCAAGGTAGTTTCCAAACACAACTAGCCAATCAGAAGAGTGTTTTGAGTGAGTTCCGATGACGAAATCTTTGCCAGCCAATCGTGAGGGGTTTTGACTGTGTTCCGCCTGTTATTGTCACCAAATAACAAGGACTTACACCCACCGGTTGCGTAAAGATTGGCTCCACGAACATTTTCCGACGGCTTCCGACGGTTTCCGAGGTGTAATCGAAGCTCGAAAGGCCAGCGCGTGATCCGGAGCGCTCCCGAACGCCTCATGACCGCAATTATAACGAAATTAGTCATTCTAAACGTATTTTCTTTAATAAATAACTGTAAAACAGGAAGATGGTTTATTTCTGGAAGACGTTTAGTGATTTCCACAAAAGTATCAGTAGTTTCCAAAGGGAAATTAGAGTGTTTTCCAAAAGTAATTTTATCAACATTTAACTAGGTCGGAAAAAATTTGAGTGAGTTCCGGAAATCAGGTAAACTACCCTGGATCCACCCCTGCCATATAATTCTAGGTTCAAACTCACGCCATATAATGAGAGCCTGAGGAGAAAAAGCTCCGGAAAAAGCTCGCAGCATGCATTCTACAGAGACGCTGTCATTTCTGTCATCAATGTAGAGAATTCCATTAACGTTTGCAGTCGGTAGGTGTCTATGCGGTTACTTAAACCTGTTAAGAATGGATCCGAAAGTATCATATCCTACATAGTAGAAATGTGTTGCTGGCATCCTGTAACTGAAATGAAATTCATATGTTCCATCCACATTAAACGTTAATTTGTCACTTCGTACTGTGAAATGTGACTCATTGGAAACTTCATATTTTAATCTTGATGTTAATGCTTAGTTTCCTTTTCATTATCATGTCCCATTTCATAATTAAAAAGTATACAGGTACAAATCCTAACGTTGTTGCTTGTTTAACACCATCCACACATGAGTTATTGTCAGCATCATTATCATTTGTTGGTGTAGCTAAATTGATTATTATTTTATTTGACATATTTAAATCAGCGGAATGTGTTTCAGCTCCATTCTACTTCTGCTGTGATCACTAAACAAATTAATTGATATTCTTGAAACTGTCTCAGACCTATTGGTGGCTGATATGTCAACAGATGAATGGTCAATAGATGCTGAAGGAAAATAAAGTTTGAAAACCACTGTATATTCACCAGTTATAAGTACATACATGTCTAACCCAACACGAGATGAATAATACCCTTTTCCGCTCTCTAAATGCAGTTTAATTTCATAGGTGTTTTATTGAACTGATGGATCTTGATTAATGAATTTAACCCCTGTAATGTCATCTTCATCACTGAACTGTCCCCTTTTGTTCATATGTATGTAAATGTGGGATCAATATCAGTACCTGGGCCCAAGGCGCTGTGTAACAGAGCCATTTAAATTTACGATAAAACGGCTTATGTAAAACATTACCAGTCAACAACCCTTATGCAATTAAGGTCAAATGAATGGCCCTATGTAATAAATGTTTTTAAAATGCACGACCTTAAAGTTCGTAAAAAGCGCCCGTTGAATGTTCGTGAAATGCGACTGTTAAATGTTCGTAAAATGCGACTGTTAAATGTTCGTAAAAAGCGCCCGTTAAATGTTCGTAAAATGCGACTGTTAAATGTTTATAAAATGCGACTCTTAAATGTTTGTAAAATGCGACTCTCAAATGTTCGTAAAATGCGACTAAATGTTCGTAAAATGCGACCGTTAAATGTTAATAAAATGCGACTTATCAAATAATTGCTCGTTTTTGTATCAACATACCTTTTATTGCCTCCATCTGTTGCACTTGTTGGGTCTGCTACAGAACTAAATTGAATGGATAATTTGTAATTAATTACGGTTGCAAGAAAAACTTAGGAAACTTCAAACAAAATAGCTGTAGAAAGCTTTGAATGAGAGCAATTGAAAACGTGCAGGCATAGTGTTTGGAGACGTTTAACCGAAACGATGTAATTACCTACCGCGTGAGACTGTGCCGCCCACGGGATGGAAATGTTAGAGGTGTTTTCGCAGAAAGTGTAGAATCTTTGGCCAGCAGTCTTCTTGTGTTCTGGCATGTGCAACAGTCTCCCCTCCCCAAGCTAGGTAAGGGTAGCCACACCATTCTTTAGTAGATTTTCTGAAAGGATAATCACAAATAGGAGAGTAGGGTGGTTCGATGAGATATCCCACTTGGGGATAACGCAAAGTAGTACACAAATGTTCTTTTCCGTTCTCCTTCAAGCGATCAATAATGAACTTTACCGTAAAATCGGTAGGGACGTTCAAGTCATCAGTTCCAGAAACCAGCATGACAGGGCAATTGATGTTCTCAACTGGTGTAATAGCTAAGTATTTGAAGACTGTTGTTGGATTCATGTAATCAATGTCAGTTGGTTGGGTGAAACGATAGATGCTGCTCTTTTCTGAAGACACCACTCTGCTGTCATTAAGGGGTATCATGTCGGAGACTCTCCCTTTTAATTGGAAAGGGAAAAGGAAGGCGATTACCAGATATGAAATAGCTACAATGGCCTTTATTAGTGCGATCTGATAGCTTGCCGTCAACAGTGCAATCCATGACCCATCGCATATAGGGTGCATGCCGATACCATGTAGAAGCACTTTAGAGTGACTTATAAGCCAGTTAGCAGCTTCTTCAAAATAATCCAAGTTTATTGAAGATGGAGACGATGGTTGATCTTCATAGCCCAAGTAGGCCAAAGCAAGAGTAGCGAATCCATAAGATGCCAAAAGTGAAGCCTTAAATTCCACTATTCCGCCTGCAGCACCAGGCAGATCTATGACTCCTGTAAAGATAACATTGACTGACTGAGTGCAAGATATGTCTAACATGTGCAAGGGAGACCTTATGATTAAGACATTACTTGGATTCAGTAACAATCGCTTATAAAACAACACGTCAAAGGCGGCGTTAACTATGCAACATGTGAATAACCTTCAACATTTTCTGACCACTAAAACTGGCAGACATATGATGACAAATTCCTTCGCAAGTTTCCTCTTAAAGCATCTAAAAGGGCTTTTGTTGCTTGCTTTGTAACTTGTCAGATTAAAGTTTGTTCCTGTACTACCTGCCAGGGATCAGCCGTGAGCAAACGCTTAACGCGTGTATCAGAAAGAAATTGAAAGGTTTAGCGTAGTCCTCAATCTTAGTTTTATAAGGACTGCATTTTAAAAGGATTGTGCAATGACCGCACGACTCTCTAGAATTTAAAATCACAGGAAGTTAGACATATTTATTAAAGCTGGAAAATATTGCGACCAGGTTTTTTGGCTAAAAATTAAACTGATAGCTTTGTTCATTGGAAATTATTTCTCTGGATCGATCCACCGTAAAATGGACGACTTGTAATTCTGTTTTGCAGGCAATGTTTCGCATTATCGATAATTTGAGATCAATTCATCAAAATGATAACGATGCAATCCATCTGCTTTATCTGTTCAATGATCGGAATGCGCTCCTCCTCGTTTTTTTGTAGAGCAGTCGTTGCAAGAGGAAAGGAGCATTCCGCCATTTCTGATTTAATCCTGAAATCCTGATAACCATTACAGTTTCCTCAAATATTAATAGTGTATTAGCCGCTTTATTCTTCACTAATCATTCTTTTCAGCTGTAATCGCACTCCTGTAATCGGACAGCTGAAGCAATCATATTAGGTCCACTTAGCTAAATCCACCAATCACAGTATTGATCACAATAACCATAGCAACAACTACTTATCCTGAAAAAAAAACTGAGTTTTTCCAAATTGGAGAAAATTTTTTACCTTAGACATTGTCTCTACCGCAACTGCCCTAAATGTATTTGTTTTCCCTTTTTTTTTTTCGGAAATTGCAAACAGTTATGATCAATTGGTAACGGGACTTTGTGTCGTCCAATACTGTTAATCGCGGTCGTCCGATTTTGTTAATCACTTGTATGATCACAAACCAAAACGAATTCCACTTGGTCCGAATACCATTATGTGTGAAATTCATCCTTTGTTCTTCCATCCAGGGCTTTGTGAATTTTTCCATGATTTGATAAAATCTCTTTCGCGTTACATCGATCGCGGATTTCAATGATACTTCAGTGATCTAAGAGTAACTACAATGTTTTACATAATTAGGAAAAATAGGGTAGCAAATTTTCGTGTAATATGCAAGGAATGCTCGTCATCTATAATAAAAGGATTCTATTTGGAGCTCTGATTTCTTTAAATCTATTTTATATCCTTTTTGTTGGGTTAGATGATGCAAAAGACGTCAACGATAGTGTTAGCAGCGAAATGTCCTCCTCTAAATATGCTGGTTCGCAGTGATGGCGAGAACTAGCGAACGAGCACACCACGCTCAGGACTCTCGACTGTCTGGTCTCTTTCGACACTCACTTTGATTCTCACTGGCTTGTGCTGTTAGAAACTCATTTCAGTTACGGAATTCTGTCTCTACTTCTGCACAATGTCGACATTCTTCTATTAAGTAATCTCTAGAGTACCTGCTTATATATTCACTATTGCTTGCTGAATATTAACAACAACAATAAAACCTAACGGTTATGATTAACTGAATCAACCTCTGACTGCATTAGCCAAAACAAGGTCTTTCGTGTGGGTCCACGTGGAAGTTAGACAAGATAGTCAGAATTGGTTGAGATAAACGCAGTTTTCAGGTAATTCAATGCAGAAGATGTTTAATTCAGTGCAAAGAAGTAACAAACCAGACTGAACAACTCTTTTAAATGTTTAGCCGGACTTTGAAATTTTTTGCGCCTTAAAGATGTGAAAATATCTTTGTATATTATTGTTTTGATCGTTCGCGGTTGTTTTGACCGAACGCACAATGCCACTTGCAGGGCGCGCTTTGCTTCTGCATAATTATGATAAGCTATCTCGTCTTTATTCATGTATATTAATACGTAATCATATGATTTTTCTCGTGCAATTTGGAATAAATAAGCACTTGTTAATTTTTTAAAACACCACAAACTGCACTCGCGCTGCGGGCTTGTGCAATTTTGTTAGTCTTTGAAAAAATTTACTCGTGCTTATTTATTTCAAATTACATTCGAAATCATGTGAGTACCTTTACTAACTAAATACTTTATAGCAAAAAATTTAACCAATGTTACTTCATAACATAAAATTTTACTTAAGGTTAAAGTAAAATACTGCTGGAGGCTACAACACATCTAAACAATAAACTCTAGTGATATAACACAGAGGTGATCAACCCAAAAGTGATTGTTGGTAAAAACTTGAACTGTATGTCCAACACCGTTGTCTTAAAAGATCATGACACGTCTGTAAAGCTCAATAGTGGATTCTGATTGCTTCTCGATCAATTCCTTTTAAATTATAATCTATAAAAACACTATTCTAGTCTTGACTAACGGGTTTTTTTTTTTTTTTTAGATAAACGTCAAACTTTCGCTACTTACCAGAAAAGGGTCCGTCACCCGGGGGAAGAAAAAGAGTTCCACGGATACTTCCTTCTCTCACAGGAATTCTTTTCACTCCATTCGCCATGTACCCCTTCTCAAACGTATTGCCAGACAAAGGCTGCAAAGAACTTGATTCCTGCGGATCCGTATAGCCATCAAAATAGTCCAAGACGACTCTGTAAGGTTTAGTGACATCAGATTTCATCATTGGAATGCCTTTTCTCTGGTGATGGTTTCATGCTCCATAAGAGTCCCATAGCTGAAACTCCGCGGTAAGATCCACCAAAAGATGGTTCACGAGAAACATCGACCTGGCCATGTTCGGTAGCGATGAAGCAAGCGTATGAATTGAACACTTGCCCGCTATCTCCAACAACTCGTGCCCCCAGTGTAATCTTCTGTAGTGGTTTCAGTCGAAATACGTTAATTTTAGTTATTTTGTCGATAAGTGAGAATTTTGGCCACAAAGTAATCATCTTATTTGAAATTAACGACAATAATACCTACTGAGTTAACAACCTTTGACGTATTTGATTTCTCCCTCATCGTCCCAGAAGAATTTTATTCCTTTGGCTGAATAAGTCATTAACATTCTTAACAGTGACGCATTGTTTCCGCAACGGAGGACAGTTATTTGACCCTTTGTCAAGGGGAGTTTACATCTAAAAGAGACTACTAAAAAGAGACAAGTAAGAGAGACAACTTGAGCCATAAATTCCAGGTTCAAAGGTCAAATTTTGCATGTCACGTCACTCATAACATATCATGAAGGATCCGAGAGGGTGGCAAAGGAGGGGGTTCCAATCACACATCGCACTGGATTTTTCTATTAAAATCTCGCATCACGGATAATTTTTTAACCAATCACGCGTCGCGTAAAAAAAGGAGTGAGTACGCTCAGCTAATACTGTAAGATTTCAACCTATCGGATTTATTATTAAATGCTATATTGCATCCTACATTTTTATCCTTGAATGAACTGCCTTTCACTTGTCATATTGCTTTTTGTTAAACAAATAAAGACGACTTACTTGTTGAAACTAGACGCTCCGAGAGCATTTACTCGGGCTTCGTATATCAGATCGCACTTTACAAGTAACGAACTCAGTAAAACAAATTAAAGAATCAAGATATTTAACACAAGAGTTAAGCTTACCTATTTACTATTCAAATGGCTTTGTTGAGTATCCTCTTCATCCAATAGCTTGTTGTTTGCCTCATCCTCGATGTTCTGTTCACGAAGATTTTTTGATTTTTTCAATTCAACATCTGAGGTGTTCGTCTGGGCATCATAGTCATCATAGTTTGTTGTTTAATAAGTCAGTAGTCGTAGCTTTGACAATGTTTTCGTAGTTTGAATTCATATATGGTTCATTAATTATCTCACGAGAACTAGTATGAACTTTGCTAATTTCAATTTGCGGCCACTCGTGGCTCTATGAGTCTAAGAGCATACGAATTGAGTGGACGTCTATGTCACCATTGCTATTCTTTGATACACGGGCAATATTGATGTCAAAGTTTTGCCCAATCCCCTCAGTACGGCAACTGTCTTTATGTCAGTAAAGGATATAACGTGGCTTTTGAATTCGTTTAGGTCTTTATGACGACCTTGGAATAATTATGTGTACCACTAGGTACAAAAAATTTCACTTGTGTAGTGGCTCATTATTTACATTACCATCTTCTCGAACGGCATGAAATGACACCAACACTCTAACGTCTTTAACCGTTTCAGCCGTTTGGGTCAACATTCTTTCAGATCTTTCATTCGATGTATTCGGATACTCTCTGCTCTTTCTGGATACGATCTGACGCAATACCACGACTAGCGGCTGAAGGTCATAATCCGGACCACGAGTCCTTGTGCAAATGTTAACTATACATCACTTATACCTTTTGTGTTACGATTGTTTGGACCAACCACGAAGATCAAAGACATCATAGGGTCAAGCATAGGTCAGCAAAGGACGGAAAAGACCAGAAAACGGTGTCACGACTGTCACGGTTTATTGATCCTTGTTAAGACCCTATTTACCTTAAATGATTGGTATCCTTCTGGGCCAAAGAGCGTTCATTTACCATGGAAATCTAATTGGTAAGTCTTGTAAATAACGCGTCACGCGCTTGTAAAATCATCACCTTGTGATGTCCGGTCCAGCCTCACGCAGATAATTTGGGTTCAATAACGCGTCACCCAGCAAATTTTGGGGCCATCACGCGTCACTTCAAAACCATTTGCAACCCTCATCCAAATGTCTAAAATGGCACTTGATCCAAAAAGTGAGCTTTTTTACACCGATGTTATCGGCTTCGCAGAAAGGCATGAAGAGCTTTGCCTACCGAAAACTCTATGCAAATTAGGCTGAGTAAATTGTAGGGCATACAATTTTTGTTCCGCTTGATAAACCCTAGATGTATTTGTCGCTGTTTGTAATGTTTCCTTCAAAGGCTCCTAAGTTCTTTGATTATGCCCCCTCATTGGCACTCAATTTTCGACAGTTCCCTCCCCCCTTTATTCTCTGATGGCGACAACTGATCCCCCTCCGTCCCCCTAGAAAACCATGTGATCTCCCCTAAAGCCTCCACTCCTTCTCCCAGAAGATAAATGACTGGTCCCCTTGCGGCTCTGATCAGTTTACAATTTGAGCCTAAGATGGGTGGAGTATCTTTACAAAATCGTCTACGGCAATTTCCAAAGCGATCGAGTGTTGAAACACGCGATTGAAGTGTTTGAGACAAGTGATCGGGAATGCCCGAGACACGTGATTGGGAGCGTTTGAGACATGTGATTGAGAGTGTTTGAGGCAAGCTTTTCCGTAACAATAACGACCAATCGTTATTCCGAAAGGATTTCTTTTTTTACTAAGATCTCTTTCCTACAAATAACGGCTTAGTCATTAAGTGTTGTCTACGTAGAAATGCGTATGTTGCGATGGTAACGTGGAGAAAAAGAAATAGAGGAGTATCTTTGCGGAAAAAGTGAGTGACAGAAACTCTAAGTTATCCGCAGTGAGCAAATCCGGCGTTTGTACCTGAATATTTCAAGCGATTACAATGCTATGTTAAATTGATAGATAATTAGAATACAATATGACAATTTTTTGTTGCGGTACAACATCAAACATTCTACTCACTGCCCTTAACCACACCGTAGCATCCTGAAGCTTTTATCACAAACAAAGAAGATTTGACCAGGATTACAGAAGGCACTCTGGATTTTGAACTAACTTCCTTAACATCATAACTATCATGTCATCATAAGCTTTTAAATTCCAACATCAGTTGTTGTTTCACAGCAAATTTAATGCCAGTTATAACCGAACTTGTGATCGCGCGAAACCAAAAAACATAAAAAATGGCAAACAGATAAAACAAAAGAATAAACATTGCACTCAACTCTAATCCTACGTGTTACAGCCTAGCCTAGGAAACTTATCAATCCCTTAAACCTTCTTTTATAAACTGCACTGTTAAATCCCCTTTGACTGACACCCTGCCCCCTTTGTGGCTTTTGAAATGTAACTGTGGCCCAAGTGTGATATATTCTTCGCCATTTATTTTTGTGTCCTAAACTATACCGATTCGAATGGACGGTTGCATGGTTTCAAAATAGTCTGTGATTTATCTTCGATGCTATTGAATCTGTCAGCTGGCTCAGAACTTATTTGGACAATGCCACAGGTTCTTGCAGCTTGATCTGAAAGAGTACCGTGTTGTTGGAAGAACATTGTCTAAGGATTCTGCGAATTTCAAATAAATCCTGATCTTCTAGCCTCTAACCCTGATGTGATCATAGTTGATTTTCCTTCGTGTAGTTCGCTAACGTGAATGACGGGACCATTATCATGAGTCGCTCCTCGTAATAACTGTGCAGGTATCTGATACTACACGAATTTTTCTCTGGTCTTTACATTTAAATGCCTTATGAGTACTACAGTTAATTTTTTCCGTGGTCCTCATTTTTTGCCCATTTTAAAGAGGCCTAAAGTTTGAAGGAGTCTGGGATCGGGTTCAGCATTGTTTCTGTTTGACTGGTTGTTCAATAAACTGGCAGCCTGGGCCGAGTTCCGCTCCTGTGCCTGAGTAGTAGAGTCGTCCCACTCTGGCACGCCATCAGCACGAGTCCCCGAGGACCCAGAAGGAGCGAGCCATTCCGGTAAAGGTTCCTCTTTGTCTTTCTTGTTGCTTGGAGCCTCTTCGGGAGGAGAAGTATCATTGAGATATGAAGTAGCAGACATTCTTCCCTTGTCGAAACTAGTACTGGGGGACCCGTAACCCCGTGGACTATGCAAGTGTCCCTGGCTTTTCAAAATAGTAATTATTGTCGAGATTTGCTCTTCTAATTGAGTCATTTTCATATTCATAACTTCGATTTCTCGTCGCACCTCGCCTTTCATTTCGGACAAACTCGAAAGAACGTCGGTACCCGATTCCGGGATGTCGGGACGCGCTCGGACAATGTTCGACGTCATACTTCTTGTTCGTGTCTTCGGAAGGACCATCATGTCGATCTCTGCTTCACTCGTGTCTCCACCGTCCACCTGATTGTCGTCAAACTCGTAGTTCTGCGCCAATTCTTCGACTAGACTCAGCTTTCGATTCTGCTTCCTGTGTCGAAATGGGACACTCGTTGGTCTGTCCCTTTGTTCCTCGTTTGCTATTTCCAACTTTGGGGTGCGTTTACGAATCTTGAGCTGGAGGTTAAAAAAATTAATAAAGCAATTTTCAATTAATTGTCGAGAGTAATCCGGTATTGCTTTGTTTTTGTTTTGCTTCGTTTCGTGGTTTTGTTAAAAAAAACTCGCGTCACCTCCTCAATCAATCAGATGCAAAACTAAAACCAATCACTACTTGGTCGTTCGCTGTTTCCCGCGCTTTAGGTAATTTGGCAGTTTTTACTTTGAGTTGTCATTGGCTCTTAAAGGTATTTTACTTTCTTCTGATCGGCCGTTGTGATTTCTTTGGTTCTGGTTTTACGAAACTTAATCGAAAAACACTCTAGTTTATATTGCCTCGATGAAGAATTAAGTGGTAGTTTAGTGTTAACAACTGAGCTAAAAACATAAATTGGCCACCGCTAAGAGTTAAAAGGCAAACTTTTCGAGCATTAGCCCTTCGTCAGAGAGATTGGAGGAATTGTGCGTTGTGTGTGGGTTTGTATGCAGAAAATGGGGCTACGTTATTGGTGGGAGTATGATGATGAGAAAACAAGAATGAATTAGTTGAATGAAAAGCGCTCGTTGATACCGTGGGGATTAGGAGTAACGAAGAAGGTAAACTTTTGTTCTCGTGTTTGCGGCTTTCCTAACTGCCCAGATGTTGGGAAAGTCCGCAAACTGCTATATGTTGTTTAGAATGATTATGGAGAATAAAGTTTCTGGCGACTGGTTTGGATGCGTCCTTGTCATTTCTTTCTACGTCGCGAAGGTGTTCTCGGATAATTACGTGGTTGTGCTCATTGTGTACCATAATTATCAACAAAGATTCGGCTTGCAAATTGTTTAAACTTGTACGTCTACCTTATACAACTGTGATTTTTAAATAATATCTCATTGATAGCGGATACATTCGGCTAATATGGTTAGAAGCAACCAGTAAATCAATCAGTCAATCAATCAGTCAATCAATCAGTCAATCAATCAGTCAATCAATCAGTCAATCAATCAGTCAATCAATCAGTCAATCAATCAGTCAATCAATCAGTCAATCAATCAGTCAATCAATCGGTCAATCAATTAGTCAATCAATTTATCAAGTCAGAAATGCAGTTGGCCAGGCAGGCGGTCAGTTTGTCACCTAGCATGAAGAGTAAGCGCGATTTTAGCGAGCGAGTGCTCAGTATTTTTTTCTGTGACAATCATAGCTGCCATCTTTGATTTTTACAGCGGAAGAATGGGGAGAGAAAGAAGTACCGATGGTATGAGTAATGGTCAAAAGGAAGGACAAGGGAGGGCTGGGGCAAAAGAAATCCTTCCCAGCCCCCCCACCCCCGTCCATTCTAATTTTGAGTTAAGCTGGTCGAATAAACAATCGCAAGCTTGTACCGTGACCTCACCCATTAAGAAGCCTACACTGCAGTCTATAACTGAGTTTGTCAAACAATAAATAAATTAATCAATTAATCATTCCCTCATTCACTCAATCAATTATTCATTCATTCGTTAATTCATTCAGTTTGTCAGTCATTCGTCCGTTCGCTCGATCTTCGTTCATTCATAAAGTCATTCGGCAATTAATCAATAGATCAATCCCTCACTCCTTTAATCAATCGATCTATTGAAGAAATGTAGAATGGTTTTATGGCCAATCAGAGCGCACGTACTATTTGAATTATTTTATAATAGCCAATGAATGAATTAGACTACTTCTACGGCTGGTATGCCTCACCTCATCTCTTAAGTTGTACGATAGCACAAGGTTCTTGGTAAATTTGTTGGCGAAATCTGGATAAAACTCCAGCACCTCGATGAGTGCGTCTCTCTGAATCCAGTGAAGGTCACAATAAGTTAACGCAAATACGTCCACTGCTGACTGACCTACTGTTGGCTCATGACAAATGTTGTCACCAAACACATCATTCTCACCTTTGAGGAAAAAATATCAACGTAAAATGGAAGTGACACTCTAAGTCAATACAACAGTTCCCAAATATCATATGATCATATTTGAGTAGCACCCAACCTCTAACAGTAAAGGGATGCTGAAAAGCTCTGGGAACCAAGAGTCTATATCGTGCGATAACCTGACCATCAAGTAACGTTCGAACTTCGATTGCCATGCACCAGACATTTTCCACTGGACCTTAAACCCTTCTCACGGTCAAGAGAGAAGTGTGAATCTAGCAATACGTCAGAAGTATTCCCTCTGGTCATTGCACTTTTGTTAGTTCGTTACTGAAAATACCGGTACCTTTATAAGGAGTTGTTCAATAACAGAAGATAACAAAGTTTTCCCTTTTATTTATTAATTTTTTTTTTCACATTCCTACCTAGTAAACCGACAACAGTTTCTCCCTGTTTGACCTCAAGAGATCCACGCGCGATAAAGTATATGACGTCCAAACTTTCTCCATGATGAATGATTCGATCACCAGGTGCCACGTGCGAGATCCAAAAATTGCGGGCAATCGCTCGTTTCACTCCCGTGCTGGCGTCCAGGAACGCGGGATTGTTCTCGAGGATCATTCGGTTGAGATGAACGCAGATGTCTGCTTGAAGATCTTTTGGACAATACTTTAAGACCTGAGGTTTAACACGAAGAGACACTTTCAGCGTTTGTGCGATTTGCTTATGCTCACTGAGTTTACGCATGCTTTTTTATTATGCTTAAAGCTTGCGTATGAGTCACGTGACCTGCATCTCCAGTACTTATCCCAGCCTCGGTGGCAAAGTGATAAGGGGTGTTGCTACTCTCCCTCACCCCCTGGATAGGACGCCATTTATTGACCAACCCCACCCAGGGTGCCAGGGTACCTTGACCCATCTGCTATGGAATGGAACGTAGTCATTTCGAGATTTCCAAGATAGCTGATGTAAATTTTATTTATGGCCAATATTTATCAGAAAAGATTATTAAGAAATCCTAGTAGTCGTGTTTGAATTACTTGAAAATTTTTCCATTTATCCCGTTTGGAGACAGAAAATTTAGTAATTTCAATGTTTAAGTTTTTTTCCTTTCCCTATTCCCTCCCCCATGTTTGTACCACGTTTAGCGGGGCGAAGATTAAATGTCCACGAGTTATCTAATGGCGTTCTTAACCTTTTGAGATTAAGACGAACCCTTTTAGGTTAAATCCGTAAGAGGAATACGGTAAAGGTTTCAAAAAACAATGTGTACCTCGTCTGTGTCGATTCCCTTGTTCATTGCCCACGTGGACATGAAGAAGTCAATCGTTCTGGTAGCAAGGTTTGCTGGCAGCTTGTAAAGTTTACTAAACTGCTTCATGTTGTCGATTATCGAGTGGTATTTTGCTGTGTTTTTCTGCGCTTGTTGAAGTATAGCAGAGACTTGGCCGAAAATGAGGGAGAACAAGATTGCTAAAACGAATCAAGTCAAAACATTCCTGTTAGATGTGATCCTGAAACTGTGCATCCTTTCGTTTCATTTTGTTACAAAGTACAGAGCCAATCAGATTAAAGAAGAAAGATGAGTCATAATACGCGACAGGAAAGCGCGGGAAACATTTTCCCACAGAGACGCGAGTAACATATGGCCAGGGTCTAAGTGTTGCAGGTCTATATAGAGCGCGGTAAAGGTTTGAAATCAGGAAGGAGGAAAGATGGAGTCAGGACTGTATATCTATCCAGTTTTCAAAATGGCTCTAAAAACTGGTTTCACTCCCATGTACGTAAATAAGATTTATTCTCCTTCTTAACTATAGAAATAGATGATGGTAATTGTTATGCCTCCATCACCGCTCTGTCTGTTTGTATTGATGGAGTAAATCTTTCAGGTGTTGCATAAGGGGAATTTCGATAATAGGTCGCGAAACCAAAAGAAAACTAATCTTCCAAAGGCCAAAACAAAGAAAAATATCGCGCGCGGAAATTTCAGTAAACTTCTCGAAGCGCAGGGAAACGCCAGTACCCAAGTCCCATATGGTTTAAGTCAGTATCTGATTGGTTGACCGTGTGGAGCGTGTTTTCTAGAAAAACCACAAAGCGAAGTAAAGCAAAGCCAATTAATCTCGACACTCAATTCAAAATTATTCGACAAGTGAGCACACTCACCTCCCAGCAACATTGTGATGGATGCAAACAGCTTTTCAGCAGTTGTATTTGGCGAGATATTTCCAAATCCGATCGTTGTCAAACTAGTCAGTGTATAATACAGGGCAGAGACGTATTTTGAGGCAATGGTGGGGCCCGTCGTCAGATCTAATTCATTCGTCCCATTCTTCATTTTGTAAGGAGTCCCTACCTGGTTCCCTAAGATTTGCAGCCAACCGTTCGGGTCATAGTTATCGTAGTGGGTGGCGATTAAGTAGAAAAGACAGGCAAACCAATGTGCCACGAGGCAGAATGACAGCATGAGGAGAAAGAACGTAGACGCGCCATACTCCAAGTATTTGTCGATTTTTCTTGCTACTCGCCCCAGTCTTAACAAGCGAAACACTTTCAGGAATCCAAGTAATGTCGTCATGCTCTACAAAGGAGGAAAAATTGTTGGTTATGAAATGATCTAAAAGTTTAATTCCAGCCTGAGAGCGTCGAACTAAAAGTGCAATTTGATAACGTATGTCGTGGTTTTGACAGTAAACTCATATCGTAAGGAAAAACTCGATGCTAGTCATTCGAAGTGAAAACTTACAGCGCTGCTATTCGTTACGTAAGTGAGAATCCCGTATGGCAGGGATGAGACCAAATCCAGAAAGAACCAACTGCGAATGTAATTCCAACGAATCATCTTGAGATCGTCAATAACCTCGCCATCCTTCCCAACATAAGTCGTGTGAAAATTCAGGGCAATGTCAGCTAAAAACATCCAATCAACGAGCAGATCCAAGACAGAGACCGCGTCATGCTCGAATGCGAAGCAAACAAGAAATGGCACGGAAATCGTGGTGTAAAGCGTCAGGAAGAGTATCACCCAGTCCCAGGTTGTTTTGAACGTGGTGTAATGGAGGATCACCCGCGGTGGCGTGTGGGGTACATCAAGTTTGTAATCTGGCAACACATCGTCATTTAGAGACATAAGCTGAAATTCACAACACGTGTAAGTTAAAAAATTTGAACGAGTTTTATATCGTTCAATGACGATGTTTGTATTATGTTGGAATAAATTTTGTAATCCGAGGGAAAAGTAACTTCCGCTGGAAAAATTCTCTTTTGCTTTTGCGGCGGAACATCAGCCAGAAAAGAAAACTGAAGATTCTCCAATCTTCCAAAGGTTGAGGTTTTGAAAGATGGGTAGCACAGAATATGATTTTCATAAGAATTTTTAAAGGGAGGGAGTCGGAATACAAAGAACACCGATAAACACGGGCGACCATAAAACTTGACATGATTCAGAATGAAAGCGTAAACTTGATTCTATTTTCGAAGTGTCCACTGAACGCTTCCATACGTTTAACAAATATTGCTACCGAAAAGCGTTAAATGGAATCGCCATTAAAAATGGGGAAAAATTCCAGTTACAGTTGCGATTTTTTCTTTTGCGCAATATTAAACAAAGCTCAAAGAGTGTCACTAATAAAGTTTTGGAACATCTGCTTTTTGATGCGACACCTAGTCAAAATGCAAAAGTTTTCAACACATATATTTAATTTGCATGACTTCTAGGGCTGAATATTTGTTTTCAGTTTAAGTTTGTACGACTTCCATATTTGACTTCTGTCTGTTTACGACGACAGAAGGACACTCTGAACCCAACCATCCCTCGATCACAACGAAATTTTGTTTTTGGCTTTTATGCATCAGAGCTGCAAATTTTATTTTAGCCAAATACACTAAAAGAGTTGCCTTAAAGTCTCTTAAAATAAATACCCATCACGATATATTCAGTGTGAAGAAGAACACATTAAATCTTCATAAAATTGGAATTCTTATACCGAGGCGAAAATTTTACTGATGAATTGAAAAGCGCGCAAATCAACGGAGCGGTGAAAATAGCAGATTGGAAATGTTTTGTTTCGCGGGCAAAGATCAAAGTGGTTTTGTATCTAAACCGGCGCGAAGAATCTGTTATTCTAACTCACCGTCGACTCCTTTCGCCGTCGAAAAATTGTTGCTATTTCTTTAGGTTTCACCGACATATTGATGAATTGTTTATAAACCGTTGACATTAACTGGTAAGATGAAATCAAAGCAACACGGTGTTTATGTTGCTCGGTCTTGAAAGGCAGAAAAAGAAATTCTCAGGCTTTGCCTTTAGCAGCAATTAGGAACTCGTATTTCATCCAAACGATTGGGTGATACTGTATTCCTTTTCAGTTAACAAAAGGAGGTCAACTATTTTGAAATTCAAAATTTTTTTTTGCCTTACACCAACGTATAATTACGAAAAATCATTTATGTAAACACACACGCCCCTAGGGTTGAATGCATCCGTAGACATTTGCTACATAAATAAAAAACTTTTTTGATCGGCGAGCGGGCTGTTCACGATTTGAGTTAAAAAAGAATCAGGGTTTAAAAAAAAAAAAAAACTTAATTGAAAGAGGGCAAGAGTATCAAAACTTAGCCCTTCAGTAGGGTTACAGTTCAATTTTTAACCGAGAGAAAAATAATCATTTTTTTTTACCATTGAATTACTCTTTATTAATAATTCAGAGTATTCAAGTTGGATGGCAGCTGCATTTGTTAGTGAGAGAATGTTTCATTATGTTCGCTGCTTTACCCTTAGGGCTGCGAAAACAATAGAACTACAGTAATGACTACAATAATCATTATAATAATATTCATTTTAGTAATAATGATAATACTAATAAAAATAATAATAATAATAATAATAATAATGATAAAAATAAGAAGCCATTTTGTGTGATTTTTCAAACGTTCTTTTTGTCGTGAAAGCTCCCTCTCTTAAACTTTATAATTTTGTTCACGCTTTCTGCTTTCTTCTCGTCTTCGATAGGGAAACTTACTATGAAGGAGCATTCTTGCCTTCCTGTTGTTCCGGCGCGATTTGTACCAAATTAAATGAAACGACAAACGATTTTACTCACGCTGCTGATTTGCTGGGCGTTCCGTTGAGTTGTGGTTTTCTGTTTGAACGCGACAAGAACTGATTTGTGCCTCGTGAGAGTTTTGTTAAGTCGCGCCCATCCCTTGGGGCCTCCGTTGTCTATAGAAAAGCATATGAAGGTACAAACATTAGGCCTGTACGCGTCTCTTTGAACAGCTTGTAAATCTTTTGTTTGCCTCTAGTTATTAAAATAAAGTCAATCAGTCAATAACTTATCCAAAAAAGGGATACTCATCTTTGAATCTCTCTACTAAAGCAAATATGACCCTCTAAAATATAAAGATTCTGTTCAATTAGGATAAACCGTTTTCAGGTTGTTTGGATTGGTTGGTATTTCCATATCCTATTGGGAAAAACCTGGTTTAAGTTAAAAGGCTTGATCAACTTTTACAAATGGCTGAAAACCAAAAAGGTATGGGTAAAGACTCTTGTCATTTATGCGAGATTATTGAAGTCAAGCGCGACCTTCAGTGACTGGCCGCTAAGCTCACTGTAAACAAAAACAATATGGCAGGTTACTGGTGTTTATTTCTTTCGATACGTTGGAAATGGAAGACGAGGATGAATTCAAAGGGGTGTAAGTCGGAATCGAGTCACAGGCCAGTAATTGCATTTTCTGTTGCCCTCCCTCGGTCTGTAAACGCAGACAAGCCTGGTGCTGAATATTCACGCTTTATACTTTGGATGAAACGAGTTTGAGTACTCGTAACACCTCGAATAGACGTAAAATTTCAGTTCAACAAAAGAATCCTGGGAGCGACGTTGACATGATTGACAGTGTACGATTATATTAGCCAATCAAATGAGCGTGCTGCCAAGGGGTTTATGTCACTGTACGTGGTCTCTTCCGCTGTTTTGCAAATGGGTACTTTTGTAATATAAAGCGATAATAAAAACTCACAGTCCTTTTCTAAAGTCGAAATACATGTTTCCAGAAGTTTCCAAGTTTGTTCTAAAGATATCGCATGGAAGATGTGGTAAGAATTGAAATTCAAAAGCAACCCAACAAAAATATATTAAAACCTTAATATCCAAATTTCTTCAACTTTTTTCATTTCCGAGTCTTGAAATATGAATGATTTTGGACAAATTCTGTCCGAACAGTGTAAACAGAAATGTGACCATTCTAAAACGGTCAAAGTACATTTTTTCTGCCAATAGAGATTCAGCTAGAAGATTGGCTCCACCACATAAGTTTTACCCAAAACAAACAGAGCTATGATGATCCTATCAATTTGATGACGTCAAACATACCCTGACATGCATTGGGTAGCGAAATTAGATTTTGCGATTCGCGGTTTACTCAACAGGAATATGATACTTTGCGAGGGAAATAGCTGTTCTAAAGATAAATGTACTCAAGAAAGGGTTGACTTAAGGAATCAGCTGAGATAGAGACTTCCGCTGATGGGTTCCTGTTCCTGTTCCTGTTCCTGTTTATTTCACAGGGAGAGGGGAAGGTTTTGTTTTTACCTGTACCGACAATGGGATCTTTGAACTCCGTGATGTCTTTCAGTGTAACAAGGAACAACATCACTTCGCCTTTCTCGTTTTTGATCGGTCCAAGATGGAACAGAACCCACATAGGTGTACCTGAAAGAAGAAATAGAAGGTATAAAATTTTTTAAATATGCAATAGTCGTTTATTTTCTGGTGGCTCTAATACATATTTAAAAAAACTTGGTATTTTCAATTCGAGATTGGTCTGCTTTGATAACGTATCATCTTACCGTCTTTTTGATATGCAATAAACTCTTTTTGAATGGCTGTCTTCGCCTGCAAAGCATTATGAAGCTCTCTTATTGTCTCCGGGTCTGTCTGTTGACCAAACAGGAAATTGCAGTCGCAATTTTTCTTCATCACTTCCGCTCGCGTGTATCCTGTGAACTTGCAAAACCCGTCACTCGAGTATACAATGGGATTTTCCATAATCTGAGCGTTCCCAAGTACGAATAACGAGTCTGCAGTCAAAATGAAAACAGAAAAAATGTCGCATTTACCCATTACTTCATAAAGGAATGAATTAGAAAAACTGCCCTATTTTGTTTCTGGAATAAGCTGAGTTTTACAAACGTTTTGATTGGTTCTTACATAAGATCAATTGTAGGACAGACGCTTAGATGACGTCACCATTAATTTTTTTCCTTCTTCATTACATTGGGTCTCCTCAGTAATAGAACACAGAAGACGCCAAAATATGATAAGAACATCCGGGACACTCTCGGTTGCGCCTCGTGGGCCACTCTCCGCCGTTCTTACCATATTTTGGCAACTTCTGTGCTCTATTACGGAACAGACGCACGGTGGCATGGAATCTTAAAAATTTAGAAGGTTTGCTCTTGAAAAATTATTCCCTGCTTGGAATAATAGATAATGTATTTGGTTTCCATAATGACAACAAGAAAACTGCAGTTCTTTGGTTTAAGTTCTTTTTCTTTTAAGTCCTTCGATTTCTGTCTTCTGACAGAACTGAGCACAATTTTGAAATTTACATCCTGATAACAGCACGTAAAATATGAAAACGCTCCAGCTATCAACTAATGGAAATATGAAGAAGCTTTTTATAATTTTCACTAAAGAAAACAAAAGAAAACAAAACAAGCTGGTAATTATGACAAGGTGGTTAAAACTTCCTGTGCAGCAATTTCCAAGCAAGCGTCAAACGTATGACGAGCACAAGTTTTGAGTTCCTACTACTCTTTACAACTTCCTGTTTTTACAGACTGCGACAAACGAGGAGGAACCAAAGAAAAAAATAAAAAAATTCATTAAACTAGTTCTGACCGAAACTGATCTTTGTGCGAGAAAAAGGTAGTATGTTCCTTCGTCCAAATTAATCTTGCCATTTTAAAACCTTTGTTTGGTTAGGATAAACTCTGAACTACAGTAGGATCAATTATGAAGGTTTTTTTTCCATATAAAAGTGTTTGCTATTTTGATGTTCAAAGTCTCCGCACAAGACAAAGACTTCCCGTCAATTGATAGTGTTTCGCAGACTTACTTTTCAGTCGGAACACGATAAGACGTCTTGTATAATCTCAAGTTTATCTTTTTGGAAAAACTGCAGATACTGTTTTCGGAAGAGTGGGAACCTTCAACATTTGTCTGGAACTTTCTGAAAATGACTTGCAAAATACCCCATGGAGTGCCTTGCGAAATACCCGAATTACTGAACTTTCAAAATAATTAATGAAGTAGGATTAACCACTAGTACATACGAACAAAAATTCACTGCAATCTGAAATTGCACAGACTGATAAGAAAGAAATTTCTAATTACAAAAGCTTCCATTCAAAGGATGCAACGAGTAACCTGTTTTCCAGAGGCGCTGGAACCTTAGACATTTGTCAGGAACTTTTTAAAACTGGCTTGCAAAATACCACATGGAGTGCCTTGCGAAATACCCGAATTACTGAACTTTCAAAATAATTCATGTAGTCGGATTAACCACTGGTACATACGAACAAAAATTCAGTGCAATCTGAAATTGCATAGACTGATGAGAGAGAAATTTCTAATTACAAAAGCTTCCATTCAAAAAGATGCAACGAGTAACCTGTTATTTACCTTCAATATTTCCATGACTGGCTAATTACACCAACTTCAAATCAAAACGATCTCAAAATGTAAATATCCAATTCGGTTACATCAAAACGCCTTACTAACCGATACCTCAATTTGAATCACTTCATAAACTACGAATTAGAGTGTATAGAACGACTAGGTTTCAGCGAAATCAAAGGAGTTTATGAATGCGAACGTAATCAGGACTTTAATCGCTACACAACAGAAAGCAAGATGCAGTTTACATGTTCAACAAATTATTCATATACATATAGACAATTTCAAAGGTGTTTAAACGAGAAAAATACAAGACATATTAAGAAAGAAATCTAAAAATGTGTATCGCAGTTATTAAATTTAAAGATTACAGTCTTGTAGAATAATACAGTAAACATTGACATGGAAAAAGCAATCATATTCACACATAATTTAAAGAAGGAAATTTTTATCACAGTTGAATATCTTCGTATTATTCTCTACGGAATTATCCGTCCCTTTACATTAAGCGAATTTTATAACTGCCGCCAGTGTGTCGAAACAAATTACTTTGTCAAAGTCAGGATTCCTAGCTTAAGGGGCCCTTCTGGTAGTGTGTGAAGCTTTGTTTAGGCTAGTCTATTATATTTTCTGATAGCATATCACCGCAAAACAATCAGAGAGTCAAACAAACTCAAACTGGATATCTCATCATATCAACAGGATTTTCAAGCTTTGAAAAATGACAACAAAGGTCATTATATGTTAAAACAAAAATCATCCTCAAAGACTCAATGTGCTAGAGACTGCAACTTTAGATTCGGAGATGAAATTCAACGCACGATTCTTGTAGTTTTTGTGCTAATATTTATGGTAATAATTTTTCCTTATTTTACAGACCTGTTTAGCATATTTACAATAAAGCAATACTTACGTAGTCCATTTGAACGGCGTACAACATTTTCCAGAAAAGTATTTTGAGGCACAACAAGTCCTCTTCGTCCAACTGGCATCTCGTCCCTGAAAACACATTCATTCAGCGATCGTAAACCATTGGTTCGGTCATCCTAAATTGAAGTTATCATTACTGTAAATTGCGAAAAATCAACATGAATATTCAAGTACAAATATTGCCTATCTAGAGTACAGATTTGAAACTCCTGTTGTTTGAATGTCGCCGTGTTGACACGTGATCAGTTGGAGGCCCTCTACACCTGTTTTCCAAAACAATACGTACGAACATGGCAAGTTGATATTAAGACTTCAAACCCAGTGAAAATGGTAGAAAATACATCGTAGAACCTTAAATAAATTGGATTAAAAACTGAGGTTTTTTTATGGCTGTCTTTAAAGACTTAACCAGTGAAATTTGTTGAGCACCCGTATGGTGTGTGTTGATCTATATCAGACGAAGAACGTTCTGGTTAGGGAATTTCTCAGATCATAATCTTGACTAAAGTTCGATTTTTTTTTCGGAAGTACGGGCGGTGTTTGTCAATTGCTCCCAAAAGCAATTTCAGTCGTAAGCTTGATATGAAACTGAAGCAAACCAACCAAGACATTAATGCTTACATGTTTAAGCTGCTTGATTAGAAGTCTTGAAGAACGGTGCCTTTAACACGCGTTTCTTATCGTGTTAGAATAGACGGCTTTTCCAACCCTTAATTTTGACTATTTGCTTTTATTATCCACACCGGGAGAAATTACCATAACAACAATACTTCCACCACTCAGAACTGAGCGTTTGACGAAAATGACATTTGGTTAGCGGTAGCACCGCCCGAGAGACATACGTCAATTTTTTCTTGACAAAGACTTTATCGTAAACACATGAAATATTTAACAGTATATTTCGATATGAAAGGCACGATATATTCGTTAGTTGAAACCAAGTTTTACAAATTGCGGAGAAAAGAACACAAACGAAATGAGGAAAGTTACATCTTTAAGGAATCACTTTGATCTTTGATTTCGTGCAGACACCTGTCACTCAGCTCACTTGATTGACAATCGTCAAAAGTCATCGGCAAACACAACCGACCAAAAGTGTCTAAAATGAATACTAAAAAAATTGTATAAATAATTGGCTAAAGTGGACAACTGCAAAATGCCTTCTTTCGAGACATAAGTAAAACATCGCTTATTTGTTTCTATTTGGCTACAGAATGGAATAATGTTAAAAAGGTTTAGAAAATAATGCTCTCCGGGTGTTCTAATAAACTGCACCGAAAAAGATAATTTTTCACACTTTGCTGTATAGTGTTACTGCCGTGATGAAAAGTAATCATAGGTCGTTACAATTAAAAGGTTTTAGATCGAATTAATTTATGAGGAGAAAATTATTTTAAAAAACCCAGCGAAAATTAAATAACTGACCACAACTCTCTCAGATTTGCTTTCCGCTTGTTTTTTTTCTCCAAAATATTCGCCACATTTTTATTTATTATGATTTCGAAATATGGAAATAGTCCCTTCGTTCATTTAACTACGCTACAGGGAACAAATACTTAGTGAATGGCGCCATGGAATTAAAAATTAAGTAACTGTGTTCTGGCGTTTTTTTAGTTAGGCAGCCTTAAAGACTTCATGCATTTTGAGTAATTCTAGCGTTGTTTTTATCGCATTTGATGTTCAGACAATTTAATTTACTTCAATAAAATCTTACATTAAGCAAAAAGAAAATATTTGAATAACAGAACGGATTGGTCACGTAATTGAGGCCACCTTTAAGGATAGTTAACGATTCTTTTCTTCAGGTAATTTCGCACAGTAAGACCCCGAGGCTCCTAGCTTATTTATTTCAATTCTCCTCAATTTAGGCGGTCGTCTAAATTTCTATTCATTTGGACTTTTGAGGAAGGATTCTCTCAGCTTGACACGCCCTTTGTCGAAGGAAATTAGCCTACAACATTTTAACTGTCCATGAAAAAACCAACTTTACTGTTTCTCGCATATATACGCATTGCGGACCACGCAGCTGAAACTTTACTCTACGAAAGAGCTCTGTTGGACAAAAGTTGCCCCCACGAAAAAAAAACAAAACAAAAAAGATATTTTCTTTTCTCTACATAACCCGCACAGGATAAAGCTGATTCAAGTTACAAGGTTGAAATCGAAAGATAAAATTGCTAAGATTTGAATTTACATTTTATTTGCCGTTGTCCCAATATATCTTTGGACTTGGATCTTAAAACAAAGCTCATATCTCGAATTGTTGACTTTCGAACGTTCTAAAACATTCGTTTAAGCACTCTAAAAAATGCCCCTGTCTCTTGCACATGTAGCCGGCCACTGGTATCTTTCAATCGTAACTGCATTTCTAAGCGCGATGTGACTCAAGGTCAAGTGGAAAACCATTTAAAAATGCATGATTAACGGAATCCTGACTTAACTATCAAGGTTACGTGGGAATGTGAGTGATGGTAACCACAGATAAGAGAAATTTTTTCAACGTGTGGTAATATTTTGCAAAAGGTTTAAAGCATTTTGTATTGATATATCTATTATTTATAACCATAATTTCTAGGATTCCTACTCATTGTAGTTATAAATTGATGTTTTTTGGGAAAATATTTCCATAAAATGACTGGCGAGGCAATCTAACAGTGTATTTCCACAACTATTTTTTTATGACGTAATGATATTTCAAGATTTTTCCAATTAACGTTAACAAAGCTGAATATTGAAAATTATTTTTATCTACGCAGATGAACTTATCGCACTGTTTGAGATGTGAGCAGCAATATGATGGGCAATGTATTATTCAAGTAAGAATGGGGCTTTCGTAAAGTGAAAGAATCCCTAAGGGAAGGAAAGGGAGGATTAACCCTTTATCTTGTCAAAAAGGTCACATGCTACCCCACAGGGTATAGTTTTCTTCAAGGTGGTCTTAAAGTTGTTCGGAAACGCGTTTAACTCTACTTCGAGAGATATGGGTTCGAGATCTACCTGGGTTGTGCTCTTGGGCAAGACACTTCAATCTCACATTGCTTATCTCCACCTTGAAGTAAATGTGGGTACCAGTGAAATGTCAGGGAGGCCAAAAAAAAAGTTGAAATAGGTATGTCTGTTTTCCTGAAATCTATTCTGTGCTTTTTGGATCTTACTTTGTTTTACACCCTCAAAACTAAAGAATAATCGAGGCTGAATATATTTTTAGGTTAAGTTGTCATGAATGTTTATAAAAAAACTATAGTTGGTCGCAATGACATTATAATTTTTGTAAGAAGCTGCCTAGTGGAAATTTCAGCTTATCAGCGCAGGCGCACCTTTGGCGTCCAAGCGCTCACTATTACTTTGTGCGATGTTTGGCCACCATTTTGGATTTTTGATGCCGAGGAAGGCGGGGGAGAGAAGGGAGTATATACCGATCTATTGGATGATTGGTGGAAGGAGGTGGGGAAGGGAACATATTTTACTATCCCTCCCTTCTCAGTGGAATCTAATCGTGAATAAAACATGGCGGCTTTCGAGCCTATAATGAGAATTAGCACTCCTTAATAAGATGCTACCTCACATATCGATTTCATCTTAAGCAGTTTTGAGGTCAGCTAATAAGGGAATTACTTCTTTTCCGTGTAATCAAGATATTTCCATCCGTTTAGATATTTAAAGATGCCGAAGTCTGTTCCAAAAATTTCCAAGTTATCTATAAAAAAACACTGCTTTTACTGGCCAATAAACGTAGCAATTTCTTACTTCACTCCCACTTCTGAGCTAAAAAAGAATTAGTTATTGAAAGCTGACTGTGAGTAAAAGAAAAAAAAGAAAGAAAGACGCAGGAGAGAGAGGGAGGTGCTATGAGTTACCAAGAAAGCAGTCAACTTTTTGCAGAACATCACTTAATACTGTGCATGGCTGAATCCTCGAGTGGGCAAGGTGAAGCGAGTTCTGGGCAGTGTTTGCCGAGAGCGCACATTCACTTATATTAACATCATGCTTGTTATTTCACGCTTATAAATTGTTAAATAAATGTGTTCACTTTTTCTCCTATACCTTTTATCATCATACTTCTTGCCAAAAATAACTTAATGACGAATGAAAACGAGGTTTCATTTTACAAAAGTATAACTCATCAAACCTTACCTAATCTTACCTTATCTCCCAGTAGAGGATTTCAAATTTCACAGCTACTTCAAAGAAACGCCCACTCTTGAATGAACTGCTACCGGTCGCTGTGGTATATTCGATTCAGAAACAGGTGACAAGATCTTGTGAATACCTCTCCATCTGAAATTAATAAGTAATGTTTAAGCCAATTTATCGTAGGAGACAATAATTATGGAAAGTAAGCATTTATTACCCGAAGGATACCTAATGTTTTGGCGACAAGGCTGACTTACTGTCTGCTTCATGCATAGCGGTTTTCACCATTGTCCGACAGAAGGACTTTGTGGTATACCCTGACACATTCTCTTTTTTCAACTGTGGAATTCCGGATTCCGGAATGCGAGTACCGATAAAAGCATTTCTTCATCTAATTAAGGCAACTCTGAAAAAATTCCACCTCACAAATATTGAGCAAAAATTTTCATCAAAATTTGTTTATAATTATAACATGTGAACAAAGGTATAGAGCTTACTAAGAAAATCGAAAGTTGTTCACGCTTTGGTTTGATGTCGCAAACCAGAGTCATTTGAGCTCTTTTACAAAAACACACGGCACCATTTAATGCTAAAATGCTGACAAGTTTTTTTTTTTTTTTTTATGGAAAGTTTTAAAAGGGAATAGACGAATTATGCATTTTTAATAATCTATTTTCTTGACACATGCGCCGCCATTCCTAACATGTAACACTTACTTTTAATTCAGCCATTTGCAGCGAACAATAAAAAACACAATGCAGATGATTTATTTTCTTTGTGCTTTGCAAAATGTTAGAGAACATGCATTTTTTCCTAATACGAACCAAACGTCTTTTTGATGCTTTCCGTTCCGTTTATCTGAGGTTTGACCGCCGATCAAAAGTGAAAATATATTTAACACAGATCTCTAAGATTCAGCGCTGCATATCCGTTACCGCTGTTTGAGCTCCAATGCTGGGCGACTAATCTTTTTTTCAGTGCTAATATCTTTACCGGCATCAGTGCAAGTAGAAAGCACAGAAAGTAGGACGCGGAGATTACAAAGTATTTGTTATCATGCACCGTTAAACGTCGCTTAGCAAGTACCTATGTTGTCATTTCACCGCTATATTTTGGTTATACACTTCAAACTCACCTCAAATTCAGTTGAATAGGACTCGATAAGCACACTCGCCTTTTCTTTGTGAACGTTTTGCAGAGTATTGAATGAAACGTAGAATGATATTGAAATAGGCTGAATTTACACTCATTTTTATTCAACGCTACGTCACGAACAATTTAAAACCAGGTGTTCCAACGAATTACCTTTCCAAATCATTCTCAAAAATGAGTCATTATACATCTTGGAGTTTGACACTAATGAAATGCAAGCGAAGCTTTAAAGCATTTTAATGTAGTTAAAAACCGTTTTCTGTTTTACCCGCTCAAGGCCGTATATTAATAAAGTTAAGCTTTCTCTTTCAAAACAATGCTCTTTCGTTCGATTCCAGTAGCATGAATCTTATTTTGCAGAATTAAAATTCCTACTAAAAGATAAAGGTTTTGCAATGACTATACGCAAATAACGCGGTCTAACTGTCACGAAGCATTTATATTAACACTTCACGTTACGATAGCAGGTGTATTTAAATGTGTCCTCAGTCAGTCAAGAGATTCTCCAATGTTTAAGACAAAAACCATGACTCTTACAAAAAGTACATAATTCTGTAAAATACTTTTTTTTTCCTTTCGGTTTTCAATGGAGATCTTGTCTTATGTAAGCTCGGTTGGAAATCCACTGACCGTATTGCACACCAAATAAGCGATAAGCGTGCCAATCTCCAGGACATCTGACACAGAGACATTATTAACAAAAGCAATTTGAAAATCTCCGATTAAAACGCCCACTAAAATACGTCAGAACGTGTCTCCTTAACCAATCATTTTATTTAAAAAAGTTGTAAGTTTTGAAATATTTGCCCGGCAATCCCAATTTGCATTTATTACAACCTTAGCTACTGATAACCTTGGCATCAGTTCGCATTCAATTAAATTTTGACACGCCAAAGCGATTAAGCGCATTTAAGCGATTTCCGACGCCGACTAACTGAGCAATTTAATCTTCAAAATATTTTTTTTAAAGGGAGGGGGAGCAAGAGTAAGGGGAATTTTTTTCGCCAAAATGCCCTACTTATAGTTTCTTATAGTCTTTACAAAAGTCCACTTTATTCGAATTGCCACGCAATTTCTCGTTAATATTAAGTAGGGATTATTATTTGAACTAACATCAAGAGAATTGTATAGCAGACTGTAAGGAGAATCTGTATTGAGATCTTGAGAGTCAAAGGGCTCAACTAAATGTGGCTTGGTTCAATCACTAAAATCGTAGATTCTTTCACGAATCTAAGATTTTACCGTTAAAAACTTAATTACAAAATTTCGACATCCTTCTTACCATGGAGGTGTAACTCACTGGTAGAGCGCTCGCTTTACGTGCGAGAAGTTATGCATTTTAAATCGTGGCTGGAGACCAACTCAATCCTTCATTTTAAGATTTTCTGATAAACTATTAAGAGTCAGCATTTCACTGAAAACTTGGTTTCCAGAGTCAGCATCATATGATTGTCACTTTCCCTACATGTGACTTCGTAGCTCAGATACTATTAATACTATCTAGGGGCAAGGGTTCGAATCCCGTCGAAGCCTGTATTTTTCGGGCTTCTTTTCCGAAATTTTGGTAATTGCAGCTCTCTCGTTTAAAAACTACAGCTCATTATACAATCGTTATTATTTCATTAAATGAGCGATGTGATTCAATATCTTCCTCATATATCGGCATAAAATAGTTTGCTATCAACGTTGGTGATGCTGGAACCAAGAACATGGCCTGATTAATTCTATTCACTCGAGCGATACTTTTGAAATTTCTTATACATGCAGTACACTGGACGCATGTTACATATGAACCTAGTTTCTGGCCAAGCTTAGTAACCCCTTTCCCAGAAAATTTATTGAAGCTGAGTTGGTCAGGTACGTGAAACATTTGTGACATGTGCTTTCGTTGATAAATAATATTACGCAACATTATGCATTAGCAGAGAAAACATGGACAGTCACTGACAAGCCTGAGTTTTCTTAAGCAAAGAAAACTTTCTGACGATACTCGCCAAAGCAAACTTGTTGTAGGATAATAACTTTTCCTCTTTAAGTCCTTAAGCTTGTTCGTTTCCTTGGAAGTATTTCAGACAATTTCAAAAACTTGTACGTCAATTTTCAGACAAGAGGACTTGCCAGATAAAAACTTGCCAAATTTTTACATCGACACTGTTACAAAGAGACTTTCCAAGAGAAAATTGTCGAAGAAACTAATCCACGACAAAATAAGTTGACACATAACGCTCGCGTCGCAACTTTCGGGAACAATAAGGTAACGAAATTTAAAATATGAATTGCAGTTCGCTTCAAAAGCCACTTCCCCAATTCAATGTTGTAAATTCACAAAAAGCAGGTACAATGTTCAGCAAGGGTACAGATAGTAAAATTAAGGGTATTTCCGATAAAAAGTGATATGATATTGTGATCTTAATGGCAATGTGACAACAAGTTTGTCACGTAGACTTTTTAGCTTGTGTAAATAGCGAAGAATATATATTCGATTTTCTGCACTGCTTGGGTTTTCCCTTTGTTCCATATTCTTGAGGGATGAATTTGATATTTGTGTAAATAACCTAACTGTGGGTGATAGCACAACCTAGAAAACAATAATTTTAAGAACTGCCGACCAGTAAAACCCTGCGTGTTTAGTGTTAAATAATTGCGCGCACCTCATTGAGCTGGCAAATGCTTAAGATTTTCATTTTTTACCCAGCCCACTCTTCACTTAGTAAAAGTTTCGGTGATGGTCGAGGCAATTAAGACCCACAGAACCTCAAAGAAAGTTGTTGTGTTTAAAAACAATATAAGATAATGCGGTCAAATTAGCCCAGCGGAAAACAATGAAGCATTTTCGCAACAGCGTAAGTACAAAGGTTCAATCTCTTTGAGATCTTCCCCTCTTCGACACCAAGCTTTGTTTGGCAGCGTGAAGCTCTAGTCTTCATGAAAGAAATTATTATTTCAAAGGAGTACTGTTGTTTACAATACCAAACTATAAACAAAGCAGAAATTACCTGCTGACAAGATACCTTGCTGGATTTTCAAAAAAGTTTTAAGATCATACTTAGCTAACAGAATTGTTTTTCAGCATGCGAGTCTATGAAAGACCACATCTCAGAAAAAAAAAAACTCATGTGAAAAATTTAATTTCAGTAGTGAGACTGACCATCGTGCTCATGTGTTAAAATCGTAGCAAATTTCACACAAAGTTTTGAAGATAAGAATGAAATAAAAGCGGAATTGAAACTCAACACCATGTAGTCAAATTTGTGGTTTTGATAAATTTACAGACCGCGGACTCAATTTCAGGAACTCAATAAATTAACTTCAGAAATAAGCCCGCTGTGGATATATTATATTCCTGAAAAGCCAAACTATGGATTTGTGTAAGATAAACGAATATCAGAGGAACCTTACTGATAAACCACTCCGAAACCATTGTTGTCTGAAAAACTAAAATAGGCCCGTTATGAAATAGCCTATTTCACTGAAACAGCTAATATTTCGCTTCCACGTTCGAACTTGAAAAATAAAATTTGATGTACAAATATTAATATTACATTTGGGAGAAAATTAATGGTATTTCTTATTTCAAGTAACTAAATCGTGGAGAGTACAACACAGGCTGTTCGAAATTGAAAAAAAGAAAGTTTAGAATGGTCAACATAAGCCCAGTTTATTTTACCAATAAACATATAACGGGAAATTTTCAAGACTTCCGATATGATTTATTAGGGCACATTTGTTTTAAAATGGGAACACATGGCAGTGAAAAACGAAAAAAGCCGCCGCCTCTTAAATTCGTATTTCTTCCACTTCGTATTAAAAAATATGATAAAAACTGCCCTTCTCATATTGCAGCTTTCTGAGGGTCATCTCTTTTGGGAGTCTCTATCAATAATTTTATCGCAATTTCGGAACTTAACGAATGCGCGTCTTGGCAATGCATTTCATTGTTTTTAAGCTGCAAAGTTCAATTATTCAACTTACCTAATCCGTTGGAAAATCTTT